TTTGGAAGCGCAGCCTTGGGGTTTAGGATCAAATATATAAAGTGTTCAGTTGATTGATGATGGTCAAGTACCTTCAAAAAGTATCACAAGGAGATCATGTGCTGTGAAGAGGGCTCCCCTAACTATAAAGCAACCAATGTTCAGCGAAATCCAATATACAATGTTTTTTTCATTTCATCATTCAATCCACTAAAAGCCGACATATCTAGTTGATTCTAGTTGGGTTAAGTTGGCATGAAACTGATGAATCAGTGAAACCGTTGCCATCCAGTGCCCGACTCTAAATATTTCAAATGCGGAGAATTTGTGGCTTTTACCCCACCTGCGATCACCAATTAGCTAATCTATGCTAATCCCATCTAAGCGATCCAAGTCCCGATTGCATCCAATGTCAATGTCCCATGAAATATTTCCATGTACCTTCCGGTAATCGACCATGGCAATGGAAGATCCCCATAGATTCGATTTTCTCAGATATTAAATGGCTACAAAGGCTCCATGGCGAGTGGGGTTTCCCAGCCACATCCAGCCATGTTCACTTGGATGGTATATACCATTCCCATGAAACATCCCATGGCCCAAAAAACATGAAATGCCACGTTTCCCAGCTGCAACCCGGCCACAGCCTGGCTAAAGGTTCAATCTGGTGTTGAAGTGCTCAGAAGACTTCACCTTGACCCATTTCTACGTCAGTGGTGTTTTGGCATCCGACCGGATCCAGGGATGCACTGGGTATCCCAGGGTATCCCAAAACCTGGGGAAATCACAGGGTCTTTGATGGAGATGCTTTGTTGATATATGTAATAAGGGAATATCATTGGAATACCATCCTTAATGACATGATCTATAATGATATGGGGATATTATCTACAATGATCTACCAGTAGTACCACAAGGCGGTGGCGGAAATTTCAAAAATAGGAAACCTATAGGAGAGTTTGGTTGTTGTGAATCACGGATGGCAGAGCGAATCCACTGATGGACTGAAATGTGGTTGAAATTGTGTTTTTTTCTTTGGAATGGTTACATTAATGGTTGCAGTGGTCACCCGGTCGGTCACCTCTCCCACAACTGCTTGATGTAGTGTGGTGTACAGCTGTAGTTGTAGTGTAGTGGAGTTGTAGTTGTGGTGTAGTGTAATTGGTGTAGTGTAGCTGCAGTTGCGTTTGTGGTGGTGTAATGAGCGTACCGCAATGTAATGTAGGGCAGTGTAGTGTTGTGTAAGGAAGCGTAGTTGTAACTGTAGTTGTGGTTACTGTAATGTAGTGTGGTGTGGTGTAGTGTAATGTAATTAGTGCAATTAGTGTAGTGTAATGTAGTGTAATGTAGTGTAGTTGTAGTTGTAGTTGTAGTTGTAGTTGTAGTTGTAGTTAGTGTACAGTAGCGTAGTGCAGAATTGAATGTAGTGCAATGCAATTAGTGTAGTGGAGTGTAGTGTAGCGAAGTGTAATGCAATTAGTGTAGTGTAATGTAGTGTAGTGAAGTGTTGCGTCGTGTAGTGGCGTGTAGTGGCGTGTAGTGTAGCGTTGTGTAATGTAACTAGTGTAGCGTGGTGTAGTGTAATGTAGTTGTATTTGCAGGTGCCGTTGTAGTTGTAGATAGTCTAGCGTAGTGTGGTGTGGTGCGGTGTCGTGTGGTGTAGTGTCATGCAGTGTAGTGTAGTGGAATGTAGCGTAGTGTAATGCAATGTAATTAGTGTAGCGTAATGTAATTGTAGTTGTAGTAGTTGTTGTTGTAGCGTAGTGTATTGTAGCATAGTGGAGTGTAAGATAATTAGCCTAGACTAATGCAGTTAATCTAGAGTAATGTAATTAGTCTAGCGTACTGCAATGTAGTTGCAGTTGTAGTTGTAGCTGTAGTTGTAGTGTAGTGTAATTTAGTGTAGTGTAGCGTAGTGCAATGTAGTTAATTAATGTAGTGTAGTTGTAGTTTTAGCCGTACGTGTAGTGTAGTGTAGTGTAGTGTAGTGTAGTGTAGTGTGGTGTAGTGTAGTGTAGCGTAGTGTAGTGGTGGTTGTAGTTGCAACTGCTATAAACCCCTAACATCCCCTCACGTTTTTCTCATTCTTGGCAAAGGTGCAGAATCCCGTGCGCCTGCCACGCAAAACGACATCCGAACGTCGAAAAGTGTTCCGTACCCCTCAGATTTTTGCACTTTTGACTTCGAAATGTGCTTCGCGCCACAACGGCCTGCACTTTTTTGACATGTCAACCTCCAAAAGTGCTCCGAGACCGTCAGTTTTTATCACTTTTAACTTTGAAATGTGCTTCGCACCACATCGGCGCGCACTTTTTCGACATCTCAACTTCCAAAAGTGGTCCGAACATGGTGTGTTATTTACATTTTGGCTTGGAAATGTGCTTCGCGCCACAACGGCGTGCACTTTTTCGACATCTCAACTTGCAAAAGTGGTCCGATGTTGGTGTGTTCTGCACATTTTGACTTGGAAATGTGTTTCGCGCCACGGCATATGCATTTTTTCATCTCTCATCTGGCCAGATGGCTCCGCACCCGCCGCTTTAGCGAGCCTACTTTTTGATCCTCCGGAGCCACAAATCATTGGGAAAACACAGTGTTTCGCAACTTTCCTACCTCTTCGCGCACCTGGATCTTCTTTCTTCTGACTGTCTCTTCTTTGATTTTTTTCTTCTCTTTTCTTTTCTCTTCTTTTCTCTTCTATTCTCTTCTCTTCTCTTCTCTTCTCTTATTCTTACTCTTCCCATCTCTGCTTGTCATCTGTCCATATTGTCGGAAGTTTGACTTCTAAATTTCCTTCGATAATGTTGAAACAACAAAATAGGGTTGTAACATACTTGTAACTAGTTACTTTGAGGCTTTGAGGCACAAAGAACCATACTTATATAAGAATGAGGGTGACCAACGAATTGCTGCAATGCAAGGTTTTGCGACCGTTTCTTCGCTAAGTTGGTTGAGACAAGTAGGCTCCTGTTGTGTTGATGTTGATGGAGATGTTGATGCTTTCAACAGAACCAGGGTGTTTTGGGACCCTTGGGTTCTGCCAACATTGCGCTCCTGGAATTTAGCGTCGAATGTAATGTCAAGGCTATTCAGAAATAACCTATCCAGTCCTAAGTTCGTGGTCCCTTGTCATTTCAGATGTTCAATCCGCATGATTGCCCGTCAAATCATCCTTCTTGTTTCCGTGTTTGCTAGGTAATTTATTGTTTTCAACATGGGGGTGGGACAAAACCATGCAACATCTATTATAATACCATGTTTGGATATTGCCATTTCACCGGTATTGCGATTGTGTTACCACATGTTTGGATTTACATCCCAGTTCCAGTTGCGTTTCAGAAGTGGAAATCCTGTCTCCATACTACCAAGTGTTCAAGGTATGGTTATGCTGTACCCTCTGGCAAATCAACATAGCTTATGGAACAAATCATAATTTTTACTCGGTCAACCGACATAAATCAACCAATCCAAATGGCAAATTTCAATAGCAAACGGTTCGTTTACCGTCCAGGGTCTCCCACAACTGGTTTCCTCAGGGCCTGGACCCAGATGCACTGAGCCCATCAAGAGCGGATTAGCACCTTGGCCATCACGGGGTGTCGGGGCGGCTGGGTTGCCATGACATATGGCCCAAGGGAAAAATTAAGATGCCTGGAAAATCAAAGAAACACTGGACACATTTTTTTGGTGAATGTACTTGACATGTATATTTTGACTAAATAAGTGCATATGTAATATATATATATATATATATATATATATATACATATATATATTATATATGTATATATATATATATATAAACATATATTATACTATACTATATTATATTATATCATATTATATTATATTATATTATAATATTTTATTATATTATATATATATGTATTTATTAATACACCAGGTGTTTTAGTGGGATTTAATTTTTTATGTTCTCTTGGTTCTCTATTTATTTGCATGATTTTAAGGATCGTGTTTATTTCATACCTTCAAGGTTTCATTTTTTTAACGAAACTATTGCGATAATTGGATTTGGCAACATTTTGATGAAATTGCATCACGGATGCAATGTCAAGCTGGCCAAACCCAGGCCAAAAATGGCCAACATATTCATTCTTTCCGGAAAAACACGGAAAATTGTACTATGGTTTTGGTTGTGGATTTTTTTGGTGTTTTTTTAGTGTTTACCATGTTTATCTTAAAGTGGCATACATGTGGTGCCATGGGGAGGTGTCTTCCTATGTTGGGATGTTCAACCAGTGCAGTGGCCTCCTGTGACCTTGATGCCACGGCAGGTGTGGGTTTTGGAACACGCACCAGATGTCCTAAGCTCAGTTTTCCGTGGTGAAGAGGGGATAGACCATGATGGACCCCGGTTAAATGGCCTGTTCAATAAGGAACATGATGATGAAATTAGGAGAAATTTAATCGGATTTCATGGAGGTGAAAGTTGATTGGTCACATGGCTCTAGGCCGAAAGCTGGTGACACATGACACTGTGAGAGCTAGTGTTTTTCAGTTGCATATCAACCAAACAACTGAAAATACATGTTTTGTTTCATGCATTGTAATACTGCATCGCCGAACAAAACATGAACATATCATTGATCTTTTGGGAAACAATGGCTGCAGTGTTCCAAACTGTTTTTATTTGCCGGAAAATTTGCTGCAATGGGTGAAATCTTGATTGTTTGTGCTAAAATCGTTCTTAGATCTACCATGTCCATGTTCTCAGGATTTTGGTTAGATTGTTGAGTCACAGTGCCACCTGATTTCCATCTTACCGTAGTATGTTGACTTCCGCTGTATTTTTCAAACATTTCTCAAGGATTTTAGGTCAGATACCCTTTGGTAAACTAACATAGCTATGGAAAATCACAACCTTTAATTTGGTGAAACACCTATAAATGTGCCATTTTCGATAGCTACGTAACAAATTACCAGAGGGTATAGTCACCATATGTTCAGATTTTTCCCAGTTGCCATGGGCTCAGGTGGAACGCCTCAAGAAGTACGATTCCATGCGTTCGGAAGAGTTGCTGGAGATCGTCAAAGGCGGGGAACAAACACGTCAGTTGAATTGCATTTGGGAAAATGGGTTCCATCACACAAAATAAAGGAGACAAAATATATATCTATCTATCATTGGTTTTTGGTTGTTTGTTTTTGATGATCAATCTATTTGGGTAGAGCCCTTTTCAAATTTTCTGAGTATTTGTTTGTAATTTTTTTCCACGTAGCTTCTCGTGATGCTCATAAACTAAGAGTTTCCTGATTACACACCCCCACCATACCATTCCAATGACCTTGTGGTAGATAACCAGACAGCTCAGCTACTAACATGCTAAGTGGGTGCGGCATTTGTGTTGTTGGAAACAATGGAATTTTATGATTTTCCATATGTTGGGAATAATTATCTCATCCCAAGTGACTAACATGTTTTTTTTTCTCAGAGGGGTAGGTCAACCACCAACCAGATTATTATTAACCATCATTAACCAAATAATAACAATTTATATTAACCATTAATATTAACAGTATATTACCAACCAATGGTAGCTTGGTCAACCACCAAGCACTGAGATGCTGCGAGCACAAAGAGTCAGACCGAAAATACTTTTCGGCAACTCTTGGGCCTACCTGGCCAGCAAGGCTGGCATTCCCAATGTAGGCCCCAATGCCAGATAGACCTGTAAGGTAAACGTTTACATAACCATAGAAAATCACATTTTTTTATGGGAAAATCCACTATTTCTATGGTAATGTTAAATTACCAGAGGGTACCTGTAGTACATCAGTAGTAGACAGTTCCAGCATTTCGAGGCCCCAAATTATCCAAATTGTAGCGCCAGTGACTCAGTGTCGACGATTCAGGTTTGAGGACATGTAGTTCAAGCGTCCGGGGGCCCAACAGTTGGATGACGGGAAACTAGGGAACCATGGGGAGAAAGATGGGTATCGGTCAGCCAATTGGAAATCGTTGCGTTGTGGGTATTAGCTGGAGACCCTTAGGTAGGTCACAATAGGTTGATCTTGAGAGCGTGGACCATCAGTGAAGATTGTTTGGTTTTTGCAAGCTGCAGGAGGCTATCACGGCATTCCAGAAGCTGCAAATGATGGGCTTTGCCCGATGAACGACATTTCTTTGCATCGAGACATGACAAATTGAACCAAAACATTTGTTTCCCCATGTGCTCAGACATCTACATTTCGACCTACAATACTCACATAACTCACATAATCCTCAACCTCCGTGCCCGCCACCTGCGCCACTGCCAGGCTGGAAGCGTTCCAGACCCCTGCCTCTATTTTACGTTTGCGCGCCCAGCGGAGATCCTGGGGCCATGGTAATCCTTGGGGTCAACGGGTGATATCCTCATGGTCAACCGGGTGACTGGCTTGCAGTCCCTGCCCTTGGCAATTTGACATACACACCTTACACACCAATAAACTTGTTGGTGGTAAAATGTGGGATCGTTGCTTATATAGAATCTATAATCATGTGTGAATGATTAAACATGTCTCCAGGCTATGTACGTGGCGGGCAATGTGGTATAATATACATCCTAGCTATGCAGCTATGCAGCTATGCACCTCAGCTGGAGAATTGGCCTGTGGCATCCCCAAAGATTTCACCCGAGATTCCTTGGCCATTTTCCCCTTGGGACGTGCTGTGCCAAGGACGGATTCCAGTACGCGAGAAGTGGAGCTGGAGCTCCCGAAGTGGAAGGAAGGCAAATTTCTCGCCGGGCACCTGGAGATACCTGGAGCGCCGGGATGGGTGGATGCGGAGATGGAACATGATGGAACTGAACGGAACCGATTTTGGAAGTTCCACGATGTTCCAGGGGTATGATGATGATGTGGTATGATATGCTACCTGTGTTTTTATGCTTTGATACATTTTTGGAAACACGCGCAAATATGTTGAAATCGATAGGCTATGGCTTGGATTTCGATAGAGATGGACATGTGACGTTCGCGCGCGAACTATGGCAGCCAGACAGAGTCAATTTTTCCCAATTTTGGCAATTTTTATGGCGTAGACTTTGGTAAATTTTGGCCAGTAGCTCCCAACTCTTCTTAAGGGACTTGAAATTAAGAAACTACCAGCACCCCCATAATTGGCTTATGGATATTCATGATATTCATGATATTCATGTATATTGATGTGATTTCTTTGCAGGAAAACCCATGTTTGATGGGAAAAAGCTGTTGGTTTTTCTGTCGGATTTCCACCAAACAACGCGCACACCGTCGAGGTGGTGAAGTTTCTGGACACGCACAACAACGCGCACAACGGCCAGCGCAACATTGACGCCACTTGGCACAGAGTGTCATGGGATGACTGGACAGTTCGCCAATCTGTAGTTAATTATTTCGTTCAACCGTGCTATTGGCATTTTGTGTGTGTGCCTTGGCCTTCATGATACCCCAAAAAAGTGAGTTTTCACAGGTTCTACTGTTTTTGACCATTTGGAGGCTACTTTGAGGTTCAAGGTGCACATATAGATACACAAGGATATGTACTCATACTTGTACACATATATGGGTTAGTTCCTATTCATCCAGAGCATGGCCACCGGTTTTCTCGTTTTTTTTCCAAGTAAAAGTCGCCACTTAGAGAAGCCAGATCTCTTGGATCCGAGGTTGGGATCATTGGGATGATTGGCTATACTGGCAGGCAGAGGGATCAGTGGACCTATAGCCGGCCATAGGCCACTGGACTCATTGGACCCTGAATTGATGCAGTTTTTGGGTACTTTGAAGATGTTTTAAGACTAAACGAATACAGCTTTTCTGGGGCGATGGCAAGATATGGCAAGTGCCAATACACATGAAGTGGTAAAACATGTTCAGATTCATGGGACTGAATGCTTCAAGTGTTTATGGCTCACTTGTGGGTCTATCTGGGGAATCCCCACCTGGCATTCCAACCGCAGATTTGCGAAGCAGCAGATTCCTCTGGGTCCTTGGATGAAGAGAAGTGTTCCAAGCCTCAGAAGCTGGCAAGAACCCCACGGGAAGCAGTGATTGGCCGTTCCTTTCTTGGTGGTGTTCCGGTTTGGAATGGCTAAGTTGGTTGATGACTACTCTAGGTCCATATGGGATTATATAGGCTGTAGGTTCTATGATGATGAAATAACTATTTAATTCATGGGGCTTAAACTAACAAACGTAGGTGCTCGTGGAGACAACCTCCACTTCTAACTCCAGATCCGGATGGGTCGATTGTTTAGGATAGGAAACCATTGTATTTTCACCATGGTTTTCACCATGAAACTTCGGGAGTTACTAGTTTGTTTTCTTTTTTTCCGGCTAAAATAGGGGTCATTTGTCACTCTATGTTTACAGATTTTTCGTCTAGCCCACCCCATAGGAACTGTCATTTTCTGAACGTTGATACGCCTGCAACAGGGGCCCCAAAAGCCATTAAACATAATTAAACAATATTACTTTCAATCGCAAAAGACATGTTTTTTTCACGTAAAGTCTTGCAGGTTTCATCAAGTCTTAGCAACAACATTTCTAATTTGAGTAATTGTTGACACCAATTTCTAATTTAATTTAGTTACATCAAATAAAATCAGCAAATTAGTCAAACAGTTCTTCCATTTCTTTCCGAATTTGAGGCTTTTGGACAGACACAGAATGCCGAGGTGCGTCAGCCATGGGTGCACCCCAACGAGCTGAAAAGCATGTGGGGAGCTTGGACAACGAGCTGGTCCAGTTACAGTTTGTCTGAGAAAACAGGGGGACACCCCAAAGATCAACAAAATTAAACATTTAAACTCTTTGCCATTCCAAAGATCATCAAAAATCTACGGGGAAAGCCCTCGCAAATCCAAGGGTTATGGTTGATATTTACATCATATTACATCAGATCAATTATATCAATTATAGTACATACCACAAAAATAGAAGATATTGAAGATATTCAGCTACCATTGTTGTACCACCTTATGGAAAATCACCATTTTCTAAGAACGGTAAACCATCTACAAAAATACATGGGTCATCTATACCATGGCGATGTTAGTCATAACCAGAGGGTATATCAATTACCCTCTGGTTATTTAACATAGCCATGGTGAAAATAATCATTTTCAATAGGTAAACCATCTATAAATGGGTTATTTCCCATGGCTATGTTAAATTACCAGAGGGTAATAACCATTAATCATCCATTAATCCACCATTAATCCACCATTAATCCACCATTTATTTATATCATATTCTATCCGTCCCCCCAAGTCCCCCGTGGCGTTTTGAACCTGGTCTTAGGTTCTCCAGCAGCGGCTGGGTCTGCGACGGCCGCGACTTCACGGGCGGCTGCCGCAGCGGCTTGGGATGCCCAGGGATGCCCAGGGATGCCCAGGCTTGGCGGCTGAACAAAGAAATGGGATTTCGCCTTGGTAAACATAGAAAATCATACCAAAAAACGATGGAAAATCACCATGTTTATCCATTTTGAGTGGGTAAATCAACTGTAAATAACTAACATAACTATATAGTAAATCACCATTTTTGATGGGTAAATCAACCATTTCTATGGCCATTTTCAATGGCAAACTGTTTGTTGACCGGAGGGTATATAATCTCCAATAATGTTTTACATAATGTTTCATAAGACCATGAAAATCGCAAAAGTCTTGATTGGGGAAACTAATCTTACAACTTACAACCATTTACAACCCTTTATTTGGGAGGTCTATGTGGATTGGGGGAGGTTATCAACCATCAAACAGATGACATGTGGATGTAAACAACAAGACTATTGCATTGTATTAATTGGTGGCATTTTAGTGATGGTTGGTTGATGGTTTGGGCGCTATGCTATCCAATACGTTCGTTACCAACCAGTATGATGGAATGAGGGTTTTGAACACTGCTCAGATGAGCTGTTTGAACATGGACTTTAATGGGGTTACTTGGAGGTAATTGGGAATTAACTACCGTCAAACATGGTGATATAATTGGGGATATGTTTTTTGTGTGTTTCTTTTGTCCAGACATGGCCACCAATTTTTTACAGTTTCAATGAGAACATGATGAGTAACCCGTGAATTCAGGGGTTACCTAACCCTATTTTTAGACAAACCCAAATCCAGGTTTCAAGCATGAAACACTGACAGTCAATGGAAATTTGGATTGAGGGATTTCATCATGAAATATGTGGATTTAGCCTGGGGGGTCTACGATGGGAATGGTCCAAGGTGCAGTCCGGAGGTATTTCACAATGAAACAACATGATTTTCACCATAGAAACTGTGCATGCAGCAACATTAGGACATAGATAAAATGGGATAGATCTTAGGCTAACTTATGCTAACTTTTTTTTTAATGCAACTACGGGTAGATATTGCCCAAGCCAGCCCCATGTGGTCATGGACGTTGGATACATACGGATCTCCCCAATAAATTGAGATTTATGCCGTTTCAGCATCCATAGAATTGTGATTCCACCATCGAGCACGTTGATTGACATGACATATCTTTTCTTTGACATAGATATGATGGATGTAGATTCTGCTTCCATGTTGATCTTACATATCTTTTCTTTGACATAGATGTTCGAACATTGGATGTAGATCTTTGACATAGGAGTTGGCAAAATGTCGCAGAATGATGGATCTCCAATGGTGATGTTCATGGAATGATCGATGGTCAATCCTCGGAACCGGATGCAGATTCAGTCATGCAACCAGTGCAACTAGTGTAAGTGGTAGTACACACCGAAACTGTGGTTTTCTTTGAATCTGCAATGTTATCTCATTGCGTGTGGGCCATCCACACATCTCAACATATCTCAACATATCTCACCCCATCCAAAAACGCCAAAAAACGCCAAGCAAGTCACATGAAAATCACGAAAAAATCCACCAAAATCCTATTTGCCCATGCCATGTCGCTTCCCGGCGATCGCGGCTGCAACGATCGCATGTTGCAACGCCGTTGATCCGGATGGGCCGAAGCAGCCGCAGGGCCTGGGGCCGCAGAAGCAACTCGGCCAAAAGGCACATCGCACTTCGCAGCTGGGAAGATATGCAGTGATAAAAGCAGTATAAAGAGTTTATACTATATCATACCAGATAAACTAGTATATCATATACTATATATGGTTTTTCTGGTTTATCTGGATAATCATATCATAGTATATAGTACATATGATTAGTATCTGGTTAACCATCTAACCATTTAACGTATGGATGATTATGATATACTAATATCCGGTTGGTGGTTTGGAACATGACTGGATTATTTTTCCATATATTGGGAAGAATAACCCCATTTGACCTTCATATTTTTCAGAGGGGTTCAAACCACCAACCAGATGTAATTAAATCAACAAAAGAATGGTATAAAATTGGGAGTATGTGGTGATATTTCTGCAATGATGTGCAACGGCAGTATGTTTGCTGCTGAGATACTGATAGGTCATCAGTATCGATACGATTCCTCCTTCCTGGTTTTGAAGATAATCACTGAGCTTTTCCCATTTGACAGTTGGCCGTTCATCTCAAATATATTTACCGTTACCCATTTTGCGATATTTTATCCTTTCCAAATGGATCCTAGGATTCTAGTTTTCAAATCTATTGATTTCACCATGGTTTAACAGTGTTTAACCATATTTTTGATTCTAGTTAAACATGGTTTCACCATTGTTTCACCATGGTTTCACCATGGTTTCGCCCTGGTAAAACACCACCAGATCTGCGCCGCGTTTGGTGCGCCAGGCTCTGGAGCACCCCCGCCCTGGTGGTCCCACCAGAGGAGTCTTGGCAGGCGCGGGACCGGGGATTGATTTATGTATTTATATCATTTATCAATCCCTCTGGTTATAAATATAGCATGATAGTCATAACCAGAGGGTATCTTAGTCATAACCAGAGTTTAACTGTCAGTGAGTCAGTGGGATAAATGGTCTTTACCCATCTACCCTCTGGTAAACATACAAAAAATAAGCCGACGTAGATCCCCAACAGCGGTTGGTTTCAAACAGTGGTCCAACTTTGCAACCCAAGACGGATTAATGATGGCAGGAACAGGATTCCATAGCCTAAGTTTCTTCGGCGATTTTTTGCCCGCCTTGCCCCCTCCCCTTTTGGACCAAAGGCAGGATAAGACATGTTCTTTAAGAAAGCGCGCATAGTTGAATTTACATATATTTGGTTACAAATGAATGGCAGTATTTGCAGACCACGGTGTGTTATTAAGTGTTTACAAAATTGTGTGTGTGTGTTGGTTTGGGATTATCTTCTCGTGCTTGGACAACATCGGTCAGTTTGCGCAAGTAATTGGTGAAACAGTTGGTTTTGGCCAAATTATCCATCATGATTCCAGAATTAGTTTCATGTCAATACTTGGTTGTTGTGTCATAATTGTGTCTGAAGTTTCATTGTGTGTTGCTGTCTGGTCACTTAGCTTCAAAAAATCATCTACCTGGCTTCGAGAAGCCTCCCACAGGTTTGCTGCCAATATTTAGGTGTTCCAAGGCATCGAACTTAATTGCTTGATGTGGCATTTGCTTTGGTAGATGCGACATCGGAACAGTTCAAACAGAAGATTTTACAGCAACATCAGAACAGGTCAGTCGACCGACGCTGTGCGCCCACTGAGCAAACGAACATGAATTCGGAATTCAGTGAGGGGCCACAAAGCACCCAAGATTGGCTGGGGGATTTCCGGAATCCCTTGTGTTCCTGGAACCTTGTCTTCCTGGAACCCTCGTTTCCGGAACCTTGGCACAACCCACAGCGTATATTGGAACCCTGGGTTTGCGGAACCGAGACGCGCTGATTTATTGTCACGCTGTGCCCCCCCCTGTCAGCGATTGCTCGTTGACAGGGCCTATATGGTCCTGGAACCTTGGTTTCCTTGAAAATTGGTTTTCTGGGACCCTGTCCGTAGCATGAACCTTGGTACAACCCACGGCGTATATCCGACCCCTGGGTTGTTTCCGGAACCTCGGAACCTTGCCAGAACTCTGACCTTGTCCCTGTCCGGAACCTGTGGCATAATCCAGGAAGTATATCCAAACTGTGGGTCCGCATCCGCGGTGGTTCTCGGAACCTTGTCGGAACCCAGTGTTGCTGGAACCTTGCCGGAACCCTCGTTCCCCAAACTCTGGGTTTCCAGGATGTTTCAAAATTGGTGTTCCGGTGATTCCAGAACCGCTCGAAACCATGGTAAGGTTCCCGGAACCTTGTCGAAAGCCAAGTGTGCCCGGAACCTTCCTGGCGCCGAGAACCTGGGGATCCCGGAACCTTGACGTCCCGGAACCCAAAAGGTAGCCAGAACCCATTGTTCCCAGAACCTTGCTTGAAAGTCTGGTTTGCGGAACCTGGAACCTTGCCCCGAACCCTGGTTCCCGGAACCCTGAGTTCCGGAACCTTGCCCGGAACCCTGGTTCCCGGAACCGGCAGCGGTTGGTTTCAAACAGTGGTCCAACTTTGCAACCCAAGACGGATTAATGATGGCAGGAACAGGATTCCATAGCCTAAGTCTCTTCGGCGATTTTTTGCCCGCCTTGCCCCCTCCCCTTTTGGACCAAAGGCAGGATGAGACATGTTCTTTAAGAAAGCGCGCATAGTTGAATTTACATACATTTGGTTACAAACGAATGGCAGTATTTGCAGACCACGGTGTGTCATTAAGTGTTTACAAAATTGTGTGTGTGTGTTGGTTTGGGATTATCTTGTCGTGCTTGGACAACATCGGTCAGTTTGCGCAAGTGATTGGTGAAACAGTTGGTTTTGGCCAAATTGTCCATCATGATTCCAGAATTAGTTTCATGTCAATACTTGGTTGTTGTGTCACAACTGTGTCTGAAGTTTCATTGTGTGTTGCTGTTTGGTCACTTAGCTTCAAAAAATCATCTACCTGGCTTCGAGAAGCCTCACACAGGTTTGCTGCCAATATTTAGGTGTTCCAAGGCATCGAACTTAATTGCTTGATGTGGCATGTGCTTTGGTAGATGCGACATCGGAACAGTTCAAACAGAAGATTTTACAGCAACATCAGAACAGGTCAGTCGACCGACGCTGTGCGCCCACTGAGCAAACGAACATGAATTCGGAATTCAGTGAGGGGCCACAAAGCACCCAAGATTGGCTGGGGGATTTCCGGAATCCCTTGTGTTCCTGGAACCTTGTCTTCCTGGAACCCTCGTTTCCGGAACCTTGGCGCAACCCACAGCGTATATTGGAACCCTGGGTTTCCGGAACCGAGACGCGCTGATTTATTGTCACGCTGTCCCCCCCCCTGTCAGCGATTGCTCGTTGACCGGGCCCTTTTGGTCCTGGAACCTTGGTTTCCTTGCAAATTGGTTTTCTGGGACCCTGTCCGTAGCATGAACCTTGGTACAACCCACGGCGTATATCCGACCCCTGGGTTGTTTCCGGAACCTCGGAACCTTGCCAGAACTCTGACCTTGTCCCTGTCCGGAACCTGTGGCATAATCCAGGAAGTATATCCAAACTGTGGGTCCGCATCTGTGGTGGTTCTCGGAACCTTGTCGGAACCCAGTGTTTCTGGAACCTTGCCAGAATCCTGGTTCCCCAAACTCTGGGTTTGCAGGATGTCTCAAAATTGGTGTTCCGGTGATTCCAGAACTTTGGCACAATCCAGGCTCTGGCTGCTCGAAACCATGGTAAGGTTCCCGGAACCTTGTCGAAAGCCAAGTGTGCCCGGAACCTTCCCGGAACCTTGACGTCCCGGAACCCAAAAGGTAGCCAGAACCCATTGTTCCCAGAACCTTGCTTGAAAGTCTGGTTTGCGGAACCTTGGGTTCCTGGAACCTTGCCCCGAACCCTGGTTCCCGGAACCCTGGGTTCCCGGAACCTTGCCCCGAACCCTGGTTCCCGGAACCGGTTCTCGGAACCCTGGTTCCCGGAACCGGCGAAACGAGGCGGCAGGGTCGAGCAGTGCCCCGGAGCACCCCGAAGGCTATGTGGGCTGAGACCCCAAAGCATTCTGCTGTTGTGGAACTATTGAAAATGGCCATAGAAATAGTGGACTTTCCCATTAAAAATGGTGATTTTCCATAGTTATGTAAACGTTAGCCAGAGGGTATATCATAGAATAAATATACCCTCTGGTTATGACTAAGATAGCCATGGTATAGATGGCCCATAAAAATAGATGGCCCTATTCAACCAGTGAAACATATCTGGTTGGTGGTTTGGAACATGTCTGGATTAATTTTCCATATATTGGGAATAATCATCCCAATTGACTTTCATATTTTTCAGAGGGGTTGAAACCACCAACCAGATAAAATAGAATAAATATATCCTCTGGTTATGACTAACATAGCCATGGTATAGACGGCCCATAGAAATAGATGGTTTACCGTTCTTAAAAATGGTGGATCTTTCCATGTCTATGTTGAATAACCAGATGGTATCTATATATATATGTATATATATTTATGTGTTTAGTTAGTTCAACTATAGCTCTATTTATATGTCTTATATGTTATCCGGATCTATCATATCTTTTTTATCCATTTGTACTTTAATAATTGTTCAATATTGTTCAACATTTTTTTTGACCTTTTATACTGGTGGTGTAGTATTTTAGCCTGTTGCTAGATACATGTGCCTTTGTTTGGCAAGGTGCCTGAGATTGGACAGGAGGAAAAAACAACCTGTAGCTGACACTTGTTTGCTCCTAGGGGTGACATGTTGCGAGGCATTGCTGAAACATTTTAGACAGCAGTGGAAGTCTTGCAGGATAAATTTGGGCATTGGCAAATTATAATAAATTATATCAAATTATGCTTAATATTAAATAGCATGTTTGTTTATGCCCTTGAAATCTTCCATTGTGAAAGGGATAAGGTTATCACTCTTCGCCATCTCAGAAGCCTGAGCTAACAAAATGAACTACAAATTAGTTTTTGATTGACCATATTGCCATATTTATCAGGGATATGTTCACAGTTTTGGTGATTCCATCATCTCAAGTCATGTTTGCTCGGTTTATCTCCCATATAATTGACCGCCATTTGCAACGCTTCTGACAGGTGTTGTTGCAGCACCTCCAACAGCTGGCAGAGGCGAAGAGTTGTTGGGCCCCGTGGTGGCAGGGTCGGGATCCCAACAGTCATCCATCAAAAATCTGCTACAAGATCTCGGGTTCACTTAGAAAAAAACCCTGGTTGCCAGAACGAGTTTCCAGAGACAACGCACCGTTGGAAACCTGGAACTCATGCAGCATGTCTGTATGTATACAGTTAATTTCAGTTGATTAATGTTAACTACATTTATTATCATTTATTTATAGATGTCATCCAGTCATCCACACCATTCTTGTTCAACTCTCATTTTGCCAACCCGCATGCCATACTTTGGTGGTCGGAACTCTTAAGGACTCCAACGGAAGCAATTTCTTGGACACCGGCCGCGCGCCGCCAAGCGGCACGGCCCGGGCGTTGGAGAGGCTGCGGGCGCTCATTGAGGACTTGGCATGTTGCTCAAGGTTGGAGGCGTAGCCAGTTCCCCATATTTCCCCCAGACGGTAGCTATTAGCTCAAAGGTTCAAACATGCGTCGGACTAAGCAAAAAAAATTCTCGATGGAATCAAAATTCTCTATGGAGTCTTTCTAAAAACTACTACTGCTTCAACCAGTTGTGACACCAATCGTGATACCAGTCGTGAAATCTTGGCCAGACTGAAAGATCCCATATAGAGCGACAGGATTTAGACAATTAATTTAATGCAAACTTGACTTTTTCTTTTTCGCATTTCACGCACTCACTGGGTTCGTCACCACTGAAATCGGCATCACGGCAGGATTCTACCCGACGTTACCTCCATGGATCTTTGAAGCAACTGGGCGGCAAAGCCATGGACGCCCTTCAGCGGATTCACGTGTCATGGCTCTTGGGCGTGGCAAATCACGTCAGGTGGTGGGGTTGGAGTCACAGACTCATATGATTTATGGTCAGATAAGTGGATTATCTGTAGTTACTGTAATCTAGGTCAATCTTAGATGGATACTTTAATCCTTTAGTCTTTTGGGAATATCTACTAACCAGCAAAGAATTTAATTTTTTGCAGGGTATCTAAGAGTGGCAATGTAATGAGCAAATGAAATTTAAAACCAACTTATAACTAGGCCCCCCCATTGTGAAATATGTATTGCCTCCACAAACGAAACCCTGGTAGAATATATATATATTGGATCAAGTCATGAACGAAACGGGTCCCACAATATTGGGGGTCTTCGTCAGGGCATGGGATGTGGAAACTCTGGCTGCTCAAATTCAACCTATGACACTGGAGAGAGTTTTACCCAAATTGGGGATTTGGGGCATTTGGGGGGTTGGTATTGGTTAAGAAAAAATGACATTGATGGAAATTGGTGTTCAAAATGGTTGATAAGTGTTCCTGGCCACCTCTTGCGCAGCCAGTTGATTCAGCCCTTTGGAGGTCAGTATCCCTTCAAGTTGGGCGAGGGTCGGCTGCGATGCCATCATGGCCATGCCACATGTGCCATGGTAGCGACCAGACCAGGGGTTGAAGATGAACATCTCGAAGTTGGTTGGTGGTTTGGAACATGACTTTTATGACTTTCCATATATTGGGAATAATGATCCCAACTGACGAAATCATATTTTTCAGAGGGGTAGGTATACATGGTATACCACCAACCAGAAAGCATGTTTGAATATGTGTAACACCATTCCTTGACTAGGTACTGGATAGTCCAGTGGATAGTGACAATCTAAGGACATCGATGCTACAACATGACCCACCGGTGCCCAGCTGGTCAAACGCAAGCACACCAAACATGGGTTATGACTTATGACATGTTATGCCATGTTATGCCTATCTTGTGGCGAGGAGGGGGCTAAGGAGCTATGGTCATCCATATTCCAATACATTATCATCATTATCGGGAGCGGAGCTACAATCAGAGTTTCCCCACGTGATAGAATGATATACCCTCTGGTAAACTAACATAACTATGGAAAATCATCATGTTTCATGCGAAAACTCACTATAAATGGCCATTTTCCATAGCTTTTTCCCCGCTATAGGGGTTCTTACTTCTCAAAGGTGGGGTCTTCGGTGGCGAACTTTTGGCCAAGGTGCTCTGCAGGGTGCTGTGCAGGGTGCTGTCCAGACTGCGGTGGCGAAGTCTGGCAAAGGTGCTGTGCAGGGTGCTGTGCAGGGTGCTGTCCAGACTGCGGTGGCGAAGTCTGGCAAAGGTGCTGTGCAGGGTGCTGTGCGGGGTGCTGTGCAGGGTGCTGTGCTGTGCAGGGTGCTGTCCAGACTGCGGTGGCGAAGTCTGGCAAAGGTGCTGTGCAGGGTGCTGTCCAGATTGTGGTGGCGAAGTCTGGCAAAGGTATTGTGCAGGGTGCTGTGCAGGGTGTTGTCCAGACTGCGGTGGCGAAGTCTGGCAAAGGTGCTGTGCAGGGTGCTGTGCAGGGTGCTGTGCAAGGGTGCTGTGCCAGGGTGCTGCCATGCAACTGCAGTGGCGAAGTCGGCAACGGTGCTGTCAGGGTGCTGTTGGTAGGTGCTGTGCAGGATGCTGTGCAGGGTGCTCTGCACTGCGGTGGCGAAGTCTGGCAAAGGTGCTGTGCAGGGTGCTGTGCAGGGTGCTGTCCAGACTGCGGTGGCGAAGTCTGGCAAAGGTGCTGTGCAGGTGCTGTGCAGGGTGCTGTGCGAGTGGCGGTCGCAGACTGCGGTGGGGCCGAAGTCTGCAAAGGTTCTGTGCAAGGGTGCCTGTGCATGGTGCTGTCCACGAACTGCGGGGGCGAAGTCTGGCGAAGGTGCTGTGCGGGTGCTTGTGCAGGTTGCTGGGCAGGGTGCTGTTACTAGTTGCGGAGGCGGAGGTCTGGCAAAGGTGCTGTGGAGGGTGCTGCGGTGCTGTCCAGACTGCGGTGGCGAGTCTGCACGGTCTGTGGCAGGGCCTGTGGCAAAGTGTGCTGCCCAGACTGGGTGGCCGACTCGGCAAAAGGTGCTGTGCAAGGTGCTGTCCAGCGAAGTCTGGCAAAGGTGCTGTGCAGGGTGCTGTGCATGTGCTGTGCAGGGTGCTGTGCAGGGTGCTGTGCAGGGTGCTGTCCAGACTGCGGTGGCGAAGTCTGGCAAAGGTGCTGTGCAGGGTGCTGTGCAGGGTGTTGTCCAGACTGGCAAAGGTGCTGTGCAGGGTGCTGTGCAGGGTGCTCTGCAGGGTGTTGTCCAGAGTGCGGTGGCGAAGTCTGGCAAAGGTGCTGTCCAGACTGCGGTGGCGAAGTCTGGCAAAGGTGCTGTGCAAGGTGCTGTGCAAGGTGCTGTGCAGGGTGCTGTGCTGTTCAGACTGCAGTGGGGAAGTCTGCTGTGCAGGGGGTTGTGCAGGGTGCTGTGCAGGTTGCTGTGCAGGGTGCTATACTAGCTACTAGTGCGGTGGCGAAGTCTGGCAAAGGTGCTGTGCAGGGTGCTGTGCAGAGTGCTGCTCAGACTGCAGTGGCGAAGTCTGGCAAAGGTGCTGTGCAGGGTGCTGTGCAGAGTGCTGTGCAGGGTGCTGTGCAGGGTGCTGTGCAGGGTGCTGTCCAGACTGCGGTGGCGAAGTCTGGCAAAGGTGCTGTGCAGGGTGCTGTGCAAGGTGCTGTGCAGGGTGCTGTGCAGGGTGCTGTCCAGACTGCGGGTGCGAAGTCTGGCGAAGGTGCTGTGCAGGGTGCTGTGCAGGGTGCTGTGCACAGGGTGTTGTCCAGACTGCGGTGGCGAAGTCTGGCAAAGGTGCCGTGCAGGGTGCTGTGCAGGGTGCTCTGCAGGGTGTTGTGCAATTGTCTGTCCATGCCAGACTGCGGTGGCGAAGTCTGGCAAAGGTGGCTGTGCAGGTGCTGTGCAGTGTGCTGTGCAGGGTGCTGTAACTAGTGCGGTGGCCCGGGGAAAGTCTGGCAAAGCTGCTGTGCAGGGTGCTGTGCAGGGTGCTGTCCAGACTGCGGTGGCGAAGTCTGGCAAAGGTGCTGTGCAGGGTGCTGTGCAGGGTGCTGTGCAAGGGGGCTGTGCAGGGTGCTGTGCAGGGTGCTGTGCAGGGTGTTGTCCAGACTGCGGGGGCGAAGTCTGGCAAAGGTGCTGTGCAGGGTGCTGTGCAGGGTGTTGTCCAGACTGCGGTCTGGCAAAATTGCTGTGCAGGGTGCTGTGCAGGGTGCTGTGCTGTTCAGACTGCAGTGGCGAAGTCTGGCAAAGGTAACATAAATTCTAACTTCTGGGAACCGGCAATTCCTTGCAATGGTAACCTCTGGTTCCCAGGTTGGGAACCGTAAGTTTCAAGGTCTGGGAACCGGCAGTTCCTTGCCATGGTGGTTCCCACGTTGGGAACCGTCAGTTCCAACTTTAGGAACCGGAAGTTCTTTGCAATGGTAACCTTTGGTTCCCAGGTTGGGAAGCAGGAGTTCCAACCTCTGGGAACCGGCAGTTCCTTGCAATGGTAACCTGTGGTTCCCACGTTGGCAACCGTGAGTTCCAACCTTTGGGAACCGGCAGTTCCTTGCCATGAACCAAACGCAAACATTCCGGTACCGGTCCATTAAGCAAAACAAAGCGATCTGTACCGGTCCATTAAGCAAAACCATAAAATTGTAAAGAAACTGTTTTCATATCATTTTGACATGCACCTTTTTCGTGCATTTTTTTTTGGCCCAACAGCCAAACGCAAACATTCCGCTACCGGTCCATTAAGCAAAACAAAAGGTTCTGTTACCGGCTCAGTAAACAAAACAAAACAACATTAAGAACCATGAGTTCTAACTTTTTGCAATCAACAGATCCTTCCAACTGGGAACGTTACATTTTCAGGCTTGGAACCATGAGTTTCAAGCTTTGGGAACCCGCAGTTCCTTACAATGATAGCCGCTTAGCTTCGAAAGCATAAATTCTAACTTCTGGGAACCGGCAATTCCTTGCAATGGTAACCTCTGGTTCCCAGGTTGGGAAGGTCTGGGAACCGGCAGTTCCTTGCCATGGTACCCTTTGGTTCCCACGTTGGGAACCATCAGTTCCAACCCTTAGCAATTGGAAGTTCTTTGCGATGGTAACCTATGGTTCCCAGGTTGGGAACCATGACTTCTAACCTGTGGGAACCGGCAGTTCCTTGCCATGGTAACCTTTGGTTCCCACGTTGGGAACCATCAGTTCCAACCTTTAGGAATTGGAAGTTCTTTGCAATGGTAACCTATGGTTCCCAGGTTGGGAAGCATGAGTTCCAACCTCTGGTAACCGGCAGTTGCTTGCAATGGTAACCCATGGTTCCCAGGTTGGGAACCAGGAGTTCCAACCTCTGGGAACCGGCAGTTCCTTGCAATGGTAACCTGTGGTTCCCACGTTGGCAACCGTGAGTTCCAACCTTTGGGAACCAGCAGTTCCTTGCCATGAACCAAACGCAAACATTCCGGTACCGGTCCATTAAGCAAAACAAAGCGTTCTGTACCGGTCCATTAAGCAAAACCATAAATTGTAAAGAAACTGTTTTCATATCATTTTGACATGCACCTTTTTCGTGCAAAAACATTTTTATGCCGGCCCAACAGCCAAACGCAAACATTCCGCTACCGGTCCATTAAGCAAAACAAAAGGTTCTGTTACCGGCTCAGTAAACAAAACAAAACAACATTAAGAACCATGAGTTCTAACTTTTTGCAATCAACAGATCCTTCCAACTGGGAACGTTACATTTTCAGGCTTGGAACCATGAGTTTCAAGCTTTGGGAACCCGCAGTTCCTTACAATGATAGCCGCTTAGCTTCGAAAACATAAATTTGAGACTTCAAAAGTAGCAAGGGAGCCTTATGTTAAAAATATTTTTATTTATGATTTTTTTATGATTTTAATATGATTAAATTTATGATTTGTTTTTTTTCCATTTTTTTTAATGAAAAAAATATGATGAAATTTATGATGAAATTTATGTTTTTTTTCGTTCTGGCATTTTTATGTTTTTTTTGTTTTTTTTATGATTTTTTATGATGTTTTTTATGATTTTTTATGATTTTTTTTATTTTTTTCATGATTTTTGTAATGATTTTTGATGCTGAATTTTATGTTTTTAATTTTCTTTATTTTAGGTGAAAATTTTGATGTTTTCAATACGAAATGTTCAAATGTTCTTCTCCATGTTTGGAGCCTTTTGCACCACAGTCTTTGAACCAAAGCACAAAGATTTTTTAGAAGGATTTAGAAGGGATTCATCCTAGCCGCTCCTAGCCTAAAATGACTATGACTATGACTATGACTAGTGACTATGACTAGACTAATCTTAACCCAAGAAAGGTATCAAGCTGCCACAACATAGACCCAAAATGGAGCGCAATCCAACCCCAACAAGTTTCGGTTGAGCTTGCTTTCCACCCGGATCTAGCCCAACATAAGCAATTTTGGCACCCAAATTGCGCAACAAAGCTCCACAAGTTGCCACAACATAGATCCACTCTTCGCCAATATTAGGGCCAAAACCTTGAGAAACATTCTGTGTTTTCCTTGGTGGTAAACAAACAGGACAATGACAATTTTTCCGAATGTGGTATTCGATGGTCTCCGATCTAAGAAAATGACAATCTCTTCCACTGCAGGGGCACAGGCCAATCCAATCCAAGAGTTCCCTGCCGGGCTGGTTCTGGGGCAGGGCAAAACGATTGACATAGTCATAGTCATAGTCATTCATAGTAGTGACATAGTGACATAGTGACTGTGACATAGTGACATAGTGTGCGCAAAAAAAGAAGTATAAGTTTAAGCCTAGGCCTAGGCCTATAAGTCCTAAGTAAAATGTAATTTTTTAAATAGTTAAATAGTTAGTTAGTTGTGAATTTTTGCAGTGTTGGGGCCATGTTGGGGCCATGTTGGGCCAAGAACAATGTGTTCTTTTTGGGCCTGGTATCAAAGCCTAAAACATGCCGTTTTTGGGCCATGTCGGGGCCATGTTAAGCGGGCCTACATGGGGCCTATGTCCTGTGTTGGTCTGAGTCTATGTTGGGCCCTTGGGACCAGGTGTATCAGATACACCTCCCAATTTTTGCGTCATGTTGGTCCTTGGCTTGGGGCCAGGTGTCTCAGTGTTTCAGATATGCTTGCCAATTTTTGTCATGTCAGGGCTAATGTCAGCAGCTATGTTGGGAACCTATGACCTATGTTGGGCCTATGGTCCATGTTGTGCGCTTGGGACCAGGTGTATCATATCAGATATCAGATGCACCTGGCAACCTTTGGGTCGTGTCAGGGCCATGTTGGGGCCATGCTGGGGCATGTTGCGCGTAATGTGGCCCAAGAACGGCGCGTTCATTTGGGACTTGTATCAAGGCCTAAAAGAACATGCCGTTTTTGGGGCATGTCGGGGCCATCTTAGGCCTATATACACATGTTGGGCCTATGTTGGTCCATGTTGGGCGCTTGGGACCAGGTGCATCAGATGATGTCAGGGCCATGTTGAGCTTAGGTTGAGCCTAAAACCTAGGTTGAGCCTATGGGACAAGGTGTATCAGTGTATCAGATACACCTGCCACCTTTGGGGTCATGTCAGGGGCATGTTGAGCTTAGGTTGGGCCTAGGGCCTAGAATCTAGAATCCAAAATTTTCTTTGCTCAGGCCAAGGACCTCTTTCAAAGGAAATCTTGTTCTAGGATTCTAGGTCAAGCTTATGTCAATGTGGGGCCAAGAAAGATGCGATCATGTGGGCTTATGTTCAGCCATTTTCAACCCAGACTACCCGGACCTTAGAAAAATTAGGTCTGGGTTCGTTTTTGACTCATGTAGTGTAGGGCAGTGTAGGGGCCATGTTGGGCCTACGTGGGACCTATGTATATGTTGGGCCTATGTGGGGCCCTTGGGGCCCATGCTGGGGCATGTTGCACGCAATGTTGGGGCCATATGCCATATTGGGCCAAGAACGGCGTGTTCATTTGGGGCTTGTATCAAGGTCCCATATGAACACGCCGTTTTTGGGTCATGTCGGGGCCTCGGGGCCGTGTTGGGCCTGCATTGCCAGATATGGGACCTTTGTTGAGCTTATGGCTTATGTTGGGTCTGTTGAGGGACTTCGCTGGAGGCCCTGATTTGGTGGTTGTTTTGGGAAAAAGTTGGAACTATGTTGGGCCTATGTTGGGCCCGTGTTGGACTGTGTTGGGCTCTTGTGGGCCATGTTGAGCCTATGTTGAGCCCATGTTGTGCCAAGAACAGGATGTATGACAGGCTATGCTGGGGCCATGTTGGGGGCCTGGCAACAGCACGGGAAGGCACCGAGACTTTTATAACGGGGGCTTTCCCGCTGTTGTATTTTTCGGAACCACGTTGGGGCCGCGGCCATGTTGGGCCAAGAGCCACGTGTGCATCTGGGCCTTGGCACCAAGGCCCAAATGCACACACCGTTTTTGGGTCATGTCGGGGCCTTCTTGCGCCTATGCTGGTTGTGTTGGTACGTACCTGTGGGGTCTCTCGCCTTCATTTATTAATAATAATTATTAATAATCAATAAATAATAAAAATATTTATTTTTCCCCACCTGCCAGGTGAGGGTTGTTAGATTTTATGTCAGTTGCCTCCTCCTCCTCCTCCTCCTCCTTCTCCTCCTCCTCCTCCGCCTCCTCCTGCCTCGTCCTCCTCTCCTCCTCCTCGTCCTCCTCGCGTCCTCGTCGTCCTCGTCGTCCTCGTCGTCCTTGCTCAACTGCGACCCGCGATCCACAGTGTTCTCTGCCGGACCTCAACCACGACCATCCACGCCCAGTGTTCCCTGCCGGACCTCAACGCGAGTATCCACGCCAAGTGTTCCCTGCCGGACCTCATGTAGGAAGATATGGGACAAAGAATGTGCAGAAGAAAGTTAGAAAGAATGTCAGAAGAATGTCAGATAGAATGTCAGAAGATATGCCAGATAGAATGCCAGATAAAATGCCAGAAGATATGCCAGATAAGACCAGATGCCAGATGCCAGAAGATTTGCCAGATAATATGCCAGAAGATATGCCAGATAGAATGCCAGAAGATATGCCAGAACATATGCCAGAAGAAGAGGTATATGCCAGATATGCCAGATAGAATGCCAGAAGATATGCCAGATATAATGCCAGAAAGATATGCCATATATATGCCAGAGATATGCCAGATAGAATGCCAGATAGAATGCCAGAAGATTTGCCAGATAGAATGCCAGAAGATATGCCAGAAGATATGCCAGATCATATGCCAGAAGATATGCCAGATAGAATGTCAAATAGAATGTCAGAAGATATGCCAGATAGAATGCCAGAAGATTTGCCAGTAAGAAAATGTATTATAAAGTATAAATGTCATGGTGGGGATCACACGAAGTAAAGTAATTTCTTTATTTTGATGACTTGGGCACAACAGAATTATGGACATGATTCCAGAATTCAGGTTGCTTGGGGAAGTCCGTAGCTTATTGACAGTGAACGTGTTGTGAGAAACCGCACCATTGGTAGGTGACGCAATCCATGCCCGCTTTTAACCAATGTTTTCAATTTGCATGCCATATGCCACAATGTCACATATGTCATATATGTCCATACATCATACATATATATATATATTTATATATATATTAATAATTAATATTAATATTATATATATATATATTATATGTATGTTTTGCATTCCGAGAACTTGTTCGGCTGCGTTTTTCCTGTATGCAGAGTTTGACAACCGCAACCAGGACACGAGGAAAATTTCATGAATAATGAGTCTACTGAGTCTACTGTTTCAAGTTTCAAGTTTAAGTTCATGTCATGTTCTCACCACTAGTCACTACCCTACCAGACTCAAACGAAGGAAACAGAGAGTTTGAAACAGCCAAGGCAACAAGAAACAGTGAAGGACACCCAGATATTTTTCAGGACCTAGACCTAGACTCTAGACTCTAGACTCTACACTACACCCAGACCTAGGACCTAGGACCTAGGCCTAGGCTGGACCTAGGACCTAGACCTGACCTTGAACCTCCAGATTCTAAAATGTTGGACCTAGAAATCTAGAATCTAGATTCTAGATCTAGAACCTACAGTCTAGAGAGTCTAGAATTAGGAGATAGAAAAACAGAGTATTATCCAAATAGTTTTGGAAAGAGATCAGAACAGCACCATAAACACAATTTCCCTTGAAAGGGTTCCCCGAGGACCCATTTTAAGGGAAATCTTTTTCTTAGCGGAAGCGCCAGGAAGGTCAGTTCATGCTCATGATGTGTTGCTTGAAAACTGAGACGGCGAACATTTCGAAACAATTGCGAAAATGTTTTCTTGTGCAGGTCAGTCAATCATTTTTCCGGTCAAGCTGCCAATGGTCCCTGAAAGTTTGGCCCAGGGAGCAGCGCAAGGAAAGCAATTGGCGATCTGGTCTGTAGGATTTAGGACCATGCCCGATGTTCTCATGAAAACAGATGGTTTCAAAGTTTCAAGCACAAATTCAGCGGTGCTGTGACAGGTTATTTTTTGAGCATGACAGTGTTTGCCACTGGCATCGGTTTTTGGTCACAGCTCAATTAGTGGGGTTCCACGCAAGTAGCATGAACATACTGACAGGATCACATGTCACAACTTTTTTTTTGACCTTGTAGTCAAGTCGCTGCTGACGGCACCATGGCAGCCTTGAATGGTGACATCCCAGCAGATGCCAGGGAGGAGCACATAGCTGACGTAGCTCTTGCTGATGTTTGGTGGGTGACAGCCTTGAAGGATCACACTTGCAAACTTGGCTTGGTAGTGCCTCCCACCCCTGCGCCAGTGACCATGATCTCAGGATGCACAGGGTGTTTTGCTGAAGCGTTTGTTTTCAAGGACTGGGTGCTGAGACTTGAGCAGTGACTGGACTCGACTAGACTTGGACTCAGACTTAGACTTTGACTTTGATTGGATTGTTGGCCAGATTGTTGCAAATCACTTCTACTAAGACCTAAGATTCAACTAGTTACTACTTACTACCAATGTTCGTGTTTGTTGACATGCCATGCCATGACCACTTCACTAAACTCAGAAAACATGTTTTGAGAAAACAGCCATCAAAAGAGGTTGAGCCACTAGAAAGAGATGTAGGACGGTGTAGGCTGCTTGAAAGCAGGGGGTAGCCCTTGCACTTTTGGGGGCGGTCGAGATGGGGGTTTATGCAAAGCCCACCTTTTTTGTCCCAATGGCTTAGCACCAATTCAAGGGGCATTCAAGGGTTCAGGTGTCATGGGTCATGTCTTGAGTCTTGTGGATTGGTGGCTGCGACGTTTGTGACATGGTTTTCTTCACGGTGCTTCTGCAACCTTATTCAATTCTTTGATGTTGAAGGCCATGTCCTGTGTTTGGTTTGCTTGGTTATGCCATGCACTTGTCAGGAGTTGGGAATCCCATTCCGAGCTCTTGGCATTTCAGAGATGAACCCAGCTTACCAGAACTTTTGCAAAGAGAACCACATGTTTGAGCACTTGCACGCGACGATGGAGGAGCAGAGTTGTGCTGCACCTTGCCTCTTGCACAATGGTGTGGATCATTGTAGCCCTGCCGTGGGGGCTGATGGTGAGTTTCAGAGCCCTGCCTTTGCATGCTTTGGGACTCCATGTCCCCCCTTTTCCCCTCAGAGGCCAAAGCGGTTTCATAAGGGATCAGTCCAAGAGCACCATGCCTACATGACAACGTTTCAAGGAGCAGTCAGTTTCATGAAACGCTTTGAACCGAAGACGGCAATCATGGAACAAGTCGAAGGCTTTGACCAGAGGTTCAGTTCGGACGAACCTGAAACCCCAAAGACGAGGCTGGATGTTTTAAGGATTTGTGCTGCTACAGTGCTGCTACAGTGCAGTTTTTGTGACAGAGATTGGCACATAGGATCAAAGGACCATAGGACATAGGACATGCATACACTTGGACATAGGCATAGGCATAGACAGAATGCAGACATTCACATAGATATAGATTCATGTCATAGACTCGATAGACAATGATTCACTATATATTGACTATTGACCGTTGGACTGCTGTGTAGTAGACGCCTTAGACTGTAGGCTTCTGACGTATCAGGTTGAATTTGCTGGTTGGATTGTACATGGATTGAGTAAGTTGCCGGAGCACTGTCACTACTAAGTGTAAGTCACTAGTCACTAGGTCACCAGTCACTAGGCTTAGTTTCAGATTCCAACCTTGCTTTTGTTCTTGGGCCCAACAGAATTCAGCTTGAACTCTTTGAAAAAGATGATAGCGTTATTGGTAAGAGCCTGTTGCTTTTGCTGTTGTAGATGTCTTCTGCATCGTGCCCCTCTTGTTACCTTTGCGTCCCTTCTTCGTACTTTCCGCTCCTCGCGTTCTCTGTGTCGTATGCGTTAATGCAACAAACTCACAACTGAATAAATCCAGTTTCCTTAGGTAACTTGGAAGTTTGGAGTTTGGACTGGTCTAAGAGTCTAAACGATGCGGAAATAAGGTTTTTATTTCCGCATTGGAAAGCTAGAGTCTAGAGGTTTGTTCTGGGAATAACTAAATGAGCCTTAGATGCTCATCTACTTTTACACTGGAAATTCTATATGTTTCCATAAATGAGTTAATGCAACAAACTCACAACTGAACAAATCCAGTTTCCTTCAGGTAACTTGGAAGTTTGGACTGGTCTAAACGATGCGGAAATAAGGTTCTTATTTCCGCATTGGAAAGCTAGAGGTTTGTTCTGAGAGTAACTAAATGAGCCTTAGATGCTCATAACAAAATTTCCTTTGAAAGGGGCCCCCAAGGTGAAAGAGGTCCTGGCCAAGAATGTTCCCTATGCGTGCGAAGCCCCCAAGATTAATTTCGAAAGAGTTTTTCATACAAAGGCAAAAACTCGGTCGAAATTAATCTTGGAGGCTTCTATAGGCCAGGACCCCTTTCACCTTGAGGACCCCTTTCAAAGGAAATGTTGTTTCATTTACTTTTACGCTGGAAATTCTATATGTTTCCATAAATGAGTTAATGTGCAACAAACTCACAACTGAACAAATCCAGTTTCCTTCAGGTAACTTGGAAGTTTGGACTGGTCTAAACGATGCGGAAATAAGGTTTTTATTTCCACATTGGAAAGCTAGAGTCTAGAGGTTAGTTTGTTCTGAGAATAACTAAATAAGCCTTAGATGCTCATCTACTTTTACACTGGAAATTCTATATGTTTCCATAAATGAGTTAATGCAACAAACTCACAACTGAACAAATCTCAAACGGAAATCGTTTTTTGTTCTTGTTTGTTTTGTCACTGCAAGGGTTGCCAAACCTTTTGTTTGCAACGTGTCGTCTTGAATTCAGTGATGAACATTTTGATCTGAATCTATGTGTTTCTCAATGTTGAAGTGTTGCGTCTGCAACTTTCACATCAAGGTGTGGGTGGGTGGGTTTTGACCCCAGAATGGCTCGAGATATTCCCAGAAAGGGTTCGGTATGACCCCCATCAGGCTTCCATGGAGGTCTCTGGGTGCTCTTTAAGGGTTTTACTGGGCCAAAAACCGATCAAAATCTGAGCCCGTCGCGAAAAAAATAAGTCCAACCGAATTTGTTTGGGGGCTATGTTGAGCCATGTAGGGGCCAATGAGGGCCATGAGGGCGCCAAAATTTCGCGTCAAAAATTCGGGAATTTTCGACGCGAAAGATTGTACCAAAATAATCACCAAACTGGCCCCCAAATGGCCCAGTAAAACCATTAAAGAGCACCCAGAGACCTTCATGGAAGCTTGATGGGGGCCATACCGAGCCCTTTTTGGGAATATCTCGCGCCATTTTGGGGGCTATGTTGAGCCATGTAGGCAATGTAGGGGCTATGTTGGGTCAAAAACCGATCAAAATCTGAGCCCTTCGCGAAGGGCTCAGATTTTTGGCGGTTTTCTTCCCGAAAAGGGTTGCCAGAGACCTCATGGAACCTTATATGCGCGGGGCGTTCAACTGGCTAGGCTAGAATGGCGGCTAGAAACAATAAAAAACTTGTTGCTCCTGATCCCCATTTATAGGGCCTATGCATATGCCAACGGCCCGATGCCCTGTTGCAAATTTGATATGCTCATGGCTTGTTTTTCTTTGAAAGGTGTGTGGCTTTAGAGTAAATTGGAATAGAACCTGTGTGTTGCATGGATGTGCCGGGGTGCAAGTTTTGTTGGCATCTGAAAGTCCTTAGAAGTCACATTTTTGCCACTGCAAGAGTTTCCAAGTAACAGGGCCCCCAGGAGATCTGCACATTGTGCTTACGGCTTAAAGGGTCTTTTTTGGGGTCGTTCGGCATGAGGCCACCTTGCTGGTTATGCAATTAGTTATATGCTACTAGTTGATTGTTTTGGCGCATGCTGTAAACACATTGGCATACTGAGACATGACGCCAGAGGTGTGTCTGCTGTTAGGTTAGGCGAACTGGGTGGTGTCGCAAAGTGGTTTGGCCAATATGTTCCATGGCCTGATGGAACTCATGTCTTACGTCTGCACTTCCTCCCATGTCTTACTCCTTGTCCTTGACTTGCTCAAAAAGCATATTTTTGATTCTGATCTATTTAATTTTGAAGGGTGGGGAAATTTGGATAGATTTGGTGTTTCCAGTTTTGGTTGAGTTCCACTTTTGAATTTTGCCTTATTATTTCTTCTTGCATGCTATGTTGCCCTTCTGGGCACTACCTAGCAGCCCTAGCCCTAGCATTTGACCTTGGGCAGGTTTGTTTCCCTTCTGGCGCAAACAGAGTGGAAGAACGGTGGCTATTTGATCTTGACCTTCAAGATGGCAGCCGATGATTGGATGAGCATTAGCCGCCGCAGGACTGAAGAATTTGCTGGCACTTTGTCACTTTGCCAGTTGCCGCTTTGCTGAGTGAACCGGTTAGCCTTAAGCCTTAAACTGCCTGAAAGCCTTAAACTTGAACATCCAGACATGTTTCAGCCTTTGTCGTTCTGTGGGAACACCCAGGCGGCTGTGGATGATGATGATTGTTTTTGACTGTTCTCTCGTTCTTGCTTTGAAGAATCAGAGTGATGTCTCTGTTGCAGCTGGCTCACCCCTTCTCATGTCATTGCCCTGGCTCAATCCAAGTTGGTCTGATCTGCCGTCAGGGCATGATTGGATCATTGGAGTGAAGTGTCCAAATGTAACAAACAAGCTAACTCAACCTCACTGTAACTAACCAACTCGAGTGCTTAGAACCCTGGCCCTAAATTTTGGAACCTGAAGGAAAGAGAGAACACAACAACCCAAATCTGAAAACGCTGTTTCAAGGATTCAAGGCCAGATATTGCACAGTCCAATTCATCTATGTCATGTGTTTTTCTCCCAGTGAATTTTAAACTCAGACCATCTAAGCGCTTCACGCACTACACCAAGGAGATACAGATAGTAACGATTAGTGATTAGTAAGTAATAGTGAACAGTAGTTATTTCTAATTCTAATACTGTACTTATACTACCTGCAGTTTCGCAAGTTCGTTATTTAGCCAAGCGCGCCCAGTGAACCTTCCTAGAATCTAGAACATTAGGTAACTAGTCATCGACCAGTGGCCCAATGTCTGTTGATGATTGCGCCAGTCCGCCAGTCACTAGCCAACGCTGTACTGTAGCACTGAAACCCATCATCACTCACAACCAGCATGAACTCAGACTGCGTGAATCTTTGCTGTCTAGAGTCTAGAGTCTATGCCATGCCAGCCATGTCTATAACCAACTGCATCGCCTTGCCAATGATCTTGGAACTTGATGGGAAAGGTTGGCAGGCCTCGGGGAACATTTGGTGGGGCCAATCTCCGCCGCGCAATCAGAGAAAACCTTGAACAAGGACAACCCGGTCCAGGCAATGCTCTTGCACGGCAGGGTGCAGACACAGATGCAAATTCAAATGTTCAGCCAGAGGATGTGATTGAAAATATCCCTTGTGGGCCACATCGTGATTTTGAAGCGCCATCATGTGCCAGCTTGTTGCAACAACAAGTGCTGTTCCATGCCGCTCAACAGGCAAAGCGCGAAGATTTGGAGGCTGAAGATGTGCCAAGAGGAGACAGTGTGAACCCAGCTAAAAACATCTTGTTTCAAGGAAGACACTGTATCATGTCTAGATCTGTCTCCCAAGCGACTTCTGGAACTGACCGTATTGTTGCTTCACTTGTCTTGCAAGCAGTGGGTGGGCTGTGGTGCTCTTTTTTGAGTTTCATCCAGCAGTTGATTCGCAGTGGACAGTGGAAGGGCCTGCTGTTTAGCGTCGCCCGTCGTTATGATGAGACGCCGCTGCGCTCGCGAGTCAATTCAAAATCCGAAACACAGCAAGATTCGCAAGATGCGACATCTGGTCAATCAGGTCTTGACCCTTCTGTTGCCAAAGTGCCGAAGGCAGCAAAGATAATGCAAAGCGAGTTCTTTATTCATGCAGTGCTGCAGCATGTCCAAAGTGGACGCCCGGTGCACCTGAAAGGCAAAGTGCCTACTTTTCTGCAGTGCCTTCAAACAACAAAAGCCCAGCAAATTTCCCAGTGCCAGCAGGCAGTCATGTCCGAGGTGCCAAACTTGAGGTCTACAGCTGATTGTTTCTTGATGCGGCAAATGTTTGTAACAACTGACAGGTTTGGAGCTAACTTGTCTGCAGAGAAAGATTTGCAATCAAAATTTGCAGGTGAGACTTCACACAAACCCTTTGGGTGGACCCAGTCCTCTTGCGTGGTCCACATGGTGTCGTCATGCGAGAAAGCCATGTCGGATGTACTTGGCGGGCATACTGGCGGAATGATCTCCGTTGGATTGGCCATGTGGACGGTCGGGGCCACAAAGGAGTTGAGAAAATGCTTGATGTCTGTTTTCGAAGAGGAATTGCCAATTCGTGTTGGAGAAGCGCGTGGCCATCAACATCGCCGAGCATTATATGACTTGTTTCTTCCTTTAGACGACAGCACATGTACAGAGATCAATAACCCTGAAAAGAAGAAGAGGCGGAAGTATTCCCAAAGGGATACTGCCAGAAGGCGGGCAATCATTTCCCATTATTTGAATGGCGACGTGGGTCCAGACAGCCTTGGCATCATCCATTGGAGCAAAGACCCTCTGTCAAGGGAGGATTTGCTCCAGGAAATTGAACTTCTTTTGGTTCCAGCTTTGATTCCGGGGCCATGCCCGGTTTTGAATCGAGGCAAATGGCTGGGCTGCGAAAAGACTTTTCGTTGGATCGGGCTGCTCCTTAGCCACTTTGACCTACTGCCAAAGATTTTCAAACGGTGGAAAGGCAATAATCCAGCATCCGGTGCCACTGCTGCTCCCTCATCCCTGGATGGGGCTGAAGTTGGGCCACAATGGGGTGGCTGGCTGAGGGTTGCCCAAATCGCTGCTGACAGCGCTGCTGAGACCAAGCCGCAACGGCTGGAATCACCTCAAGCCGCGGGCCTTGATGCTGAAGAAGATGATGCACATGAGTTTTTGGCAGCGCCGGCCCTTGACCCTGTGACTGGAGACATTGACTGGGCTGAGCAAAACCGCGCAAACATTGCCAAAGCATACGCATGGCTTGATGCTTGTCCTGTGCTCCTTAGGTCCTCCTTGGCCCAAAGTTTTCTTAAAGCATTGTTTGAAAGTTTAAAGTTTAAAGCTCAAAAGCTCCCATGGAAACAGGTGCCTTTTTGGATGCAAGTTGCCACACAGGCTGAGCTGCGAAAACAGAAAGTGATTTCCCCACCTGCCAGGTGACAGGTTAGGCTATAGAATGCTATAGACTCTAGGCCTAGGCTCTACTCAGACTCTAGACTCTAGACTAGACTCTAGACTCTGACCCTGGTGACTCTAGTTTAGACTTTAGGCTCTAGCTTCTCTTCTAGATTCTAGATTTTAGATTTTAAACTTCAATAAAGGTGGAGCTCCTTCTCCTCTCACCCTCTTCTCCTTTGCGTCCTCCTTTTTTTCCCGTTGTGACTGTGGGCGCCAATGGGCCCGGAGCTCACAGCTTGAAAGCTCATTGCCAACTCTGACTCTAGTTACTAGTTACTAGTTACTCCAGTGACTCTAGCTGCTATGCTATAGCTAGTTACTAGTTATTAGTTGGTTACTCCTCTCTAGACTCTAGACTCTAGTTACTCTAGTTATATACTAGTTCAGTCTGGGCACGCATGGACCCGAATCATATTCGCAAGCTCCGGAACCAGCTGCGCCGCATTGACCTGAACCTTAACGCAAGCTCTGGATGCAGCTGGGAACACATGGGCCTGGACCTTATCGCGAGCGCCGGGTGCAGCTGAGCACGCATGGACCTGATGATTATGCCAAATCAGATCGAATCGCAGAATGTGAGTGAGAATGCCAGATAGAATCTGAAAATTTGAATATGTATCAGATACTACTGTTACTATCAGATACATAACATGTCAGAAAGAATGCCAGATAGAATGTCAGGCTATGTCAGGTAGATAGGTAGAATGCCAGAAAAGATGCCAGATATATTGATAGCAGCTGATAGCAGATAGCAGCTAGCAGCTAGCATTTCAGGTAAAATAGAATGCCAGATGACATGTCAGATAGTACGCCAGATGGAATAGATAGACTTACAATGCAAGATAGGCTGTCAGAAAATATGTCAGATAGAATTTCATTTGGCGGGGGCCATTCCAAGGAAGTAATGTAGCGTCATGTAGCGTTGTTTTTCCCCACCTGCCAGGTGAGGGTTGTTAGATTTTATGTCAGTTGCCTCCTCCTTCTCCTCAGTCTCCTCCTCCTTCTCCTCCTCCTCCTCCTCGTCCTCCGCCTCCTCCTGCCTCGTCCTCCTCTCCTCCTCCTCCTCTCGTTGTCCTCCTCGTCCTCCTGCTCAACTGCGACTCGCGATCCACAGTGTTCGCTGTCGGACCTCAACCACGACCATCCACGCCCAGCGTTCCCTGCCGGACCTCAACCACGACCATCCACGCCCAGTGTTCCCTGCCGGACCTCAACCACGACCATCCACGCCCAGTGTTCCCTGCCGGACCTCAACCAGGACCATACACGCCCAGTGTTCCCTGTCGGACCTCAACCACGACCATCCGCGCCCAGTGTTCCCTGCCGGACCTCAACCGCGAGTATCCATGCCAAGTGTTCCCTGCCGGACCTCATGTAGGAATGTCAGATAGACTGCCAGATAGAATGCCAGATAGAATAGAATCTCAGATAGGATGCCAGATAGAATGCCAGATAGAATGCCAGAAAGAATGCCAGAAAGAATGCCAGATAGAATGCCAGATAGAATGTCAGATAGGATGCCAGATAGCAGATAGAATGCCAGATAGAATGCCAGAAAGAATGCCAGAAAGAATGCCAGATAGACTGCCAGATAGAATGTCAGATAGAATGTCAGATATAATGCCAGATAGAATGCCAACATATATGCCAGAATGTATGTCAGATAGAATGCCAAAATATATGTCAGATATAATGCCAGAATAGAATATATGCCAGAATATATGTCAGATAGAATGCCAGAATATATGTCAGATATAATGCCAGATAGAATGCCAACATATATGCCAGAATATATGTCAGATAGAATGCCAAAATATATGTCAGATATAATGCCAGATAGAATGCCAGAATATATGCCAGAATATATGTCAGATAGAATGCCAGAATATATGTCAGAATAAATGACAGGTAGAATGCCAGAATATATGTCAGATGAAATGTCAGAAAATATGTCAGATAGAATGCCAGATAGACTGCCAGATAGAATGCCAAGTGGAATGTCAGGATATATGCCAGATAGAATGCCAGAATATATGCCAGAATATATGTCAGATAGGATGTCAGAATATACTAAATATATGTCCAAATATACGTCCTGACATGTCATGGTGGGGATCACACGAAGTAGAGTAATTTTACTTTTGCTGGTGCTGCTGGAGAGATAGATCTTTTGGGTCTATTCAATTCTATTTTGACCAAGCTAGGAAACGAGCCCTGGACCTACAGTCACAGCTATGTGCGCTTCATGGGGCCCCATTCTGCAACTCATGCGCAATTTCATATTTCTTGGCTCGGAGGAATGGGAGATGGAGCAGGAGTACAAGCAAAGCCAAGGCGAAGAGAGATCATACAGGGTGCTGGAGCTTCACTTGGGGAACCAAGTCAATCAGTTCACCGCATCGTTGAACAATTTGATCCAGAACCCTTGTCTTGCACTGCCGGCTCAGGCAAGAACTGCTTTCATGAGGTGCTTGATGTTCCGAGTCTTATGCAGGGCCGGGGCGGCAGTGCAACAACTGTTGACTGTTGGCCACAGAGCCGCGCCGTTTCCACTATTTGGTGCTCTTTGGGGAATGCTGACATCTCTGGACGAACTTCCGCCTTGCCAAAGGGACGAATTGATTACACTTTTCAAGGAGACTTTCCCAGGCGACGCAATCCTGAGCGCAGAGGCGCAGCAAATCCTCCATGCATGTGTAACTTGGCAGTCTTTAGCCGCTTCTCTTGTTTGATCCTTGCCGTGGTGTGATGGAACTTCCTGTGGCTCATGAGACATTGGCATTGGTGTAGTTTGCATGGCTCCTGCTAACAGCAGCTAAACACAATCACTTTAATTGGGTAACTGCGTTGATTACCTTCTGCATCACGAATAACTACACTCTAGCCGCTAGACTCACTAGACTAGTCACAGTCACTATAGTCTCACTAGTCACTAGTCCTGGTCTTAGTCATAGTTATTAAAGCTGCTTAGCTACAGCAGCTAATTCCTGCATGTTTCAGATGATGAATGTGGTGAAATCAATCAGGTAGGTAGGTGATGGCTATGGCAGGAAGACAGATGGGTCCGCGGATCTCCAATCACCAGTGAACCCATCGCTTAGGCAGAGATCATCCAGTGCGATATAGTCGGAATAGAAGTTCGCCATGCAAGCATTCGGCGGGTGAATTGTGCAAGGAGCTGCCACACATGGGCAATGAATCTTCAAGATCTGGGCGCAGATTTTCTATGCAGACAGCAGGTGATCTTGAGGCAGAAGAATGCAACCTCAAGATGTGCGACTGCAGGCGCACTGCAGCGTCGACCCAGCCGCAGAGAGAAAAAACACAATGTTAACAGGAGGCAGCGCAAGAAGAGTCGGCGCCAGCGGCAAGGAGCAAGTCTGGGAGGGCCTTGGCGGGCTTTCCTGCACCACCGCTACGGCGGCCAGTTTTTGACAAAGAGACTTTTGCAGCAGGCTTCTGGCGAATATTCCGCAATCAAGCTCGCAGCTGGTGATGATTGGAAATACTACAAAGAGATGGGCTTGATGGCGACGCTTGCAGGCCGGGCCGGCCACAAAGTGTTGAAGCAAGAGAAGCCTGGGCCTGGTTACGTGTCTCCAGGATTGCAAAAGCTCAGGGACGCAAAAAGCAACGCCTTGTCAATCCCGGGCGGAATCAAGTGCTTGGAGAGCCAGCTTGCTGAACTCAATGAACGTTGCAAGAAAGAGAATGCTGCTGCTCAGGAGCAAGAATCCCGCAACCTTGCCCACTTACAGCTTGCTTCAGCGGAATCTCACACAGCTTTGGCTACTGAGTTGGGCCTCGAAACTTCTGGCCATCCTTTTGCATGGTCCGACACTTGTGACCCGCGCATGAAGACTTGCTTTCAAGCTTGCCCTGGTGCTGGTCACCTCCCAACTGCTTTGACCTACTTTGCGCCAGCTGACCTCGTAGCGTTGGTGCCTTGGTTACAGTAAAGCGATTGTGTTCTGATAGCAAGCTAGAAGGATAGAAAGATAGAGCCGCCGCCAAGAGGTCCAATATTCAATATTCGGCCGATTAATAGGACAGATCGGAATTCTAGTTTCTAGATTTTAGATTAAGTCGTATAAGGCAGATTAACCCGACCTACTTACTTATACTTATACAATACAATGTGCGGTGTCCAACTCAGTTGAAACTAGCCTTGCCACATCCAAAATCAAAAGCCTAAATCTCTTATTCTAAATTACTTACTAAGTACTACAGTTTAATTAAGACACCCCACTGGTGCACACCCTTTTTGCATATTTGCCAATTTTCTTGAATGAGCCACAATTGAGTGCGGGACTGTTGGCTCTATGTTTGGCTTATATGTTGGGCCAAGAGTGGCGTGCTCTTTTTGAGACTGGTACGAAGGCTTAGAAGAACACGGCTGTTCGGGGGTCATGGGGACTTATGTCTATGTTGAATGGCGCCTGGGCACCCATGCAGGTACCCGGTACCCGGTACCCAGATCAACGTGTTTTCTCAACGTGTTTTCTTGGGGCATATGTTGGCGACATGTTGGGGCCGGGTTGGGCCTATGGCCTATGTTGGATCTATGTCACATGGGTGCATGTTTGGCTCTTGTTGGTCCAAAAACAGGGGGGCTCCTTTGCTGGTCAACATTTGAAGTGTTGGAGAAAAACGACAGTTTTCGGGACATGTTGGGGCAATGTTGTGCCGATGTGCGGCCTGTGTTGGATCAGGGGTTGCATAATCTAGGATCAGGCTCTTCTCATGCCGAAAATTGTTCCCGCCACACAGGTCACAAGGCATCTGCAGAAATAAGGCAGATTTGCGTCAGATCATAGAGTTATAGACCCTAGATTCTCTAGATTTTCTTTATCAAAAACCGCCGTAGAATCAAGTTGGGCCTACGTTGGGCCTGGCCTGTATTGGGCCAGTGTTGGGCCAACTGGGGCCTTCGTGTTGCAAATCCAAGACAGGGTCAGATTTGGACAGGGTGACTTTTTCAGAAGTTCGTCTGTTAGGTCGGTTAGTTTGTGATAACCAGCCGTGCTCCATTAGTCCATAGTCCATAGGCCCTGCAGGGATCTGTTGAGTTGTTGAGCTGAGGAAGCTTGCAAGCACACCGGCTTTGAATATCGCGGCCATGGTTTTGGATTGGCAAATTCTTTGAAGGAAACCTGGGCGGAGAAGCACTCATTGCAGCCACTGTTCCCAGAGAAGCTTGCGACTTCTGGTTTTTTCAAGGAGACGCCATGTTGCAACCTCAAATTCTGCCATTGTGGAGCAGACAAAGCTGGGCAAGATGCATTTTTTTTCATTCAAAACTTGTGGCGTTAATGAGGCCATATTTGTTTCTGAAGCGAGAAAAAGATGAACATGGAAAGAAGAAGAAAAAACAATACAGCGCTGCCAGGCGTGCAATGGTGAAGGGCTTCATCTTGCTCAAACTAGAACCGAAACAACCTGAGACACAAGCAGCAGAGCATTCGACAGATGGCGTGCCCATGCAGCCAGAGGTGCTACCCTTGACTTCAAATTTGTCTGGATGGCATCAGTTGGCCATTGATTTAGCCCCTCCCCCTCTTGAAATTCAACCTGACAAAAGAAATTCCGCAGAACTTCCCGACACTCTCTGGTATCACATCGGATATGTCAACTACAAGACCATGCATTTCTCTGGTTTGCCGCTGACATGTATCAAGGTGATGAACCATGGCAGAGGCCCACCGCACAACATTGAGGCCCACTTGGAAGCGAAAGACCCAGTGGTCTTTTTTCGTTCGTTTGAATTCTTGAAGGAGCGTGTTTCGTTTTCCCACGCTTATGTGGCTTCTTTCTGGCTGCTGGACTCTTCCAATGTGCTCCTCCCGCAGAGCAAAATGATGCCCAAACATGTCGTGGCCTTTCCATATTCCAAGATGGAGCCGTTCAATGTCTGGAAAGGAACTGTGCAAGAAGCAAAGGACCGAAAGGATTTGGAGGAGAAGAAAAAAAACAAACCTGGAGGGCGGCGGAGAAAATACAAACCTGGCAAAGGTGAAAGCATCACTCGTTACTTTGGAGCTGCCAAGAGAAGAAAAAGACAGCAGAGTGATGCTTTGGCAGTGGCAGGCCAAAAGGAAGGTCAGCCGGAGCTTGATCTTGATGATGAGCCAGTGGATGATGCAGAAGAACAAGATGATGAATTTCCCCCTGCTGATCCCAACAATGAGGAGTTAGAGTTGGAGAGCACCGACCACAGCTCTGACTCTGACCTTGAGGGCGAGGCGGATGAAGGCAACCCTTATGCTGACCTTGAGGGTGCTGTGTTGCATGATGTCGCCCCAGAGGGGCATGAGGTTGCTGATTTTTGGGGTGAAGAAGGTGGAGAGGAAGAAGACCCTTCCCACTTCGACCCAGATCCAGACATTGATGCGCTTCCAGATCCACCGCCGCCTCAAGCGACACCAGCAGAATCAGGTCTCGATCCTGCGGACCCACTTGCTGGGCCCATGAGCTCACGGGGGCCTGAACCTGGACCAACCCGTGAACATGGTGCATTCCGAGACATGAACCCGGATATGATTACTATTCCTTCCCATGGCTTTCTCAAATTCTATCGTGAAGGCCGAATCACGGCACATTGCACAGTGCACTCTGACCACAACAAGGATTGTCGTCGGAGCCGAACAATCAGGGAATCTGCCATGGATGGCCGAGATGGCCAAGGACGGCCCATAGGGCTCCTGGTGGCATGGTTGAAAGATCCAAATTGCCATGGCAAAGTGGCACGCACCCATGTGCATTCTTTGAAGGATCGCTTGGAGGCGCGGTCTTTCTTCAATTCTCTACCTGGCAGCTCTGAGTTTAGCCAACATGAGCGGGAGCGCGGTCGCTGGGAAAGTGAGGAGCCTTTCACGCTTCCATAGCAAGAAAAAAATGAGAGACAGAGCTCCTGCCAGGTACTGACTGTATTGGAAGCTGCTTGCTGAAATGATTTGATTCTGACTCTGGCCCGATACATGAGGGCCATGATGCAACTGATACATTGCATGTATTGTGTGGTGCAGCCAGTACTATTCTATTATGATTACTCTTACTAGTCAGAGTAGAGTAGAGTAGATGGGAAATTTTCAACGATCTGACTAAAGACATATGAGTCATATGACAAAGACATGCTATATGATCTATCTATTTGAATCTATTCTTTCTTTCTCTCCTTTCCTTCCCTTCCCTAACCTTTCCTTGCCTTTCCTTCCCTTCCCTTTCCTTTCCTTTCCTTCTTTCTTTCTTTCTTGCTTTCTTTCTTTCTTTCTTGCTTTCTTTCTTTCTTTCTTTCTTTTTAATATCTAAATCTATATTCATCATTCGTATGAATCTTTTTTTACACCCTGACATTCTCGACATTTTGTTGATTCATGCTTTTGGCACATGGCTTAGGGCCTTAGGCCTTGTGGCTTATAACCATATTATGGTGTAAAATGTATGGCTTATGGCCTATGCCTTCTGGCTTCTGGCTGATGCATGTATGTATGTATGTATGTATGTATGTATGTATGTATGTCATGTATGAATGTATGTATCAATGTATGTATGTATGTACCTACGTTTGTACGTACGTACATACGTACGTACGTATGTATGTATGTATGTATGTATCAATGTATGTATGTATGTATGCATGTATGTATTTATTTATGTATGTCTGTATGTATGTATGTCTGTATGCCTGTATGTCTGTATGTATGTATGTCTGTATGTCATGTATGTATGTATGTATGTATGTCTGTATGTATGTATGTATGTATGTATGTATACCTACATATGCACACAGTTTCATACCTACCAGCGACATATAATATATTGTGTTTTGCAGCATGGCAGCCCTGAGTCAGCATGGCGTGGCTGCACATTCAGATAACATCATTCTTTGACCAGCTGCCTGCATCCCTGGATGATTTCGAGCATTGCGTATCCATCTCATTTTTGGGTAAGTCACTTGTTGCACCTCTTTCTTGGCAGGATCTATCTGGTGCTTCTCCGGAAGGATTGCTTCAACAAGGAGTACTGCAGTATCTTGAAAACTTTGGTGGTGGAGGACAGGGACAGGGTCGGGGATCTTGCCTATTACAGCAATGTTCCCATGCGGTTCCAACACAAACAACTGTTGCTGCTTGAAAGAAGGCTTGTGCGTGCAGTTCTTTCCTGCCCATATCTTTTGAGATGCATTGTTCATTGGCCCAATTGTACTGTTTGGTAAGTGGCCTACCATTGAACCATGAGCGAATGTCGCTTTGTGTCCGATGTGGCGCGCAACCTTTCTTTTCTTGTGTGTCAAACACGATGTGGTGGGTCTAACGCCCCCCAGTTGTTGAAACGTCCTGGCTATTTAATATTTCTCATGCTTATGAAGCATGGACATGCTAGTACAGTAAGCGAGTATACTTAGAAACAGTCTAGTAGTAATGGCAGGCTGTCAGGCATTCCCAAACAAGTGGCAGTGTGTGTTTTGGCCAGCAGCCAGCAATTGAGTTACATCAGGACTGTGTGTTATGATCAGCCGCTGCAAGTTTTTTTGGCAGCTTGAGATAGGTAGATTGATAGAGTATCAGATAGAGCGCGTTCATAATCAATTTCTTCGGGCCTAATACAATACATACAAATAATATTATAGTTGCTATATATTTGAACTTTTTACACCCATGGGCCCTAGGCTCTAGACTCCAGGCTCTAGACTCTAGACTGCAGACGCCTTTGCAGGTTTGAGGCTTGAGGTTTCAGATTTGATTTCGAATATTTCAATGCGCTAGTTACTAGTTACCTTGAGTCGAAACAAAGGCTTGGGGACAAAAAAACAACGCCAAACACGACGTCCGAAATCAAAGGACTTGCGCCACATCATTACATTGACACACCTTGCACGCCTAAGGTGAGCTTGGTAAGCCAATCTGGGGTTATGTTGGGCCTGTGTTGGGCCAACTTTGAGGGTTGGCGGCGATGTGTTTGGCCAATTGGAAATGAAATGACCCAAGGAAGCCATAGGTTGGAGAATGGTTGTTTGCAGTTTCTATTTCAAAGAGGGCATTGGTGTGTACCACCAACATTGAACATTTGCCATATTGAGCCCATGTTGAATGCACGCGAGCCTTTTAGAGGGTCGGTCACTCAGAGTGATGGCTTTGTTGGGCCTCGTTAGGCCTAGATTTGGCCTACACTGCCTACACTATATTGTGTTTAAGTGGGGCGCAAAGTGCCTTGAAACTTGTTGCGCCTGGACCATTGGATTCCATTGGTGGCCTTTTTGAGCATTGTGCAGGGGACGGCTCTTTTACGTCAGTTTTTGTGGGGCTCCCTCGGGGCCTGTGTTCGGCCATGCAGAGGGCGGTTTTTGCTAGGGTTTATACCAATAAGTAAGGCACACTTCGCCCTGAGACCTGTTGCCTGCATTGGTGGCTTTATGAGCCTTGTGCGAGAAAAGGCTCTCTTACATCAATCTTTGTGAGGCTTCCTTGGACCAGGTTGGGTTGGCGTTCGGCCATGGAGGCTTTGTTGGTTTCTGCATTGTCTTTGGGTTCAAGATGTTTTGTTTACGTTCGGTTAGGCGCGGCGAGCCCCGCATCTTCTTGCCGGCATTGGCTCCATTGGTGGCATTTGGCTATTTTGAGGATTGCTTCTTGTCTTGCTTTGGAGGTATTGTGCTTGCCCTGGCAAGGGCTTAGCTCAATGCCATGTTTTTTTAATTTTAATGCATGTCAGTTCCACTCCGGTTTAAATGTTGGCTCTGCTGGGCTTGGGATGACGTCTGGCTTGAGGGGACCAATGGCCTGCTCTGGTAAGTGGTTCTATCACTTTGGACCATCAACACGCATTTTAGACAGCCCCGCATCTTGGTAGACTCTGGTAGACCCTTGCCATTAATCTCCATTGAAAGTCCATGGGCTTCCCTGGGGCAAAGTTTCAAATCAGAATCCTTGAGATGTCGAATTTTCCCTGCCAAACCAAACGGCCTTTTGGAAAGCTGTTTTAAGTCGACAGGGCCACATGGCCTTCCATACAGCTTAAAACAAGCAAAGACCAGTTGAGAGACCCGACCTTGCAGGACGTCCCATGCTGACTGTGATGAGATGCAAGATCTTCAAGCTTCGTTTGAGGTTTAGACCTGACTAGACTCTAGACCCTGCTTGGATTTATAGGTCTTAGGTCCTAGGTCTTAGACCAAACGCACACCACATGACTTTGGGATGGTCGGTCTGATGTGCCACCGGTCACCAGTAGGCCATAGTATCCCGTCCCATGGGATCTGCTGGGCGCAAAGGAGTCTAACAGCTTCACCAGTTGAAACAGGCATTTTTGCTGGTGGCTGGTACCTGGTAGCAGCAATCACCTGTCCCTTTGGCTGTTTGTGGAAACCTAGCAGATTTAGCAGTTTCCAGCTAGCAGCTAGCAGATAGCGGCAGCAATCCAGCCAAGCGCACGGACACATGCTCACCACCCTATGTCTCACTCATAACTGAACTTGTAAGCCTTAAGAGCTTTAAGCTTAAAACTAAATTAACAATAACAGTAACATTGGCAAAATATATAGCTGTAGCACTGTAACTAAGTCTTTGCCTAGAAGCCTGGAGTCTAAAACCTAGGGCCCTATTATATATTATAGTGTTTTTTTTTGGGTGTTGCCATGACCAGAATAGATTGCGAAATCTGTTCCGTGGTGATACAGCATGGCTTGCAAGGCCAAGCATTTTTCAACTGGCCTCAGGCACAGGAAGCGTCACTTTTTTGAACAGTTTCAAGACAAGTTTGTTCACCAAGCCATAACATGCACAGCCAGCAGCAGCTCTGACTTGAAATTTGGATTTTGCTGGTGGATGTTCCGGGTAGCCGCCTGCTGGCGGGTAGCCGCCCGTCATTGATGATGTGTGTTTGGTGTTTTTTCAAGACAACTCTTTGATTGCTGTTGACTTTCAAACTGCCATGTGAGAAATGACCAGGATAGCGGATAGGGATAGCGGATAGCTGATAGATAGCAGTGGAACTGAACGTCACTTGTGTTTCCAGCACTTTAGAACATTTCCGTCACACCTGTGATCAGGATTTTGCAAAGCTGCAGAGGGAGAGACCGCGCGTTCCTGTGGAAAATGTTTTCCTAGACGAACAGCACGAAATTTTCCGAGAGCACATGGAGCTGGACAAGGCGTTTCTAAGGGTAAGGTGTGGTTTTGAATTTTGTTTCGGTCACCAAAACAATTCAAACATGATAACAAACAGGCAGGACACATAAAACCTGGAGACCTGGAGCAACTTGGTTTCATCATAGTAGCTTGTGGACATTGTGACTTGTCAACACCATATTCGAAATTAATTATTGACCATGACAACGAGGCATGTTTGCGCAAAACTGCATTTGGAAAACGCAGAAGAACTGAGTTTCGATTTGTTTTTTCTGGAGTCATGTTTTGAGAGGTCTGGTGATTTATTTTTATTTGTTTGATAGAGATATAGGGTTGGCATGATGTGTTTCTTGGGGCCACAGCTTCCAGAGACAGTGCATGTAAGATCCCTCTGATGCTAGATTTGCCCAGAGAAGCTGCTTGGCAACTACCTTGTGATAGACTTAAGTTGTTCAAGGTGAGAACTGGCATTTCTGAGTTTTTGACTCCCAGCGGTAAGACTTGCTGCAAAAAAATACTACTTCACAAACTTCAATTTCAAAACAGTTTGGTGCAGAAAAAAATTAAATTATAACTATATACAAGTAAGGCAACCCTAAACCCTAAACCCTAAACCCTAAACCCTACCGCACAAAAACGGGCAGAGTTCTGTTTACAGAGAGAGGGGGTTAAGGTTAAACACGAGGACCTAAAATTTCATAAAAAAATCATAAAAAGGCATAAAAAAATCATTAAAAAATCATAAAAAAATCATAAAAAAAACAAGATCATAAAAAATCATAAAAAAAATCATTAAAAAAACATAAACAAATCATTAAAAAATCATAAATGTATATTTGTTTATGTTTTTTTTATGTTTTTTTTTATGATTTTTTTATGATTATTTTTATGATTTTTTATGATTTTTTTTAATGATTTTTGAGGGGGTCGCACGGAGAGCCCAAGAGCTTGTAGCATCCATGTAGGGGGTTTCACTGGAGCAGATGGCGGTTTTACTTTCCATGTCAGGGTTTGGGTTTGGAGCCTTGGAGTCTCCGCTTCTCCAGGTGGAAGGCAAGCAGGCTTCAGCTGAGGAGACTCTGGCGGACGACGGGAAACAATGGTGCAAACAGATTGTCTCATGGCGGGACGAGCTTGGATTATCTCGAAAGAGTACAATCGTAGATGTATCGCAGAATCCATGCAGACGGGCCTTCACTCCAAAGAGCGGGGTGAATCATACACTCTGCACTTCATCCCGCCTTGTGCATTTAGGTCTTATGAGGGTACTCCTCCCTGTGGAGTCCTTGCTCATGCAAGGCCACAGTCTCCACAACTTGAAGCTTCCTGCTGTTGGCCAAGGAGCGCTCTCGAACCACCAGATCCGATCTCTGGCTGGGGAAGGCATGTTTTTGCCAAGCCTAGGGATGTTGGTTTGGGCCCTCCTTGTGACCGGGGCCTTTATGACTGAGACAGATCGTGATGATGAGTGGGAAGTTGTGCCTTGAGTTAAGGCCTGGGACGATTAGGATTGAAATTTGATATTGGAGTAGCAGCTTGTCAAAGCAGGTCAATGCCAGAGATTCCTTTTGAATCCAACTTGGAAAGCATATAGTGATAGTGGCTTAGTGATAGTGATGGAACAGCAGCAGGATGGCGTTGTGGTCTTGCGATCGTTTTTTCCCATGTGTCAGTTGGCAGTTGGAGACTGCATTGGCCTGCCTTAGCTGTGCTTTGCCAAATTCATGAGGCAAGTTGGCTTGTGCCAAATCTGTGTCAAAGCCAATCGCCAAGCGAGTTTTCACCAGAATCTAGCGGCTGCTGGTTTCTTTGCTTCGGCGCAATTCAACTGCAGGTCACCAAGTCACAGCAAAGAACAAAGAACATGCCACTGCCATACCTTTCTTTTGCCAGAAGATCATTGTATCCAAAAGTGGCCAAACTGTAGCTGTTACTTGTTTCATATTCAGTATTCAATATCCAGTTTGTAGTTTGCAGTGCATTCTTCACTGTGGTTTAGCAGGGGCCTCTTGTGATCAGCCGCCAGCCGCCAGTCACAAACTAGTAACCAGTAACCAGTAACCAGTAACTAGTAACTAGTCAATGTCATAGTCAATAGTGGCTAGTCTAGTCAATAGTTCTGGTCTGATCTTCTAAGGATGCATGTTTCTAGTAACTCTAGTAACTCTAGTAATTCTAGTACTAAGCTAAGTTATGGAGTTGTTCCTCAGGGAACTTTGGTCATACAAGGGTGCATGGTGAAACGCAGCTATGTGTTGCCGGATGCGCATGGAAACACATGTAGTGTGGAAGATGCCATGCTGAGAATGCCTGATGGCTTGCCAAGACATGACACTATGCTTGGTGATTGGCACATGTCAAACATGACATGGACACCGCAGATCTTAGATGTAAAGAAAGAAACAATACATAGACTGGATCAAACGATAGAAAGGTTCCAAAGCATTCCGGTAAAGATCGATAGATCGATAGATCGAAAGATCGATAGTTAGAATCTAGAAAGATAGACTGACAGATAGACAGATAGACTCCAGATCAGCCAGACAGACAGGCAAACAGACAGATAGATAGATGGATAGATAGATAGATAGACAGACAGACAGACGTACAGACACAGAATAGGAGTAGGGAGGTAGGTCGGGAGGAAGAGACATCGCTAGATAAACAGTCAGATAGATAGCTAGCTGCTAGCTAGCAGCTAGCTAGACGGGGAGGGAGAGGGAGGGAGAGAGAGAGAGAGACTGAGACAGAGCGAAAGAGAGAGTGAGAGAGAGAGAGAGATAGCTAGATTCAGCTAGATAGATAGATCGATAGACAGACAGATAGGTAGATAGATAGATAGCAGACAGACAGATAGGTAGGTAGATAGGTTGATTGATTGATTGATTGATTGGTTGGTTGGTTGATTGATTGACTGATTGATTGGTTGATTGATTGATTGATTGATAGTAGATAGGTAGGTAGGTAGATAGAAAGATAGGTATGTAGGTAAATAGATATAGAGGTATACAGGTTTGGAGGCCCAGGTTAAGATATAGAGATGTAGAGATACAGAGAGATAGAGAGATATACAGATAGATAGATCGACAGATAGGTAGATAGGTAGATAGATAGGTAGACAGATAGAGATTTTGAGAAATATATATATATATATAGAGATAAAGAGAGGTATATATATAGATGTGGATAGATATAGTTAGGTATAAATAGATATATAGATAGATGTAGGGATACAGAGAAATAGAGATAAAGAAAGAATGATAGACAGAAAGGTCGATAGGTTGATAGGTAGGTAGGCAACTCAGATCGAAAGATGGCCAGGTAAAGGGACCACGAGATAGATAGACAGACAGACAGATAGATAGATAGACAGATGAAAGGAAAAGGAGGCAGAGGCCAATAGAGGTCGGTAGACGGTGCCAGTGATAGACTCACAAAAGAAAGCTCACTGATAGATTCGCTTGAGAAAGTGACAGCTATGTAGATAGCAGATAGATTTTTAGATGCGCAGACAAATGGACAGACAGGTGTTTACGGATAGACAGACAGCGGCATAGATAAATGGATCGGGTAGATAGGTAGTGTGATCTAAAGGAAAAACCTGTTGATATTTGAACAAGCTTGTTCCTACCACACAAAGAGTAGACTCAGTAGGCTCCACCTCCGGGACTTTGGTGACTTGTGGTTGTGAGCATCGCGGGAGTTAGTTGCATAGGTCCTATAGGTAGGGCCTGGACGGTTCTGGATTGTTGCTGAAAGCATTTGGCAAGGCAAGGTTGGTTTCTGTGTGAGTGAAGTTTACCCAGGGACATGGATGGCCACTTGGCAACTTTCCACCCACACCAGGCTGATGCAGGGGGTGCTGTGAAGCATAGCAGAGCAAACCAGGCAAGTGGTTGCATGCGCGTCGATTCGGAAAGGTTGGAAAGGCTATTGTCATAAAAACAGTTTTTGCCGCAGTCAGGGTCCGGGTAAACAGTGCTTGAACACGGTCAGCTTGCATTTGATATCTGATTTCTGTTTCCAGCCTGCACACGCAGCCAGCATAATCTTACATGCAGCGAGGGGCAGAGAGGGGGCCCACAAACAAATTAAACCAGTGATGAAGCTCACCAATTGCTAGCGGCGAGCTGTTAACTGTTAGCTGCTGTTAACTGTTAGCTCTGAAAATAATCAGAGGACAGCGAGCAAAGAAAGAATGTTGCAGCCTGCGGTGTTTTGCTTTGAGCCTGGTATACCATGGTTGCCCAAAGGGGTTTTCAATTGTCAGCTGCTTTGTTGAGATGACCAGATTTTCTTTTTGGTGAGGTCGAGTCGAGTCATGGATGACTGTCATTTTGGAACTGTTTTATTTTTGTGTCCATTGAATATTTTCAGCTCAGCTCAGCCCGTCCTTTGTGCCTCAACGGTTCCTTTGTGACCTTGTGCCTACGGGACTACGTGCTGCGTCAAGCTTGGTGGGTTCGACCATGGGACCAAAGAAGGTGAAGCTGGAACAGGACCGAGACAATTTCTGAATTCTTTGCTCTTGTGGGGTTTGTCTTTCAAAACAGTGTCAATCAGCTGGTGAGCCATGTGCCACATGCCAAATAATAATAGTTACTAGTTACTAGTTGAAGTATCAGATCAGGCGATTTGAGCCACCGCCGTCTGCGTACCAGAATGCCATCCTTTCTCCCTCTCCCTGCTTACTACAAAATATAGTTAAAGTTAGAGTTAGAGTTGCTAGGGTTGCGATATTTTCTATAGTTATAGTTACTTACTGCTCTGGAACCATGTCAACTGTCATATTGTCGTTACAACGTATCGCCTGCACACAGCCGTGATGAGGGATGAGAAGCCACTCGCAGCCCATGTTGTCATAGAGATACAGTGACATATGCGGGATCAAAGGTTTATGTCAAGGCGTCAAGGTTTCCTGGCCAGGTTGATCAATGGTCTGCGCGTGCATGTCCTCCTTTCCCTTCCATGGGGACTCTTGCAGCGCAAAAGATTTTCTGCCCTCCGGTTTCCATGGACGTTTTGCGCGCAAAACATGGGCCAGGAGCCTTTGGGACGGTGCATGTTTTTGTGGCAAGCAAAAGAGATTCATTTTTTTTTGGACTGTCAGAATGTGGTTTTCTGTGGCAGACGTCAGATTTTGGCCAGGCTATTCAAGCCAATTATTATTATTCATGAACCATTATATATTCAATCATGATTCATATATTTATTCATTATCATTCATTAATTATTCATAATTCTATCCTCATTATTCATTTTTCAATCAAGTCAAACTTCATTGTTCTATACTATTTCTTCCAGGTCCCATGTGGCAGGCGCAATACTTCGTACATGCTGCTCAAAAAAACGTTGGTGTGTGGTTTGAAATGAAATGTGCTGGGGGGGTCGTTTTTTTTTTGGCAGGCACAAAATTAAGTGAATTTGGAGATGATTTTCAAGTTCTTCAACCGGTGTGTTAGACACTGCCTCCCTTTTGGGTTCATTGAAGTTGAGATCATTTTGCATGGCAGGTGCAGTATTCAATTATTAGTCACTAGTCACTAGTCACTAGTCGCTAGCTACTAGTTACTCATTCATGAATTGTATTTTCTAATTATCTAATATCTCATTTTCTTTGGCAAGCCCACTTCAATAATACTCTTACGGACTGTTTCAAAAAATGCTGAAAACCATAAGTAGCCGTAGTTTAAGTCTTGTTGCGACGGAGTGCATTGAAATCTTTGGTGATTGTAGCCGAACTGGATTGCTTTCATTGTCGCATGGCAGGGTGTTCATTTTGATGTTGCTCGTCCAGCCCTGTCGTCGCTTTGTCTGTGCAAGCAGCTAGCTGCTAGCTGCCAGCTGCTAGCTGCAAGATCGCTCTCATCGCGGCGCGGTTCTCAGTCTGATATCGCTTGTGCCACCTGCTTATCATCTTGTGCGCATTCATTACTTAGATTCGCTCTTCTTGTGGTGCAGTTCTCTTCTTGTAGAGGCGTTAGCAACAATATGATGATACTTCAACTTTCAACCAGCTCTAAATCTAATTTGTCAGAGACCATGCCATAGCAAACAAATCTCATGACCGTAGAAATGGGAAAAGAATCGAACTCTTGAAAGTCCTTCTTCTATGATCTTGCGGCAGTCTGATGTCATAGTCATAGTCAAAGTCTGACAGTCTGAGTCAATTTCACAGTGCGCACTTAGAGACTGAGAGGTCCTTGTATGAAGATCTTGGCCAAGGCCAAGATCTTGTAGATCTTGTGGAGGCCCTGGGGAGTCCTCTGAGGTTCTAGGACTTTAAGAGGTCCTTGCATGAAGATCGATGCCCTTCAGTAGGTCCTTAGGTGCTGGCATGAAAGCTCTTCTGGGATGCTCTGAGGAGGTCCTTGTCCGAAGAGCCTATAAGGCCTTTCAGAATCTAGAATCTATAGAAGGTCCTTCTATGAAGATCTTGACAGGTTTTCTCAGAGTCTTTGAGGTCCTTCTGTGAAGATTCAGGCAAAGATCTGGTCAAGGTCCTTGTGAGAACATCTGGTTGGGATCCCAGCGAAGTCCTTGTATATCGAAAGAAGCCCTATATTGGGCTCATGTGACCTTTGCAGTTTTTTTCGTAGGAGGTTCCAACCTAGACCTAGGCCTAGGACCTAGACCTAGACCTAGACTTTAGGGCTAAAGTCGGAAGGTCCTTCTTTGACGATCTTATGTTTTTTTCTCGATCCTTGTGAGTGTTCTCCTCAAACACTGGGGTCTCTTGCTAGCAGCTGCTAGCAGCTAGCATAATAACAAGAAACAGTCATTTTAGTTATTGTCAACTCTTAGACTTAGTTATTTGCAGGGGCTTCCACAGTATCAGTTGTGTGGGGCTGGGGCTATGCAGTCACCAGACTCTAGTCACTCACTCTAGTTGCTAGTTTCACCCAAAGGTTGCGACGCTTCTTTTTCCAGCTCTGTCCAGGATGATGATGGAAAGAAAAGGCAAAGGACCCGAGACTCTGATGCTTCTTCCACGAGAACAGCCCGATCGGGTTGGAGTTCTAGCAATGGTGCAGCTTTGGCAGTGTTGAAGAGCAAAGGAAGACCTGGACCTTCTGAACCTGACTCTGAGGCAGAGACTGTGAGCGTTGCCCCGTCTTCTCGTGCTACTCTTCTGACCGCAGAGCGTAAGAAGGCGAAGCAGGTGAATGTCAAGTGGCAGCCTTGCCCTATTTGCTTGAAAGGGCCTGACGAGGCTCAATTTTTGGGCGTTCTTTTTCCAACCTGTGAGACTTGTGGCGCTGTCACCGACCAGTGACCCACTTACCACAATTCTAGATTTTATGTCAGTTGCCTCCTCCTCCTTCTCCTCCTCCTCCTTCTCCTCCTCCTCCGCCTCCTCCTGCCTCGTCCTCCTCTCCTCCTCCTCCTCGTCCTCTTCGTCGTCCTCGTCGTCCTCGTCGTCCTCGTCGTCCTTGCTCAACTGCGACCCGCGATCCACAGTGTTCTCTGCCGGACCTCAACCATGACCATCCACGCCCAGTGTTCCCTGCCGGACCTCAACCACGACCATCCACGCCCAATGTTCCCTGCCGGACCTCAACCACGACCATCCTCGCCCAGTGTTCCCTGCCGGACCTCAACCACGACCATCCACGCCCAGTGTTCCCTGCCGGACCTCAACCGCGAGTATCCACGCCAAGTGTTCCCTGCCGAACCTCATGTAGGAAGATATGGGACAAAGAATGTGCAGAAGAAAGTTAGAAAGAATGTCAGAAAGAATGTCAGAAGATATGCCAGAAGATATGCCAGAAGATATGCCAGATAGAATGCCAGATAATATGCCACAAGATATGCCAGATAGAATGCCAGAAGATTTGCCAGATAGAATGCCAGAAAATATGCCAGAAGATATGCCAGATAGATATGTCAGAAGATATGCCAGATAGATATGTCAGAAGATATGCCAGAAGATATGCCAGAAGATATGCCAGAAGATATGTCAGAATATATGCCAGAAGATATGTCAGATAGAATGCCAGAAGATATGTCAGAATATGCCAGAAGATATGCCAGATAGAATGCCAGATTGAATGCCAGAAGATATGTCAGATAGAATGCCAGAAGATATGCCAGATAGAATGCCAGAAGATTTGCCAGATAGAATGCCAGAAGATATGCCAGAAGATATGCCAGATCATATGCCAGAAGATATGCCAGATAGAATGCCAAATAAAATGTCAGAAGATATGTCAGATAGAATGCCAGAAGATTTGCCAGTAAGAAAATGTATAAATGTCATGGTGGGGATCACACGAAGTAAAGTAATTTTATTCTACTCTACTCAGTCTCTACTCCTGATATCTGCATATTCTACATTGTAAATTGTACATTGTAGATTCTACATTCTACATTGCACATGGGCCCTGGGCCCTAGATTGCAGACATTGTAGAATTTCATTAGTCAGTCATTACAATTTATGATTCATCTAATAGCCGATAGCCACGCAATTACTTATATTATACTTGGCATGCGGATGAGTGATTTTTGCACTTGCCTGGCTAGGCCATAGGCCATAGGCCATAAGCACACGCATGAAAGTCGTATAAAAATTCAGTCGAATCAAGGTAGAACCTTTGAAGACGATCTGAGTTACTATATTTGGAACTGATATTCACGTTTTTTTCCCTAAAGAAGGAACCAAACGCATCATAGCAATGTCGTTGTATGTTTTTCAATCTTCATGTTTTCCCCTTTGCCTGGGAACTTCATATGCCTGTGAGCAGGTGCCAGAGGGACAGTGGTATGAATACAATGCCAAAAAGGAGCCCATTGGGGCTGGATGCAAGGTACATGTGTTGACCATCATGTTCGGGTACCCAGATCGGGACATCGAGTCTGTGGCCCGAGACTACCACTCAAAGACGGATCGCACCACAAAGCTGGAGGTCAATGCAGCCAGTATTGTCATGTCCAAGCTCATGCCATCCCTACCGAATGTCCTTCCAGAGGCAAGCGTGAATGTGACCAAGAGCTTCCGAACCGAGAGCTACTACAAGTGCGCTTTTCTTTCCGAGGCCGATGTAGCACGCATCTATTCAGTCTCAGCTAAGTCATTGAAGTTGAAGTCAACTGTGCTGCAGCTTGAAGACGGCACGGGGACGCTCACAGGCTTCTACGTTGGGCTGTGGGGGATGCCCGATCACATTCGAGCAGCAGTGCGGAAAGTGAAGATTTCCAGTATGATTTGCGTTGAGCACCAAGATTTCCTACTCTCTCCCAGTGTGCAGTGCCGAGCAGAGCAAGCGGCGGCCACCTTGCAAGTGGCCCTGCAGAACCAGGTTGCAGCACGGCCAACTGCTGAATGCTGCAGTGGGCGGCATGGTTTGCATTCCCATGAGGCCTTGATGGAGAAGGGAGCAGCGATCTTGGAGGAGCGTTTTTTTTTGGGGGGGTTATGGCAAATTTGCTTTTTTTTCCCACACAGCTGCAGCCACGCAGCCCCATGGCAATAGCCACATCATCCATAGCCGCTGCCATAGCCATAGCAATTTTCGTCTAGACTCTGGACCCTAGATGGTGACTCGGCTCTGGGTCCCAGGTCCTAGGTTGAAACTTTCAGATATTTAGATTTAGATTTAGATATTTAAATGCAACTCCTTCTCTTTTTCCCCACCTGCCAGGTGAGGGTTGTTAGATTTTATGTCAGTTGCCTCCTCCTTCTCCTCCTTCTCCTCCTCCTTCTCCTCCTCCTCCTCGTCCTCCGCCTCCTCCTGCCTCGTCCTCCTCTCCTCCTCCTCTCGTTGTCCTCCTCGTCCTCCTGCTCAACTGCGACTCGCGATCCACAGTGTTCGCTGTCGGACCTCAACCACGACCATCCACGCCCAGTGTTCCCTGCCGGACCTCAACCACGACCATCCACGCCCAATGGTCCCTGCCGGACCTCAACCACGACCATCCACGCCCAGTGTTCCCTGCCGGACCTCAACCACGACCATACACGCCCAGTGTTCCCTGCCGGACCTCAACCACGACCATCCGCGCCCAGTGTTCCCTGCCGGACCTCAACCGCGAGTATCCATGCCAAGTGTTCCCTGCCGGACCTCATGTAGGAATGTCAGATAGACTGCCAGATCGAATGCCAGATAGAATGTCAGATAGGATGCCAGATAGAATGCCAGATAGAATGCCAGAAAGAATGCCAGAAAGAATGCCAGATAGAATGCCAGATAGAATGTCAGATAGGATGCCAGATAGAATGCCAGATAGAATGCCAGATAGAATGCCAGAAAGAATGCCAGATAGACTGCCAGATAGAATGTCAGATAGAATGTCAGATATAATGCCAGATAGAATGCCAACATATATGCCAGAATGTATGTCAGATAGAATGCCAAAATATATGTCAGATATAATGCCAGATAGAATGCCAGAATATATGCCAGAATATATGCCAGAATATATGTCAGATAGAATGGCAGAATATATGTCAGATATAATGCCAGATAGAATGCCAACATATATGCCAGAATATATGTCAGATAGAATGCCAAAATATATGTCAGATATAATGCCAGATAGAATGCCAGAATATATGTCAGATAGAATGCCAGAATATATGTCAGAATAAATGACAGGTAGAATGCCAGAATATATGTCAGATGAAATGTCAGAAAATATGTCAGATAGAATTTCAGATAGACTGCCAGATAGAATGCCAGGTGGAATGTCAGGATATATGCCAGATAGAATGCCAGAATATATGCCAGAATATATGTCAGATAGGATGTCAGAATATACTAAATATATGTCCAAATATACGTCCTGACATGTCATGGTGGGGATCACATGAAGTAGAGTAATTTTCTCCTATGTCCTCCTTCTTCTTCCAGCTTGTGCGTGACTGTGGGCATGAGCGGGCCCGAAGCTCACAGCAGGTGTCAGAAGCTCATCCCAAATTCTAGATTCTAGATTTTATAGTTATAGACGTGACTAACTCACTAGACTCAGACTAGACTCTAGACTCTAGACTCTAGACTCTAGACTCATCCCGATCAGGAGCATGGGCACGCATGGACCCAAACACATGCCAAGAAGAATGCTTGGTGCCTGAGCATTGATTAGATGCCATTAAATAAAAAGTAAGTTTAACAGCAACAGAAAGATTTTCAGTATATTCAGTATATATAATATATAGACTGCCAGAAAGAATGCCAGATAGATAGAATGTCAGGTAGAATCAGAAGCGCAGATGAAATGTCAGACAAAATAACAGATGGAATATCAGACAGATAGAATGCCAGATAGCAGAATGAATAGAATGTCGGAAAATATGCCAGATAGATAGAAGAATGCAAGAAAGGATGCCAGATAGCATGTCAGAAAATCAATCAGATAGAATGCCACTTGCTGAGGATCGCTCGAAGAAAGGTTTTTTTGGCTTACTGGCATGGCAATGGTCTGTAAGGCAAACCATGTCTTGGTTGAGCAGTAGAGTCACAACATCTTGGAACTTGCAACGCAGGAGCGTGAGACGGCAGAGCTTGAGCTGTGCCAAGCAGAGCGAGAGAAAGAAGAGGACGACGAGGATGCTCTTGGTGACGATGATGAAGAGGCAGCCAACAGAAGCGATGCCGAGTCTGTGACGCTTTGCGCGCCACCCACAGTCAAATTCAACATAGGCAATTTGGCTGGGTCTGGTTTGGGCAGTGCTGCAGCCAAAAAGAAGCAGCCAAAATCAAAGAAGGCCGCCAAGGCAGCAGAGGGAGGTGACAGCGAGTTGATGGACACAGGGGACGGGGAAACTATGAGTGAGGAAGATTTCCTGAACATGATTGAGTCCTGGAAGGATGTCAAGATGAAACAGATCTTCAAGGAGCTGGACAACCAGCCCCATGCCTGTCTCCAGGCCTTGTTCCCGGACGTTGTCTTGATCCAGAAGATGAAGGTTGGCCACCAGATCAAGGGCGTGCCTTGATTCCTATTAATTAATTCAATGGATTCCAGTGACTTTTAGTTTGTGAACCACAATGTGGCCAAGGGTTCCATATGCCCCCCAAATTGAACATGTCTCTGAGTTTTAAGTGTGCGTCTCTGTGCCCAACAGTATTTATTTTGATGAAGATATGAGGATGGACGGACGGACTAGGACTGGAATAGTGAGTAGTAGTGACAAGTGGCCAGTGACTTGATTCAGTTAGTTAGGGCTAGAATCCTAGAACCACGACCAGGACAACATTGATTTTGGTCGTGATGAATTTCAGGCCCTTTAAGTCTATCCCTTTTCTGATTTGCACCTTATCTTGCCTGATCTCTCCTGCCTTATCCCTATCTTAGCACCTGGGTATCTAGTTCGCTGTAAACCAAAGATGTTGGCTGTTGGTTTAGGGAAGGCGCAAGTAAGGGCTAGGGCATAGGCCTCGGCTTATGGATTTTGGTTTGTTGGTACAGTGGCCACACTGTGTTTGGTGGTCGGGTCGCTACGCCGCTAGCTGCCGTCCAAAAATGTCGCAATGTAGCAGTTGAGCCATGCCTAAAGCATGACCATGGACTTAGTCAGTAGCAGTATACCAGGTAGCAGTAGCTGTAGCTATATTGTAGCCTTGTTTCCAACATGTTGCTGCCTTCATGCTTGCCGCTTTCCGGTTTGGCACTCTTGGTTCTGAGGCACGGAGTCTGGTAAAGAAGCTCCAAGCTGCCAGATCTCCAGCTGCTGATGTTCTGGACCAGAGAATCTCTTTGATTGAGAGGTGTCAGGTTTTGGGCTTCAAGAAAGTCAAGCAGCTGGCACGCAGCGATTTGATTGCTCATGTCACCTGCATCGAGAACAGCAAGCTGCTGAAGCTGCCGTTTCGCCTGCGGCTTGACATTCTGGAGCGCCTCTGTGATGAGACAGTCCTTGACTACCTTCAGGTTGATCCTGCGGGAAAAGTGGACCCTGCAGAGATTCTTGGTGAGCTTTGCGGTCGCTTCCGCTTTTGGCAGCATGAGGATGATGAAGCTGTGAGCGAGCTGAAGCTCTCAATTGCGCAGATCCTCATCAGAGAGGAAGGGCGGCTCCAATGTTTGGGCAAGACTGGAGAGCTTAGTGACAGCGAGATGAAGGAGGCGATTCAGCACAGCCAGCAGGACCGGCTCTGCGGGGAACTTGGGACCTTGAAGCAGGTATAGTATAGCAGGTAGGTAGCTGGAAAGTAGTTCTGCTAGTGGCATCTCGACTGTTTAATGTCTTCAACTGGCAAATCGGAAGCAGTATCAGTATCAGATCATTACTTACTTCAATACTTGGTGTTATTGTAGGGAAAACATTTCACAAGATTGAATGAAATTCATGAGTGACTTTTTGTTTCCGAACTTGTACTCATACTCGAATTCTTTGAATGGGAGCTTTCCCATGCTTCCTTGCTACAGTTACAGCTGCATGACATCTTTTTGAGCAGTGTGCATTGTGCCAAACGGCCCCCTAGAGTCCCGGCTCCAGGCCAGCGGCTAGGCTATACCAGAGACATTTCTTGACATGTCAAATCAAACATATTGGCATATTGAATATATTGAATATGGCATATAGGTTACTATGCTGTAACTATAGATGATTTTTATTTTCTGCACAAAACCTGGCAATATATAGATATAATTCTTCTTCGCTTCTTGTTATTCCTGGCCATGGCCAGCCCAAGGGTCTTTACCGGCCATCAGGCTGCAGCAGAGTGCCTGATGGCTTCCTTTGGCAACCCGGCTCTATTGCAGACTATCCAGGACGGCAACAAGAAGCGCAGCAAGCTTGTGGCCATTTTGGAAGGCTTTGCCAAGCTTTGCCTGGATTGGGACAAGGTTCTTGAGGATCCTGACTCGGACTATGATTCAGAATCGTTTTGGGTCCCAGCGATGGATTACATCAAGCTGTGCACAAGGGGGTTGTTGTCCCTCTTGTCTGTTGTGCCAGGCCACTTGGGCTGCAACATTTCCGATTGCAACGATCTTCGGAAATACACAGGATCAAATCTGTTCGTCACCACCACCAGGGACGCGATTCTTCAGTCAGATTTTTGGACCCGCCTGTATGATGATTTGGTGAGCAGAGGCACTGCCAGCATGAAGCTAGCCCCGGAGCTGGCTTCTTTGACAGAGCGTCTCCAGGCAAGCAAAGTCGATGAGAAGGCCCTTGCTCAAGCTGTGGCAAGAATCCCGGAGTTGAAAAAGCAAATGCGTGCAGGTGCATGCAGTGACATCGACAAGCTGATGTACAAGAAGCTGGTCCTCCTGGCCAAGGGAGTCCTCAACAAGGAGGAGACTGACGTGACAATGTGCTTGCTTGAGAGCTTGATTTCTGGCCTCGCCATGTACAAAAGCACGGAGGGGGTCTTGCAATTGCTGCAGAAGCTTGAGCAATACCAGAAGAAGGACCTGGGACATGTGAGTTCAGTCTGTCAAGTGGAAAATAGTCGGGATAGACTGAATAGACAGCTTTTTTTTTGTGATCAGTGCGGCTTTGGATTAGTGACTAGTGATGACTAACATCCAGTGGTGGCTAATGACTGACTAGCTGCCTGGCTGCCCAACTGACTGGCTAGAAGCCAGCAGCCAGCAAGCTAGGGCTAGGGAGTTCCAAGCATTTGTCTCAACGTTGCTATTGGGTTGAGCCTGATTTCAAGCTATTTTTTGTTCAGATTTCTTGGCGTGTTCCAGTTCCAATGTCAATCTAGGTCAGAACGCTGGACACAGAGCCCTGCAACTTTCACTGCTGTTAGAATCTGTGAGAATACAGTTACAGGTTGCAATGCTGAGTTCACCTTGGTCCTTGGTTAGGATTTGACCCGGGTAGCAGCAGCTATCAGCTAGCAGTGTCCAAGGTAACAATCGATCAGCAAACCTTTGGCCTTTGAAAAATTGAAAAGCTGCGCCGCTTGGCAGGAATGCAAGGCGCTTGCAGCTTGCGAGATCAGATTTCGCATTGAGGAGTATCCTGCCAGCGTTGAGGCTGACATGCCGGAGGGGGGCTTTGCTAAGCTTTTGTCCAAGCTTGCAGAGGTTTGTGACCAGTTGGACACGCTGACTCCCAGCATCTTGGCCAAGTTGAAACTGGTGTGCTGGTGGCATTTCCGTGAGCTGCATGGAAAAGCAGAGGACGGCCTTGAATTAGCAGCCAACGCCATAGTGATTTCGCAGAGAGGGAACCATGCTTATTTCCACCATGTACAACATTTACAGCTGTAAGAATTTCCCTGTGGATATCAGTAACCAGTATAACCGCTAAACATTTACCAGACGTCTTCAGGCGCCCTTGGATTTTGCCCACCAGATTGATGGAGCCGGCTGCGTAGCAGCCTGGCCTAGCGGCTAGTAGCAGCTAGCAGCCACCCAAACAAGGGAACTGGGGCGGGGACCGCTAGGTCACTAGGCCCACTAGGGTCACTGGGCGCAGGCAGGTAATTGATTAACGACCATTGTCACTAACCCACTACTGTGTGCTGAGTACCTACTTGCTATTTTATTATTATTATTACTATTATTATTTGTGTCTGTTGTCTACTTAAATTATGAAATTATTAGTACAATTTCTGAATTATTTATTAATTATTACAACCATTGCTCCGCTACTGAATACGTTGCCCATATTCAATTGTCACTAAGCCGCCAGCAAATCGTTATTGCGTATTCGAGCTTACTCAGTACTACTACTGCTACTGACTGCTGCTGCCGGTACTACTGCTACTTAGTAGTTCTGCTACTCAGTTACTATTGAGAATTCCTGCTAATATTGCTGCGGCTGCCACTACTGCTACTGCTACCTGCTGCTGCTGCTACTGGTGCTATTGAACTGATACTACCGATATTGATACTATTGCTACTACTGCTGCTTTACTACTGCTATTATTGCTACTGCTGCCCCTACTTACTACTTTACTACTTTACTACATTACTATTATTGCTACTACTGCTACTGCCGCCACTGCTACTGCTACTGCTACTGCTACTGCTACTGCTACGGCTACGGCTACGGCTACGGCTACGGCTACGGCTACGGCTGTCGCTGCTACTACCACTACCACTACCACTCTGACTCTGGCTATTTTCCTTCTCCGCCTACTAACTACGATTGCTACTACCACTACCACTACTACTACTACTATTACTACTACTACTACTACTACTACTACTCCTGCTACTACTACTACTACTACCACTTCTACTACTACAACAACAACTACTACTACTACTACTATTACTACTACTGCTACTGCTACTGCTACTGCTACTGCTACTGCTACTGCTACTACTATTACTACTACTACTGCTACTACTATTACTACTACTACTACTACTACTACTACTATTACTACTATTACTACTATTACAACAACAACAGCAACTACTACTACTACTACTACTACTACTACTTACTACTACTACTACTACTGCTACTGCTACTGCTACTGCTACTGCTACTGCTACTGCTACTGCTACTGCTACTGCTACTACTCCTACTCCTACTACTACTACTATTACTACTGCTGCTACTGCTGCTGCTGCTACTCCTGCTGCTACTGCTGCTGCTGCTACCACTGCTGCCACTGCTACTACTGACTACCTACTCCTACTACTCTACTCACTACTCGTATTCCTACTGCTACTGCTCTGCTACTGCTACTGACTACTCGCTACTGCAACGGCTACGACAACTGACTATTGACTAGTGACTAGTGACTAGTGCTCCTCCTCCAACTCCGCCTCCTACTGCTACTACTGCTACTACTGCTACTACTGCTACTACTGCTACTACTGCTACTACTGCTACTGAACTGCTACCGCTGCTGCTGCTGCTGCTACTGCTGCTGCTACTGACACTACTTAAGACCTATGCCCGGTAGTTAGTTACTACCACTAGTTACACTAGTTACTAGTTACTAGTATAACTAACTATGATTACAATCACTACTAGCTAGTGCTACCGTGCTGCCACTGCTATTGCTATGGGCCACTGCCACTTCCATTGCCACTACCACTACTGGTATCAATTGCTACCAGTCAGTACCAATCACTACCGTAGAGGTTACCATGAGAGGTTTTGTCCGAGACATTGCTTATGATGACTATTAACTATTGATTCTGATCATGGTGCTATGTTTATGACTGTGGCATGCAGTCATTTTCAGCATTCAGTATCATCAATGATTTCTGATTTCTGAATTCCGGTATTGAACATACAATACAGTGACAGTAAATACAGATGTCATACATGTTTTCCTTGTGGTCAGGAGCCTGCTGACCACACCTTCCAGTGCCGGCCCTATGTCTCCAAGCTCAAAGATGTTCTGCGCAGGTTTACTGCGGAGCCTGATGGAAAAGAACCAGTGGAAAATGGCCCTGAAACCTTCGATGCTGCCAAGCTTAGTTGGATGAACTTGTCTTTGGATGCCTTCTTGCTCATGAAGGATTTCCTGACAGCGGCCGAGGACTCCAAGTGCAAGCGCAGTGAGGGCTTGGATGCTTTGTTGAAGGTAGCCAGGATGTTGACTTCGTTGCTGGCCAAAATCGAGACGTATGAGGCTGATCGTGTTCTCGGTGCGGGTCCTGACTCGGTGCCAAGTGTCCTGCAGTGGTCTTGGCTTGACAAAGGCCACAACATGGTGAAGGAGTCGCTTGCCCTCACCGATGGGGTTGAGATGCGTTCTGCCAACTTGAAGGAGGAACTGCAGCAGTCGCTTTTGCACCTGCACTCAGTGACACAAAAGATGCATTTGTCGCAGTCTGGTGACTCTTGGAAGGCAGACCTCAACTCTGACTCAGGGCTCGAGGAAGTGATCGCTGAAGCCCAGAAGGATGATTCGCTTAGTATTCTTAATGGTGGAGATGTGGATGGCGCACTTTCCAGAATGGAGCAGGCAGGACCGGAGCATGCCCTGACTACCATCCAATCCGTTTCAATAATCACTTGATTGCATAAAGGCATAGGTCTGGTCTGGAGTCTAGAGTCTAGAGTCTAGAGTCTAGGGCATAGGCATGTATAGTCGAGTAGTGTCTAATCTAGTCTAGTCTAGTCTCGTCACGTCTCTGGTCTAGCCGAGCCAGGCTTAACCAACTAGTAACTGGTAGCGAGTAACTAGTAACTAGTAAGGGTCTGGTCTGGTCACTAAGTTCGATATTCGTCACTGTCGCTTCACTATGCCACTATGCTATCTGCTATTACTTCTTCAACTTGAAATGTGTTTTTGTCCCAGGCCAAGGCCCTTCCATGTTTTCATGTCAGGTCTTGCCTATGTCTATGTCTCCACTATGTCTATGTCTCTATGTCATGTCTATGTCATGTCTGTGTGAGCATGCGCCGCCGTGTTTTATTTAACTGCTTAAAGAGGTCGTCCTTGTGTCATGTCATGTGTTGCAAGCGTGGGCTTGACACAAGGAAAGAACAGGTTGAGTCATAATGTCATATTATGTCTGTTGTCATTTGTTTCTTGAGGGTTGGTTTTCTCCATGGGCGTGCGTGGGTGTATGCGCGCCTCTCTCTCTCTCTCTCTCTCTCCAAGAAACAAATGACAACAGACATAATATGACATTATGACTCAACCTGTTCTTTCCTTGTGTCAAGCCCACGCTTGCAACACATGACATGACACAAGGACGACCTCTTTAAGCAGTTAAATAAAACACGGCGGCGCATGCTCACACAGACATGACATAGACATGACATAGAGACATAGACATAGAGTCGAGACATAGACATAGGCAAGACCTGACATGAAAACATGGAAGGGCCTTGGCCTGGGACAAAAACACATTTCAAGTTGAAGAAGTAATAGCAGATAGCATAGTGGCATAGTGTGTGTGTTGTGTGTGTGTGTAAATAGATGAAGGATGTGGATGGCGTGGGCCAATGGTGGGTCATTTCAGTCGTGTTGGCCATGTCATGCTATGAGTCTGACAATCCGATAATGATAATGATAATGATAATGTCTTGCCGTGCAAAGCGGTTGGGTTGGTTGGTTGCTTGCTTGGTTGGTTGGTTGGTTGATTGGTTGGGTTTGGTTGGTTGGGTTTGGTTGGTTGGGTTTGGTTGGTTGGTTGGTTGGTTTGGTTTGTTTGTTTGGTTGGTTGGTTGGTTGGTTTGGTTTGTTTGTTTGGTTGGTTGGTTGGTTGGTTGGTTGGTGGGTTGGTGGAGTGGTGGGTTGGTTGGTTGGTGGGTTGGTGGAGTGGTGGGTTGGTGGGGGTTGGTGAGGGGGTGGTGGGGTGGAGTTGGTGGGGTGGGTTGGTGGGTGGGTTGGGTGGTGTGGTGGGTTTGGGGTGGGGTGGGTTTGGGTGGTTTGGTGGGTTGGTGGGTTGGTGGGTTGGTGGGTTGGTGGGTTGGTGGGTTGGTGGGTTGGTGGGTGTGTGGTTGGTTGGTTGGTTGGCTGGCTGGCTGGCTGGCTGGCTGGCTGGCTGGTTGGTTGGTTGGTTGGTTGGTTGATCGGATGGTTGGTTTGCTGGTTGATTGGTGGGATGGTTGGTTGATTGGTTTGTTGGTTGTGGGTGGGCTGGCTGGCTGTTTGCTTGGCTTGGTTGCTTTCTGGTTGGTTAGGGTTGGTTGGTCGGCCAGTGTTGGTCAGTTGCCTTGCCACTAGTTTCAATAGTTATTCAATAGTAACTAAGTAAGTGTGTTATGCATCTGGGCCCTGGTGTTTCTGGCGATTTGTTCGGCACGCAACATTGCGAGATCAACACCATAGCGTTGCAGCAGCTGTACTCCTGTCATATGTCATAGGTCGCATCTGACATGTCTGGTATGACTATGAGCATGACGACTTGCCTAGGGCCTAGGGCCCAGGGCCTAAGGGCCTAGGTCCTAGATCCTAGGTCCTAGGTCCTATATCCTAGGTCCTAGGTCCTAGGTTATGTCATGGTTTTTTATGCTGTGAACTGCTGATCGAGGTTATGGTTGTCGTTGTGGTTGTGGTGGTTGTGGTTGTTGTCGTTGTTGCTGCTGCTGTGGTTGTTCTAAATTCTAAACGGGTAAGGCCTGGCCTAGGATCAGCCAATGAGGCAGGTAAACAGAAACTGGACCCAGCCGCTAGTTACTAGTTTTTACTTTGGCCAGCCGCTAGTGACTAGTGTCATTCCTACGAAAAGAGAAGCATGAGCAACTTCTTTTCTTAATTTATCCTACAGGTCCTACTAGTGATGCTACGGTCGGTATAGTCACAATGCCATAAATTCTTTGAGCCGTCGTAGAGTCATAGAGTCATAGAGTTGAGCATATGCCATATGCTATAGCAGCTACATGGTTTGAACTTTATTCAGCTCCGATGCCATTCCAATCGTGGGTTCTCATGTTGTCCACAAAGTATCCATCCCCAAAGTGAGGTTTTTAATTTTTCATATCAGATTGGTTGCCCTATATGTCCTGTGTCCTACAGGTCTAGGTCCTGTGTGGTATGTTGGATCGCCACAGGGGTGCCATGATGTGTAATATTTAATATATAATATAGTGTAGTGTTTGGCCAGTGGGTGTAAGGTCATTGGTTTTTGGCGGCCGGCTGATGCTGTTGAAGTCCCACGTCCAAGCCCAACATCCAAGGCGACAGCAAAGAACATATGCCACCATGCTTCCACACCCTTGGCACGGGCTGGATTTTTTGAAGCGTGTTATGTGCTTGTGCTGCTACATGTCTTGTAATTATAGTAACTGTAGCACACTGTAGCAAACTGCTGTGCTGTGCACGAGGCCCCCGAGGCTAAGGCGGCCACGGCCATTATAGTATATTGCGATTTTTTTTTTAATAATTCCAGTTCTGTAGGTATTTTTGATTGGTGTTGCTGATTGGTCGCCGAATCTATGAGCTATGAAAAGGCTTCCTGTTTAGCTTAAGGCTTAAGGCTACGAGGCGTAGGCGTAGGGCGTAGGGCTTTGTAGATTGAAGAGGCTGTAGACTGTAGGCGCAATAGACAGCAGCTGAGCCGCGGCCATCATATGATATGTATGACAATGTATAAGCCACGTGCCTTGTTGAGGCACACAACGACTCATGCAGTTGCAACCCTTTTCAAAGGCTACGTATGTTGTTGGCCTACTGAGCTACTGGGTACCGGGTACTGATTGATGAGAACGCGCCAGGCATTCTATACCTAGCGGCCTAGCGGACCTAGCGACCAATGCATCTTCGAATTTGAATCTTGAAGATGAATAGTTAAATAGTTGAATAGCAGAGCAGAGCAAACAACTCGCATCGCCATCGCCATGACTAGATTGTTTAGTTTACTATTAACTGTATTTCTATTAAAAACTATTCGCTTCAATAGCAAACAGTCATTATTGAAAAGGATAGATCCATGCCTGTGCAGTTGGGCAACTCAGTGTGATATGGGTTTTAATGTCAATGCTGTTGCATGCTCATTCCGATAGGGGGCCAGTTCAAACATTGCATCACTTAGTCATAGTCCCCTGGGCCTGATTTGTGCTTTTGCGTTGTGCCATCCAGGTGTGGGCCTGGGCCTGTCACAATATACCACTAGTCACTAGTCACTAGCCATAAATTTCATATATATATATATATGTATATATGTATATATTAATAAATGACATATCAGCACAGTCATGTCCTGAAGCGTGCAGGTTTTGCAGAAAGCCAAGCGGTTTGGGCAGCAACTCGACGGCCTCGAGCACCTGGAAAGGCGCTGTGACCTTTTCAACACTATCGTGCCAGAGGCGCATGAGGAGTTGAAGCTGGCCCGTGCGGTGAAAGTCGAGGGCTTGCTGTGCATGGCCTTGGAAACCTCCTTGCAGAAAGGCGCCGCAGCGTCGACCCTCAGTTGGGCGAAGGACATTGTCCGGTCGCAATTGGGTGATGTGACTGGTGGCAAAGTGAGTGAGGATGATATCCATCCGGCGTTGCTACCTGCAGCAAGGGACTTCATTCGTCAGCAGTAGTCAGTAGTCTCAGTAGCAGAGTAGCAGCTGCAGCTGGGTATGAGCCCATGAGCAAATCTGAACTCAAGTTCCTAGGGCCTAGGATGTGAGGCATATAGGCCCAGGCATATAGTGAATGATGAATGAGGATTTTGATTTGGATTGGATTGGACTTTGTGACTATGACTATGACCATGACGATGAGATATCAATGTTGATTTAGTGAATTGAATAGCGGCGCTGTTGCCTCCACCCAGCCCATTTTGTGGGAACATGAGAAGCAAGTATGGCACGGTGCAGACTTGGTGGCAAGGATGCCTGCACCTTCATTGCCTGCGCCACCAGTCTGTGGCCGTTCTTGCCATCATGTTTTTGGCAGGTCAGGTTCCAATTTGATGGTTTGCGTTGGAGTCACCAAACATTTTTGCAAATGGAAATAGTTACACAACCGACGTAGCCATCATAGCCAGCCATAGTTAGTTGCCATAGTTCCTTCACTTAGTCGGGCGTGGTTTTCGCATTTGGCCCTGCCACTCACTAGTCGCTAGTATGGTACGGCCTGCCAGGTCATGATGGCCAATCCTTTCACATGTTAGCAGCGTTCTTTTGGAGCAGGCGGGAGATGCCTCCTGGTCTAGAGAGTCTAGCTGAGTCTAGCTGCCTCAGCCTAGCTTCAGTAGCGGATTTGTTACAACTTGCCAGCGTAGTTTTGAGATGCGAGCCTTGGGTAGCAGCGAGCAGTGAGCCATCTGCTGGCCGCCAAGCCTCTTTTTTTCGAGCCTGGGGGGGCTATTGTGGCCTTGTGGTTGGGTGTGGCCTGTTGGCTTGACAATGGCAAGATCAGAACTGCAACAACCGTGGACATGCAGCTTTGAACATGCTGATTCAAACCATGGTTTTCAGGCCGCTCCAACACGTGGATAGTAGCCACCAGGACCCAGGAGTCCTTTTAGAGCGGGCAGGTCTTAGGAGTGAACATTTCCGTGACCGAGAGCTGAGAGCGTACAAAAAAAGCCATGGCAGACCCAATTTCCATTTTCGTTTGGTGCTTTGAGTGGTTTGATTTGGTGACTTGTTTTTTTTCAGAGAGCGCCGGCAGCTGGCAAAGCAAACAGGTTGGGGGGCGGCCAGGTTGATTAAGACGCGCTGAAAGATTGGTGAAACACACACACACACGTGGTGCGCATGGTTTACTTGTGCCCAAACCTTCAAGCCTTAAGTCTTAACGGTTTTAACGGATAACCGCCTTAGCCCAAAAGCAAAAACCTTATGATCATAGGATCCAAATTGTAACCCCTCAACTTCCGCCCCTCCCTAAACCCGAAACCCTCAACGTCAACCTCCATTGAAGCTTAAACTTTAAAGTTTAAAGCGAAGTTTCTATTCTAGCAGATCTAAAGATATGACATATGCTGTACGGCTTACAGTACATTCATGGCACACGAGAAATGACGACATCCTGAGATCCTTTCAAATGTCCGGGAGTATAAATGCCCAGGCTCCAGAATTTGGTAATGTTGACATAGTGACATAGTCAAAGGCCCGATAGGCCCTATAGACCCGGTAGTAATCAGCTTATTATATTGCAGTTTTGTTTGTTTCGGCTGCCAAGCAACCTTGTGCAACAGCATTCCATCTTTTTGTTATTTTACTATTTAATCTGCTAGCATTTTTTGTTTTTAATGATTTAATCTGATACACACAATCTTGTCCTCTAAACCAAGTTCAGTTACTTAACTGAGCTGTAACCGGTAGACGATATATAGCCTTTTTTTCCCTAAAGCCAAAGATACTGAAATAGGCTAGGTATGTAAATGTAAATATAACTTACCCGGCTTATCCTATCAAGTTCTTCATATAATGCAAGATAAGTAAGTAATGTAATAACGTATTGTTGATATTTTTTAGGATAATCAAGATCAAAAACAACCATGATGGCATGTATCCAGTACTGTCTAAAACATGAGACATTTTTTCGTTAAGTAGTAGTTGGCTATTTCCTTTTAATGTTCCCATGGATGTGTTTATTTTGTTTTTTTCTATTTGAAAAAATGTGTTTTTTCAAAGTGTAAATGTATATATATTAATATATATATATATAGAGAAAATTTGGCGACTTGATTTTTGCAAATTTCTTTCAAAAGCCATCCAGAAATACAATGAAAAACCATTAGAAACTTGTTAGGTAAACAAGACCATTGTAATACACCATTAAAAATCGTTCCGAAACAAAAAACAAATCAAAAAAATATACGAACATGAAAACTCAAAACAACAATCAAAAAATCATAAACATATCATAAAAAACGAAGAACATCAAAACAACCATAAGAAATCATGAAAAAACATAAGCCAATCATAAATAAATCATAGAACATCATAAAAAACATCATTTAAAAATCATCAAAAATCATCATAACATCTTTAAAAAAATAAAATCATATCAAATTTTAGACAATCATCTAAAAATCATAAGACAAGAAAATCATTAAAAAACATAAAGTAATCATTAAAAAAATCAATAAAAAAAACATAAAAAAATATAAATTTATGATTTTTTTTAATGATTTTTTTTTATGTTTTTTTTTATGATTTTGTTTTTTAATGATTTTTTTATGATTTTTTTTATGTTTTTTTTAATGTTTTTTTAATGATTTTTATGATTTTTTTCACTTTTTTTTGCCATACTAAGTGAAACTAAATCATAAATTTCATCATTAAAAAAATCATAAATTCAACCATAAAAAAATCATAAAAACATCATATCTGAAAATTTCCTTTTTTTGCGACATAGTGAAATCATAAAAAAATCATAAAAAATCATAAATAAAATTATTTGTATAATTCTTGTTTAAGCTAACCTTTAAAGTCTCAAACATAAATTCTAACTTCTGGGAACCGGCAATTCCTTGCAATGGTAACCTCTGGTTCCCAGGTTGGGAACCGTGGTAACCTTTGGTTCCCACGTTGGGAACTGAACCATCAGTTCCAACCTTTCTATCTGGGGTCTATGCCGGTGTAATTGTATGTTTACCAGAGGGTAGAATGAACATCCCTAACTAGTCATCCTCTACAGTTTTTCCCAGCAATAGCAGGGTGGCACCGTGCCGTTGACCTTTCGGTCTCTGAGGTTCACCCGAAGGTGGCCTTTGCTGGGTCCCTTTACCTCGACTGCGTGCAAGGTGAAGATGGATCTTGTGGGGTGCCGCGACCTGGGAAGTCTTTGTTGCCACATCAAATGATCCAAAATCGGCTTTGGGAGATCTTTCCTTTCGACAATTACTGTGAGATGAAGATGGTTGATTCTTTAAATTGTTGGACTGGCTGGCACTTTTAATTCGAAATTTCAAATGTCAGAGGTCTAAGCCGGGTATCTCCATCCCAAGTATAGGACCACCATAGGATCACCGGCTTTGCATCTGAGGTCTATCTCCAGGACCCCCGCACCCCTGCTGGCATGGCCGAAGTGCCTGACACGCTGCGGCAACGCCTGGGCTGGGGCCAACTGCACCGGCTGCAGGTGGCGCCCGGGACTCTGGTGCTGTACCCTGCGTGGCTACAGCATGGAGCGCTAATGCCCAGGACGGGGGAGGGGTTCAAAGGTTGGTCTTTTCGGTTGATGTTTGAGGTGTATCTGGGGAGACCAGCTGGAGAGTTTGGTACTAGTCTTTTGCAAAGGATAATATGTATATTACGGTATAATATTTACTAACCAGCTAATTCTAGTCTTGATATCGCTCGTTGCACCATTCAAGGACTGACACTTTATGGGGCGAAGCGTCTTTGATATTTTTTTAAACATTATGTGTCCACAATCTGAAGACTGGAGAGCTTGTTTCGTCAACCATTTCATGTTTGGGGGTTGGGATGAGGAGGGCTTTTTGAAGTAGCAAAAATCCCCACCAAGATGACATGTTTCCTATCTGCGGAGCATGTCGAAGGACAGCCACTGTTGCCAACCGCTCCCGGGCGGTGATTTCCTTCCTGGTAGCAGTGCAGATGCAAGAGAAAGGGGACAAGCTGAAGCGCGTGGCAACTCGATAGCAGGATACGTTATAGGTTTATCCATCGTTATCCTATTATCCTATTACATTCAGATCTATCCATAAAACCACAGCAATGCACCATTGCTTTTGAGCATTAAAGAATCTCGAAGCCGGGAATTAACGGACAATCGGCATGAAACTACCCAATTACAAGTATATCAGCCACCGAAATGGGACGATTCAAGTTGGAAAGGGGGTAGCCATGATGGCCGATATGATAGTAGCTAATGGGGGTTGTAAGTCCAATTGGGGGGGCCTGACCTTGTAGGTACTGCATGGTACTGCTACTCGTTGGCTGAAGCACCAGCCACTGAGGCACAGGAGCTATGACTGTTTCGATTTTGTTCAGACTCAACATCGAGGATGTGGGGCCATATGGGGCCATGGGTACTTGGCATTGCCTTCAGCAGATCTGAAGCCGATTTTCGGATGTTGGGAACACTGTTTTTCTGCTGCTGGTCGGACGAAGCCTCAACGATCAATAGGCCCAATAGGCCCAATAGGCCCAATAGGCCGGGCTGGCGCGCGCAACTGGGCAGCCTCTGATTCAGGATGACTTGCGGCTCTTGCGCGCTGTTGGAAGTTCGAGGAGAAAAGGTGCTGGGATTAGCATTTTGCTTGGTGGTACTGCAAGGGGGAGAGTGCGAAGATGGCTGCTGACTACATGCATCTGCAAGATGTTGTTTCAAGTTCACAGCATGTCCCGCTCTGGTTCCAAGCTGGTTACTACTTGGTGGTTTCAAATCTGTTCACGTGCCATCTTGTTTGGCATACTGATCCTACCTGACACCACAGTTGGGAAGGGTTGAAACATGTCACCAACAGCCAGCTACTTACTGCTATCCATCTCCCTTTCCCTTCTTGGAGCACAGTGGTTGGAGCGGCCCTGGCTGAGGTCAAACAGATTTTCATCAGACCAACGCGGGGGGTCTCAGGTAGTGGCACATGCCGGTAGCACGCATGGATGGTCAATGATGGTCAGATGGTCGCTGGCTAAACTGCCTTGGGCCCGAGTATGAATGGATTGAATACTGAATCCCGGTTTGTTTTATCATGTTTTATCAATATAGGGGATCGGGGACAGGGATTGCTTGGATGATGTACCTGCCTTCACAGATCATGGCGGAAACATGCTAAAACAAAGATGAGAGAGTTCTTGCACTGCGGTGACCGGGGGATGTTTGGGGTGCTTGCATGTGTAGTGAATTTACTGGCCAACGTGGTGTTTCACTGCCTGTAATCTAAGCAAGGACCAAATCGCCACATCCAACAGGATAGCCATCTTCCAAACTTTTTTTCTGAGTTTCAATTATTTTTTTTGGGGTGCCCAGATTTCAAGGGTTTTACCATAGTTTTACCCAGAAATCCAGGCAATGGCGCTTCCAAAGGGTACTGGGGCAAAGGTGTACACCGTGACCTTCCGCTGCACCACGAGCGGGTTCGACCTATGTGAGAAGTGCGCGCACGTCGGGGGTACCCTGGGGCAGTGGCTGGGGGACCTTGTGCTCAAAAATTGGGTTCAAACTTGGTTTGTCAATGCCTTTTGGCATTAGATTGCGGATTCATGAACTTAAAAGAAGCGAAGGTGGGCTCAAAATCAGTGATCCCCATTTTACATCTGTTTAGCTCTTACATATTTGTCAGGTCATGTTGGGTCCATTGGCACCCCCTTTTTAGAAGCAATAATATTGACCCAAATGAGCAGAAGAGACAGTATAACCCAGAAATTGTTTTTCGGGCAAGTTCACTTATCATTCTTGGGGTGTTATGACTCACGCAAAGAATGTCAGCATCCTGGCTACTGGCCAGTTTTGGACATGATCATTGAAGCATACAAGAGTTCTACGGTAAAGTCAGTCCCCAACGCATTAGATTCAGTAGGGTTTGCCCAAGATCTATCATCTATCATCTATCATCATCTATCATCACTTTCCCCGTTGAAATGCAGATCATACATGCTTGCAAACAGCAGGACACATAATCGAAACATGTCATGATTGTCATGTTTCAAACACATCTCGTCTTGTCTGTCACCATCATCCGGTCACCAAAAAGCACAGCAAAAAACACCGAGGATCCCACTTTGGGACGAATCAATGACGACGCCATGCAATCGGACCTGGAGGTGCGGTTGGGGCGAGGATGATGGTTGGGGTGGTCTCAGGTGCAATTCGGATTTTGAGATATTGATGACAGATATATGATATATATACTGGTTGGTGGTTTCAAACATTTTTATTTTCCATGTATAATTATTATATGGGATGTCATCCAAACCCCATTGACGAACTCCATCATTTTTCAAGATGGTTAGTTTACCACCAACCAGATGAGTTCTCTTTTATTCTTATTGATCTTATTGATTCTGATGATATTCTGATTATTTTCATGATCAACAGCTTGATGTTTCTCCTTCATTGAAAAAGTTTGCCTCTCGGGATCCGGTGGGGAACAAAAACAGCCCAAAATGGCAACTTGACATAGGAACACTAGTGAAAGAGAGTGATGGTTAACCAGGAGATTAAGATAGGCAGCCTATTTTCAGAGAAAGCCATTTTAGTGGCTTGATCCATTTTGATCCTTTTCTTGCTGATGACTTCAACCATAGCATGCACTGACAAATGTCCGTGCGAATGCAACACATCTAATACCAGAAGCTGCCTCTGCACAGACCCATGCGATATGACCAATCGGTTTTTTACTACCGAACAAATCCACAGCCATCCACAGCCAAGAATTGATGGCTCCCAAACTAGCCTGTCGAACTTCCAGGACAGATGTCGAGCAATTGGTTTGCATGGTACTGGTCGTACTGCATGAAGCATGCAACGGCTCAAGATGAGGGAGTCCCCACAAAGCTATTCAACTGCAGATTAGCCTCCAATGTTCAAAGATCCAAACCCAGTTCTAAATCCACTAAATCTAATCATCAAAAATCCATACCCACTAGGTTTTGTTGTTAAATCCTCCATTGTTTCTCGGCTAAAGTCGCGCCCGTTTCGGGCGTTTCGGCAGACTCGATCCACTCGCCAGGCATTGCTGGACCCAAGCATGTGCAAACTGGCAGCGGGGGAGCCGAGCTGGCGCCTCTCAGGGAAGCTGCCCTCCAAAGATGGTCGGTTTTAGCATCAAAACCTGTGGGATCCCATGGAGGTCCAACATGCTTAGCAGATTTACCATCGAAATATATGGTGCATGATTTAAGACCTGGTTTAGAGTGGAGTATTCATGCAGATTTACCATCGAAATATGTATTCACATGTTTTGACATGGTTTAGACTGGAGTATTTGCTAGCTAGCAATGGAACATCACCCATGAATAGATCATTATTCCAGATGTTTCAATTAAAAGTTGGGATTTGCTGTTGCCATGTCAAACTACTAGAGGGTATATAATTCGAGGAGCTGTTCACAGGAGTTGCTAAAATCCATCTGAATGTTCGAATGATATCCTGATACTCCATGAAGAACATAGAAATACGTACCTGTATCTACAAGAGAAATTTAATCAGGAAAAATGTAGGGCATGAATGGGACTGACATGTTTACTATCTATATTTCTATATATATATATATTTGTTTCATATATTGTTTCATGGACTTTTATATGTTTTGTGTCTTAGCATGTTTTGGGTTCCAGGGCTTTTCGATTTGAGGTCTCGAGGCTTCGAAACTTGTGGCGGCGCAACTGGGTGGAGTCTCTGTCGAAGTCCCCTTGGCAGCACGGATGGGAGGCGCCAGGTGCCGTTAAGTTTTTTCAATGGTTTAAAGATGTTTAAAGGATTTTTTTCAGGGATGTTGATGGATGTTGTATATGTTTAAGTTTAATGTGTGTTTGTTTATTTTGTTGGCAGAGGGATCCACTGATCCACCATGATCCATTGGAAGAAAATCGAAGATGGGCATGAAATCCTCCCAGGCCCAAGTTCCTGACATCTATTTTTTTCATGAGTTTGCAGGGTGTGCCCCCCAGTTGTACGATGTTGTAACTATTGTGAGTTTTTTTTTGATCACCCGCGCTAGGTATATCCTTGTTCAACTATGGGGGCACCACCTTGTGCCATAGTGGATTCAGTAGCCTGATGCAGTTTCCAACTGCAGAGCCCAGGTACTTCAAAGCGGGTTTGTTGGATAACTTGGTGCTGCTCTCAGAATGGGAGGGCAAGCTTGCGAAACAAACACATTCATTCATTTTCATTAAAGAAAACCAAGCCATCAACAACACGCCCACTTTCGGTGGTGCGTTTGAAGCTGCGGGTCTTGAGTGCTGTGTTTGAAGTTTATATAAATTCTGGTAGAATCGTAGTCTTGGTTTTGAATATGTTTATGAAGGATAACGTGGGTAAAACAATAATAAATCACCCACTTGGGAAAGGTTTATACCACCCATTTATGCTGGTGACTGGGGGATGGTTTATGGCATTGTTGTACCCACATTATATTGAATCCTTGGGATCATGGCCCACATGGTACAATGCGGTGTCCTGCACTTGTAAGGTTGGTTTGTAAACCCCATTAGCTATAAAGGTATATACGGTATAACTTTACAGTACCCCTCTTAAAGCTAAAATCTCACAAACCAAGTTACCCTCTGGTAAACTAACATAGCTATTGAAAATGGCCATTTATAGTGGATTTTCCCATGGAAAATGGTGAGTCCATAGTTATGTTAGTTTACCAGAGGGTACCCTTGTAGGATCCAGAGAACCACGGCTTTCTTTTCAGGTGCAAGCGTTGCAGAAATGCACGGAAAACCCGCGTCCGGAGGACGAGAGGGTGCCAGAAATCCCGCCCCCTTCCAGCGCGCGGCTGGGTGTGGCTGGTGGGTTCAAAGCCACCAATCTCAAGCCACAAAAAGATGAAAGAAACATTTTCCAGGATTGATGATTGTAATTTCCCAATTTTCCAGGATGGTAACCATGATTTTCCCGGAAATGGTGTATAGATTCTATATACTATAGATGATGTTTCCCCAAGAATGTCCAGGTGTCCAACTTTTCGACACGATTTTTACCCCGGAACAAAAACGCCCCATCCAATTGCGGGAGGTCCAAACAAGCGGCATGTTGCCAAAGACGGACGGCATTGATCCAGGGTGACTAGGTATCCTCCAACAGGGGTGAAAATCCCAATCCAATATTCTTGATGCATTGATTTTATGTAAAATTCGGGATACCCTCTGGTTATGACTAACAGTTCGCCATGGTATAGATGGCCCTAATCGAAATAGATGGTTTACCTATTAAAAAAATTGGTGGATCTTTCCATGGCTATGTTAGTCATAACCAGAGGGTAATGTGTTTCTGTTTTTTTAAACCCAAAGATGGGGGCAACCAAGCTGTAGCGGTGATGGCAACATTTCCGCGTTGGACACTGCGGTTGAGGGATGAAATTTTGCATCTCAGCCATCGCCTGATGGTCTCTTCCTACCCTACTCAGGCTACCCAAAATACCTATGGACCTATGGACCTATGGATTATTGATGAAAATCAAGCATATATATATATAATACTGTATTTGTTCGGATGGATGGCTGAACATACGCTTGGGTCTGAAGCGGTGCCCAATGATGGGGAACTAAAGGGTTGTGTGTTGGGGGTTGTAGCTTGGTGGCGTTGAACAATGCACACCCCATTAGATATTATTGGCTTGCATTGGATTTCAGAGATGCTCAGGGAAGACTACAGTAATTGCTTAAATGGAGATCACGTTTGGGTGAAGTTGAGCCAGACTACACAGATTTGCACCTCCCCCCCAAGTGGGAAATTCTTGCCATCCAAAAATTGATTGCTTGTTGTGGCCACAGTTGTGCCCCGTTAGCCGTTGAAGAGGCTCAAACTCATGAAGCTTCTTCCGGTCCATTCACGTGTCGTTGACTACCACTCGACGCCGTTGACGGAACCTTTGACCCATCCGCTTAAGGAAACATTCAAAACCCGTGGCAACTTGCAGGAAAGAGTTGGTGAAGTGGGATGGAATCAAAATCATGTGCCGTGCACAAAGAGCAATCTCAATGGGATGACGGTAATGTTCCACTAGAACATTGAATCCTCTCACATCATGATTCTAATCATCATCAACTTAAATCAACTTGTTGAAACTTTCCATTGGTATTCAAGTCAGAAGGAACAACAGGGGAAAACCACGTACTGTACTGTACCTCCTCCAGTTACTGCGTGTTGAAAATGTCAGAGACCGGGGTCCCCTATGGGATCTGGGATTCGCACTCTGACGCGCTCTCACAGGTAATGCCATGCATCGTCCGCTGCTTTGCCGTGGCGTTCCTGCCTTTCTGCTTCAGCCACCGCTGCTTGGCAGCAGTGGCCCAAGAAATGCGGGGTGAGGGTCAACCTCAGTAGCAGGTAGTTGGGGCGACATGAACTGAATAATTTCGACAATTACATGTTTGGAGTTTATCAATCTATGTCTAACGATGTCGAGAAAGGAATTGTGACATATTATGAACACCGATCAACGCTGATTCAGAGCTTAGTGAGCCTCAATTGTGGGGATTCCTTTGGGGGAGACTGTTCCGCAAGGCCCTGTAGAAGTTGTTGTTGGTGGCTGATAAGCCGAAACCATCCGAAACATTCCGAAACCATTAAACACTGTTGTCAACATTATTCCTAGTTGAATCCACGTTCTTGATGGGAATTCTAGTTGGAGTTGAATTCCAATGTCTTACTTTTTCCTAGTTAAATTGAATTTCCATAGGAACATTGGATTTCAACTAGAAGTTTTCCTAATTTGTCCAGGTGAAATCCTATATTTTCAATGTCAAATGGTTGATTTCGTGCACATGTTGAGGTGCAGCTGATCAGAGCTGCCTGCCGGATGCCAAGGCTGTGCGAGCGGCCACTTGGCAATGGGAAATCCGTGGAAATCCCCGAAGGAAATGGAGGTTTTAATATGTTTTAATGGGAAAATCATTGGCAAATATATATATATATATATGTGTGTGTGTATTTATATAATATATATATATATTTACAACATATATATATATACTGGAAAAAAACGTACAAATGGAGGTTTGATAGCTGGGAAATGCTGGGAAGATCATCTATAAATATGGGATGTCCCAGTGCCATGTTTGATTGCTGGAGGGTAAACAAATCCTGGTATGGTGGAGGGTAAAAAGGATATAACAACATCAGGAAACATCAGGAAGTAGTTGGGGTGAAATGTGGTGAAATAGGACAATCATATGATACGTAAGTTCGATGTGAAAGACCTGTGCAACTAATCACAAGGGGACAAGCAGAGTTTCTCCAGCCCCAGTCTGAGTGGCACATCTCCAGTGGCTCCAGGCTCCTTCATTGTTGGCAGTGAGTCAACATTTGCAGAGGACGCCGCAGGGTTTTTGATGTCAGCTGTTTTGAAGGGAAAATCAGAAAATCCAATGGGGTTTTGTTGTTGGCATTGAGGGAGTGATTGGACTAGCCCTCTGGTAAACTAACATACCTGTGGAAAATCACAATTTTCAATGGGTAAATTCACTATAAATCACCATTTTCAATAGCTATGTTAAATTACCAGAGGGTAGTGGACTTGAAGGCTACTTGAAGTGATTTCGCGTGATGCTCACTTGTGTTGTCGTGGCATTGGCAGGGAAATGAGACCGGTTAAAGTCGCGTTAACAATTCCGAGTTGGTGGTCGTTGTTGCCCTTGTCATTTGCATGACGCTGAGTATGTGTCATCCAACCAACTTGCATTTTGTTCTTCTCAAGCCGCAAGGCGCACTTGGGGACCTCAGCTGCTCCTAATTTCCAAAGTAGCGGTGGGCTTCTGAATTGAAAGATTGAAAACGCGATCAACATGTCACCCCTACTTGAATACACAGAAATTGTCGGAATGGATCTTGTAAATGGATTGTTGAATAGCACCCGTCGAATACCAACCAACGATTGAAGTCTTAGATTTGTTCATAGGTTGAGCATAGGCCAGCCAATTTGATTGAACTGCCCGGCCACAGGAAAGGCGCGGTAGGAAATCAAAGCAAAGAGCTGCTTATCTGAAGGGTTGGTGTCAAAATTCTGTCTGGAATCGGAGAGTCTTGGACCATCTTGGACCTATACCCAAGTGAAATGCTATTCATGGGGCTTTGATACATATCCCGCCGATGAATCTCTGGTTTATTTGGCATTTACCTCAAAGATGACCACCATGATCCACCGTAGGAGTACCTAGGAGTAATTAATAGATGTGGTTTATGTGCTAGTTACACTAAACACTGGAATGTGGAAACATTTCCTGGCCCTTCTTGACTGAAAGTTCAGGGTGTAGCTTTGCATAGTTTTGATCGAGCTAGGTAGCGAAAGATGAACATTGAATCTGTACAAACATTGACTTGCGTCTGCTGTTCGATAATAATGTATTGGCTGCATGTTTTATGTTGTTTCTTTTCATATCTTTTCATCACCATGGGTCGGAAGATGATTTCAATATATTTTAGTTTTTTTTAATAACAGCTGTATTCAGCACTTGTTTTCTAGTATCCTGCGCCACCAGGGACTTTGGCAAATTGGAAGTTTTAAAGCAACTAGCTCAGACTGTCCGGCTTCAAGGTTCAGATAAACGAGGCAAAGCACGTGTCCGAACATGTTTGCGAACTACGGGACATTCATTCAAGTAGAGAGCATCATCCATCATCATCCAAACAATACAGTAGGACTCTTATTTGCCTTCTGAATATCTACCGTGTATTCTTGAACTGCGCGTTTAATGGTAAAATTCTCCCCGAGACTTCCCAAACAAACTGAGTTTCCCGAACCGCCATGCGACTGTAGGGCTGCAGTCGCACCCAATGATGATTTAGCGCCTTGGTGTCTGCAGCGGCAGTGTGGCCTGTCCAGGTCATTTCTGGTGACATCAACGGAGGATTTTCTGGGGAATCTGGGCATATCTGGGCCCCAACTGGAGCTAACACCAACGAAACGAAACGGGGCTTTCAGCCTAACAAATCTTGGGGAGTCACCAACAACATGGGTTCATTAAGCAAAAGCAAAATCCGAAGAACAATACCAAAAAACTAACCACCCGCTTGGCAGTCAACTCTGACTGCTGTAGTGGGAAATGCCTTAGACGATTAGACGTGAAGTTTGTGCACATGGGCAGTCCGCACTGGGAAAGTTAAATGGCTTACAATATCTTACAATGGAGAGAGGTATACCAAGATCTTTGCATACCGTGCTAGTTCTTCAAGGGGAATCCCTTTAAATTTTAAACATCATCGACCGCTTAAGACAGAGCGCATCCAGACCACATTCCCATGGGGCCATGGGTTAGGCTTAAGGCTTGGACTCTTCGAGTTCATCATGCTATGCCCATGGAGCTCCAGCCATTGTCTCATTTTGGAACCCGTTGAGGAAGGAATTTTGTTCACAGAAACGAAACACGGCGCAATGATACTTTCACCATGGGTTTCATGTCTCACCCAACTCTGATTGTCAGATTCCCATCCCAACCTGGTTTCCCATGTGTCCCAGCTGCAAAGCGAAGGCCCAAACCCTGGAGGACGCGCTGTCGTGGGAGATCAAACAGATCGAGAAGTCGATGGGAGAGAAGGGCCACCTGACGGCGTCACGGGCCCACGGGTGGGGCCTGGCACCGGAGAATCCGCATTTTTGATGTAATACCATTGCAATACCATTGTAATGTCAACCCTGGATGAGACTAAACCATGGTTTACTGTATTAATTAGGGGGGTACTCCCCAAATAGTCATAATCTGATACTTAAATGGTATCCCCCCAATTCAACAACCGTTTGGGGTTTATTAATCCAGGGTTGACATTAATATGCATGAAATACCCCAATTGTTGTCAAAACTCCCGACTCCAAATCGAAAAACATGGTTTGTTCTTCAGGATGTGACGGATGTTAAATTGCTGGGTTCCTCTGCATTTCTGATCAGCGCACCTCTTTGCCAGTCCGCTTTCACTTCCCCACACCATGTGAGGCGATGAGAAACCCAGCAAAGTCGGAGAGCTCAGAACTGGACTGAGCGTGTAGAGTTGATGAACGCTCAGCCAACGACCCTATTTGAAGATCTTTTTAATGGAGAACGGTTCATCTTTCCATTTCACAACGACAAGGTCAGTTAGATTTGAAACCTGGCCCTGGCATGATCCTTGAATGCCACAAACATCCAGCAACTCTGTCAAATCCCTTTCAACTGTCGTAAGTTGGGGAAAAACAACATGAAACAAATAAATAGAATGATTCGAATGCGTGTGATAAATATTAATATGAGTCATTGGAAACCACTCAACAATACTAAACATATGAAACCAACAAATGTAATGTGGTTAGAACATGTTAAAGCAATAATAAACTACCCATTTGGGAATAATTATTATTAAACCACCTATAATAAACTATCCAGAGAGATGGTTTATGGCATTGTTTTAACCACATACAAATATCAAAATGTAGAATTTCTTCTTGGTGGAAACAGACAGCACCAACGAACTCATGGCTGCCATGGCTCAGGTCATGGGCGTGGCACTGAACGGCAAGGACGACCTGCGCATGCTGCGGGGCGCCGTGATCATCGGCTTCGCTGGCGTGGCACTGCTGTTCATCGTGCCTAGGACATCTCCAAAAAAAGTGGCTTAAAATGGGTCAAAGTTATGTCAAAGTTAGCGAATTAATCAACTATATCAACTCCATGGCGCTCCAATTTTTCCTTTTTTTCAACGGGTTATAAACGATTAAACCAACGAATCTTGGGGATTTTAAGGGGTATTTGGTAGGGATTTACCCAGTAATCATGCAACAAATATTGGGACTTGCCCAGTTGTTGAGTACCCCCAATAATAAGGGACCCCAATTCACGAATAGATCCATGACAGGGGGCATTTAATGTTGGGGGAAGGGATTAGATTCTAGATAAGCAACAGCATAGATTGATAATTTTGAAGATATTTTAAGCATCCCTTGCTTGCTGGTATGTACTTCGTTGAAGTGTCCATCGTTTTTTTGTTGGAAACCTAATTGACTCAGGCTCTCAACCACTGAGTTAGGTCCTGCTTGGTGGCTGGATGCAGCAACTGGTTGATGGAGAACATGCATGTCAATGGATGTTGACATCACCAGTTCCCTTCAAGCAATGACTCAAGAGCAATATAAAATCACATCCTCACATAAAATCAGTGAATAAAAGGGAAACATCCGCAGAAGCTTGGCTTGGGAGAGCCACTGAATGCGAGGTGTTTTGCCTCATGAGAAAGTTTGCACCCTGGGTCTATCTGCGCGAGGTGCGGGCCTCGATTCAAGATGTTTACTGTATGAGCTTTGGCCCATGGGCCCCATGGGCTGTCCCATATTTGTTCACCACCATCACTATTTTTTGTACACAGAGAGCAAGTTGGCTAGAATTCATGGTGAATTCTTCTGGATGTTTCTCATTTGGTGTTTTGGGATTGTTTTAAAGGGATGTTCACTGTAGCTCTGTAATCATGCCAATGGGCGGGAACCGGGTTGCGGACACATTGCCCTGCGAGGAAGACATGGAATTGGAACCCCTGGGCGATGGCACTGCATCACCTGCCACGGCACCCAGGCTGCTGCAGTTTCGGTGAAGTCTTGCTTCCAAGTGCAACTTCACGCTGTGATTGGCCACGTGCTAATATGGGAATAGAGGATTTGATTCATTTTGATTCAGTTTGGCATTCTATTGTGTATCCAGGTCGGCTTTGTTTTTGTTCCAGTTTTTGTTGGGAAAAAACACCGCTGTGCCAGGTTTTTCGCCAACCCGTTCCCTTGGCTACAGAGGGCTTGGCACAGATCTCCCTGAAAAAAATTGGGATTTTCCGCGACAGCACAGCATTTGCTGTCATGCCAAATCAAGTGTTTGAACGCATCACATGAACCACAACAACATTTGCATGATATCACATACCCTCTGGTAATTTAACACAGCTATTGAAAATGGCCAGTTATAGTGGACATAGTTCTGTTAGTTTACCGGAGGGTATTTGTTTGTTTCCAGATGTTTCCATTTTTTGGGGGCATGCCACAAAATGCCCCAAAAACAAAACAGTGGAATCACTGGAACAGGGTCCTGAAGGGGGAAAATTCATCATGGAAACACATCGTCAAATCTGCTTTTAAATTATATATAGATATCCTCCTGGGAATTTTCCTTAAAAAGTTCAGGACATGATGTCCTTAAAAAATTGTATTTTTTAAGGGACATACCTGGCCGGCAAAAAAACAAACAGTTCTATTTTTTAAGGAAATCCTGTTGTTTGACGGTCTCCTATTCTTTAAGAGGCCTTCCTTGGAAGATTCTAGGAACTGCACCATATATATATATATTCATATATCATATCATCCACATCCACATATCTCTTTAACATGTACATGAATGTACATGATATGTATCCATAAAATCTTAAAAATATTCAGAACATTTCATGCTTGACTCCAACTTGGGTATCCAATTCTTTAAAGGGGCACCCCTTGGTGTGTTATTGACGGTCTCCAATTTTTTAACGGGACATACCTGGCTACTGTGTTGCAATCTTGGTTCATTGGGGTTAGATTCTTTAAGGCTGAAATTTGCCCTGGTTCGCATTCTTTAAGAGGCTACCAGTGGTCCCTTAAAGATTCAGGGGTCAGGGTCGGAGGCCGAATTGCAAGGGGGATATATAGATATCATATATTAGCTAATTGGTTACATCATGAACATAGGGAAAACTACGGAAATTCCAAAGACATGGTCCTGTCAATGCCTCCATTTTGCAACTGTTCAGGCAGGTCACCCAGCCGCCCCGAGGCATGTGACGTTGCTGGACTGGACTCGGAAGGTGCGCCAGACCACTCCGGAGGATGAGGCACGCCGGGAGAGCGGACAAATCCCAGCACTTTTTTGTTGTTGGGATGAAAATCCATTACCCTTTGGTCGAAGGAAGTTTAGAAGTCAAACTTCCGACAATATGGAGAGATGAAAAGCAGAGCAGGGCAGAGGCACAGAGAAGAGGAAGATTAGAAGAGAGAAGATCAGGAAGAGAAAGAGTAAGAGGACAGAAGATACAGATGCGCGAAAAGGTAGGAAAGTCGCGAAACACTGTGTTTTTCCAATGATTTGTGGCTCCGGAGGGTCGAAAAGTAGGTTCGCTAAAGCGGCGGGTGCGGAGCCAGCTGGCCACAGGAGAGATGAAAAAATGCACGCCGTTGTGGCGCGAAGCACATTTCGAAGTGAAAATGTACAAAACACTAGGGGTTCGGACCACTTTTAGGAGTTGAGATGTCGAAAAAGTGCACGCCGTTGTGGCGCGAAGCACATTTCGAAGTCAAAAGTGTTAAAAACTGGCAGTCTCGGACCACTTTTGGAAGTTGAGATGTCGAAAAAGTGCACGCCGTTGTGGCGCGAAGCACATTTCCAAGTCAAAATGTACAAAAAACACCAGGTTCGGACCACTTTTGGAAGTTGAGATGTCGAAAAAGTGCACGCCGTTGTGGCGCGAAGCACATTTCCAAGTCAAAATGTACAAAACACACCAGGTTCGGACCACTTTTGGAAGTTGAGATGTCGAAAAAGTGCACGCCACTGTGGCGCGAAGCAGATTTCCAAGTCAAAAGTGTTAAAAACTGACGGTCTCGGACCACTTTTGGAGGTTCAGATGTCGGAAAAGTGTCAAAAAAGTGCACGCGGTTGTGGCACGAAGCACATTCTGAAGTCAAAAGTGTAAAAAAAACTGCGGGTTTTGAGCCTTTTTTGACGTGAAGATTTTGCCCGTTGCTGCTTGGAAAAAACACACTGCGGCGACTCCGTGAGGGAGACGCGTCAGAGGGATGTGCTAGATTTCGTCATGTGTTTGTAGTCTGTTGTGTTAACATGGTAGGAGTTGTTGAAGTTTCAATTTAGGAATACGAGGCTCGTATCAGTACACGGTAGATGGATGGAGTCGGATGGATGGATGGATGGAGTCGGATGGATGGATGGATGAATGGATGGATGGATCGATAGATAGATAGATAGATAGATAGGATTAGTTAGATAGATAGATAGATAGATAGGATTAGTTAGATAGATAGATAGATAAACAGATAGACAGATAGATAGATAGATACATACATACATAGATACATAGATACATAGATACATAGATACATAGATACATAGATACATAGATAGCTATTCAGAGAAAGAGAGAGAAAGAGAGGAGACCTCAAGCACCTTTCGGTCCATCAGTGGCTTCGCTCTGCCATCCCTGATTCACAACAGCCAATCTCTCCTATAGGTTTCCTATTTTTGAAACTTCCGCCACCGCCTTGTGCGGTACTACCGGTAAACATACAAACAACATCAATCAACTATGGAAAATCACCATGCTATCAATGGGTAAATCCACTATGTCTATGGCCATTTTCCACAGCAAACTGTTAGTTTACCAGGGGGTAAACCTCCATAATTTTGATCCATGATTTCGATCCAATTGAGCTGGATGAAAATCCAAAGTTATCAAAGCTCGATCATTTGGGATCTTGAGATCCGGAAATCCAGCTTGCCATGATACCTTTGATGGCGCACCAGGGCGAAAAACACCCTGAAAAACACCCATAGTTTGGCTCCCAGAGGGTAAATCCATGTACCCTCTGGTAATCTGGTAATTTAAGCTATAGCTAAAATGGCACATGTCGTTCGTTTAAATTTTTCAGATGGTGGTTTTCCCGCAAACTGTTACCCTCTGGTTATTTAACATAGCCCTGGTATAGATGGCCCATAGAAATAGATGCTTTACCTCTTAAAAATCGTGGATTTTTCCATAGTTCTGTTCATTTACCAGATGGTAAATCCCATTAAATCCCATTAAATCCCATTAAATCCCCATTAAATCCCCATAAATCCCCATAAATCACCATAAATCACCATAAATCACCAGCTGGTTCTGCCAACCTGTTGCTTTAGCAGCGGGTTTTTTTCTCCAATGCTCCGCGCCCAGATGGCCGCAGCGGGGCTGGACGGCTGGGCCTTCCTGGAGTTTCGACGGCTGATTTGGCGCATTTTCTCAGTGATAGGCGGAGGATTTTCCGGCGGAAAATGATGAAAAACAACGGGAAGGGCATGGTAATGGCATGTAGTCTGGCGAAAAACCAGTTGCAAGTTGGTTTAGGTTTTTTTTTTTTCAACCCTTACATTCTTATAAATATCAATGTATATATGTATATACATATATACATATCATAGATATGCCTGCTATAAAACATTATAAATCCAAGGTATGGTATTGGGCACCATCCTGTATTAGCGTTTGCTAGAACCTATGTAGAATAGGAACAGTTTTTTTTTCACAACCAGGCTACCAAGCAGTTTTTCACAAATCATCCCAGCGGATGATTGTCCAACAGGTTTCAGGACAGCGGCTTTGCTTGGGATCATTTGATCACTTAAGCTGGAGGGTAGGTGAACACAGTGAACACGGCTTTCTTTCTTTAGCCTTGAATTGGTTTTCCTGGATGTCCAAGACAAAACGAGCATGTCTTTTTTTGCAAGTTTTTGTGTTGAACCCACACGGTGACTAGCGGCCTAAATTTGGTGGAGGTGCTATGCTGGCGGTGGTGTTGCTGCCTATGCACTACCAGGTGTGGGCTGAGAGTCCACGTTGGTACTCGTACATACCCCTTCAAATGGTGGAAACCACGCTGTTTGTATTGATAACCCCTAAGATGCAACATGTTTCCCCAAAAATGATTTTGTGATGGTCTAGGAGTCTAGGCATGCCTTGTTCTTGTTCATCCCATTTTGGTATATTTTGCTATGATATTTCCATATATTTCCCTTGTCAGTTGTCGCTGTTTGTTTCGCATCCCTCAAGCTATGTGAGCCCTTGTCAGGCTCACAAGGATTCCCAGATGTTGGATATCTTGAGCATTTTCGACATCGGCCACTCGTCGTTGAAAAACTGTGGCTGGGGCAGGGCGGCACCTGAAACAGCTGAAAACATAAATGATGCCATATGGAGAGGGGTGATGGAGAGGGGTGATGGAGAGGGGTGATGGAGAGGGGTGACAGAGTCAAAAGGAGAGCTGTTTTGTTTAACAGTTCGCCATGGAAAATCACCATTTTTAATAGGTAAACCATCTATAAATGGGCCATTTTCCATGGCTATGTTAAATAACCAGAGGGTAATCATTTCACAGATGTTGTGTAAAGTCAGTACCTTTTTCGCGTGGTGCAGCTGTTTCTTGTGCAGCTGCCTTGCTAGATCCGATCCCGAAAAAAATGATAGCAGGCTCTATCGCAAGCCAAGTTCCCTATGATCCTTATGTTTGCCCTCTGGTAAACTAACAGTTTGCTATGGAAAATCACAATCTTTAATAGGTACATCCACTACAAATGGGCCATTCTCAATAGCTATGTAACAAATTACCAGAGAGATGGTTTATGGCATTGTTTTACCCACATCGTTGCATTTTGTTGCTACACTTGCTGCCCCCTCGTGGTGACCACAACTCGCTTCCGAGGTAGAGATCCCTTGCCCGACTGGATGCTGTGGGTGCCCCCTAGGTTGAAGCCATCAGAGATGACATGAGTTAGGGGGTGGCTAAATATGTTTAACGTTTAACCGTCCCTGGTGTTGGGATATGGGATATGGGACATCTATAGGTGAAAACTATGGGTTTATGGTCATGAAACAACATGAACTAACTATAAATAAATACTGGTTGGTGGTTTGGAACATGTTTTTCCATCTGTTTTGGGAATTTCATCATCCCAACTGACGAACTCATATTTTTCAGGGGGGGTGAAACCGCCAACCAGAATATGTCTTTCTATTGCAATTCTATTTAATATAATGTTATATGTTTAATTGTTGGATAAATGGTGTGGCAAACAGCCCAGCAGGCATCACGTTCGGCGACATTTTGCAAACACACATCCGTCTTTCCCGTGTCTTGACGTCACCGTCTCAGCAGACATTGGTTTTGATTGGTGAATAGTAGTTACCCTCTGGTGAACTAACATAGCAATGGAAAATCACCATTTTTAATGGGAAAATCCACTATAAATAGCCATTTTCCATTGCTATGTTAGTTCACCAGAGGGTAGTAGTTAGTAGATGTTAGTAGTGTTTGGCCGGCATGAATGGGCGAATTCAAATACTCCAGCCTCAACGGGCCCAACGGGCACCCTGAAATCCCATGGGTACTTAACTTCTGACTACCGCATTACCATTTTGGATGGTAATGCCGTATGGAATATCCCCATTTTCCGATACACTGATATATCATATATCATTGTTATATATTGCCATATTGCATTTCAATCATATGCGCGGGAATGCCCGCTAACTTACTCCCATGTTCTGGTTGAATCATCCAGTTTTTTTGCATCACACCTGGCGTTTTTTCCCATTTTTCAGGTGCACGCGGTCATGGTTTGGTTCGTGGTGGGCGCCTCAAGTTGGACCATCTCTATGGCACAGGAGCCCGGTACCGATTTTTAAATCGGTACTCAGATCGAACCATCTATAGATAGTGATTAGATTGATTTAAGCCAGATCTATAGTTGGTGGTTGGCACTAGAGTCACTAGATTGAGCCTTCAGCTAGCATCTATGAGTTAGATAGTGGATAGGGATGGATAGGGCATATCAATGTTATATCATATCACCCATCTCTGGGAAAACTGGTGAGGTTTGTTGACTTCATGTTGACTTACTGGTGAGTTTAAGACAGAGGTTTCAATCCCACTCTCAGTCCGCCTCCCACATCGTTGCAGCAGGAGCACTTTACTGAGCGGCGCTATCAGTGGCTGAAAGAGATCCCATTTCCTCGTGCCAACACGGTCTTGGTGAGGCAAAAAATATATCGGGCTCATGGGGTGATGAACTATGATGAACTCAATGCACGTGACTGAAGATAGAACATGATGGAACCGTATGGAACAATATGAACAAATGACAAAAAAAAGAGTTGTATTGAGCTGTCCTTGACGCCATCTTCCAAGACCCATCAAGACCCCCATTTTTCTGGAGAACTGGATGTGATGACCATTAAACGTTCAGCGGAACGCATTGAGCTCATAGCTACTGTCAGCTCATGGTTCAGCCAGTGGGATGCATCAGGTCGATCCCATCCTGACAGGAACATTCCAGCCATGTACCGTTCCGATGCAGCACTGCTGCAGCACCTCACTTGCAGCTTTAGACAAGCAAGAAAGAGAAACAAGATGGGAGGCTTCAAGGTGGTGCCTTGGCTGGTGTGTGGATCATGAGCTTTAGTTTTGGTGGGTCTGCTTTCCAAATTATGGCATTTACTTCTGTTTCTCCCCAGTGCTCTCCTAGGTTTCAGTATGTTTCAGCAGTGGCAGGTATACGGTATAGTTGATAAATCGGCGTACGGTGTGTTGTTTCATCTTGGTGACTGATCATCCACTTCTGACCTCAGTGGGGGTGCTTCTGGCCACAGCCGATCGCGTAGCCAGGTACTTCACCAACGTCTTCAACGACAAAGACGCCGCGGAACGGGCCTATGTCGTTCGGCGGACAGGCGCCAGAGCGTGTGGAGATTCCACCATTAAAAAAATAGGGTGGAGATTTCGAAGACTTGGAGAATCTCTGAAGTCAGGGTTGATGGTTGATGGTTGGTTGATGTTACTTGCATTATGCGATATCAGATTTTCTTAAAAACAAATACTGTGCATCATACACCGGATAAAAGCATTCAAGTTTAGTCCACAATGGCCCACCAACCATGGCATATTTCTTCTTCAGGGTGTCGGCCATCTCAAAGCCTCGCCGGCCATTTATGTAGAGACTTGCCCCCGTTTCATCCAGTTTCCTGATTTTGTAATTATAGCCTCTGGTAAATAAACATAGACCCCGAAAATCACCAATTTTTAATGGAAACTAGTCTTCCAACCCCTATCTGCCAGGGTCTATGTTAATTTACCAGAGGGTAGCACTTTAATTTCAGAGTCTTGTGTCTTTTAACATCCTTAAAGACTAGATTCCAGAGACAAACCGTGGCCCCAGTTCAACAGGGGTTATTTCGAAAGGCTCTATACAGGGGGATTCATGACCCAGGCTAAGATAAAACAACCATTTGGAACAAAAATAATTGAACAGTAGTTCTTTAAAATCCAGTGAGAACCAAGTTGCAACAACATATTCAGAAAAAAAACATGAAAAAACAACGCCAATCAGAACTGGTTGGTGGTTTGGAACATATTTATATTTTCCATTTCACATATGGGATGTCATCCTTCCCATTGACTTTCATATTTTTCAAGATGGTTATTGCACCACCAACCAGTTATGATTCACAGGACTAACAGGGATGATGACAATATATGACAATGATGTTTGACCCATAATTAATGATGATTAACCGATGGTTAAAACATGTTACCCTCTGGTAAACTAACATAGCTATGGAAAATCACCATTTTTCATGGAAAACTCACTATAAATGGCCATTTTCAATTGCAAACTGTTAGTTTACCAGAGGGTAACCGATGGTTAAACCATGTGAAAACCCACCACTGCAGAGAACTTCGAATGCATCTCATCCCCCAAGCCGAGCTTCCGGACCAGGTCAACTGCCTCGCCAGGCGGACGAGGGTTCCCCCTTTGGTCCCCCCGGGAAACCGGAAACCGGAAAGGACCAAAGGACCAAATATAGATGTTGATAACTGGTTGGTGGTTTGGACCATTTCTTATTATTTTCCATATATTGAGAATAATCATCCCAACTGACTTTCATATTTTTCAGAGGGGTTGAAACCACCAACCAGATAATGTATAATAATCCTTTAAAAGAACTGTGGAAACCTTCTGTTCGAAGCTGAATCAAATCCTTTTCTTTGTTGCATAGACTTTCTCCAAGATATTTCTAAGTTGCAAGAATTTGGGTGTGACCTGACATGTGGCAGTAGACCCTTTTTTGTGGGCGTTAACAATTGCCTCCTGCAGTTTTCCCTTAAACCAATCCATTGACTAACCCATTCTCGCAGATTTTCATGATCCAACCACAATGCTTCGTGGTTGAACCCACCATTTTTATGATTTTTATGCTGGTTGGTGGTTTCAAACATGTTTTATGTTCCATTTCATATATGGGATGTCATCCTGCCCAACTGACGAACTCTATCATTTTTCAAGATGGTTAATGCACCAACCAGATATAACATATACAAGGTCCAAGTGTCGCCCCAGTTTGTTAGCTAAGTTGAACCCACCATTTTTACCCTCTGGTAATTTGTTACATAGCTATTGAACATGGCCATAGAAATGGTTGATTTACCCATTAAAAATGGTGATTTTCCATAGCTTATGGGAAAAACCCTGGTCTCCAAGGGCCCTCCAGGTTCTTGCCGCCAGGTGAAGAATCTCAAGGCAGCCAAGTTGGAAGTGCTGCATGCGAAGCAGCACTGGGAGGCGGGGATACAACAGGAAAATCAAAAAGATTGGGATATTGGAAACCATCATATATTTTCAGACCGTACATATAATAATAAGATGGTGGTCAAAAGAGTTTGTTTGAACATTGGGTACCACTGTACCACTTGATACCACCATGTACCATCCAAATTTGATGGTTGATGAGAATGTTTCCCACTTAATAGGCATGTTGGTGGCATCCCCTAGTTTCTCGGAATGACCCAAATGTTTATTCTAGAAGGTGGTGCCGCATAGTTAGCTTTGTCGAGAAAAGTCGGTTGACATGTTTTTCTCCAACCCAAACTGTGTCCATTTACCAATGAGATAACCAGATGCGGAGTTCTGCCAACGACAGGAGGCTGGAAGTGAAGAAGAGACCCCCGAGTGGTTCTACCTGCAGAGATGTCAAAAGCACCTTGGTTGCGAGGCGCTTGAGGTCATTGTGGGGCTTGTTTTTTGTTTGGTTTGACTCGGATATACCCTGGGGTAAACTAACATACTTTCCTTAGGAAAATGATCTAGAAATGGTGTATTGTCCACATCTATGTTCGTTTAGAGGAATTCATCAAACATCATTGCAGTCACTGTTCGGTTGCGGGATATCCAAGCAACAAGGGACCAGCTGTCATAAAAAGGTGGTGTGAGGCAGCAGCATGTTGAGTTGTGATGCACGTTTGATGTTTGGGTTTGATCGCCAGGGGGATGTGGCTCCAAACGTTTTCCTTCAAGTTCGGGAAGTGGTCTCATTTGCCCAGAGAGTTTTTGGCATTAGGATCTTCAGCTTCTGTTTGATCTTCAGGGTTCCCAGTTCGAGACTCATCTCGTTGGAACCTACAGATGCACAAAAAACATATCAAACAACATAAACATCCTGAGAGAGACAGATGCATCAAATGGTGATCCCAAAAGCACACCCCAACGAAAATTCGGAAAATCACTGCCACCTGGCCCCAATGAACTCCCAACGATCACCACCGTTGGGATGCCACGCCATGCCACGCCATGCCACGCCATGCCACGCCACGCCATGAGGCGTGTGAAGACCATCACCGAGGAGGTGGCAGCTGCCCAGGGGCGCTTGAAAGATGCGGCAGCCCGAGGCCTGGGGCGATTTCGGTGGAGGTCTTGCCGATTTCCATGGGGTGAGTAGGTTTACTCACTGGGTAAACCTCGGCAATGGAAAATCCCAAGGGTTTTTGAAATAACCAAATGTCATTATTATTTATTTATATGTCCAAAATATATAACCCAAGGATAATCCAAGGGAATTATTTATGTATTGATTTATTCTTCCCCCCTTGCAACTCAACTAAAACCACTGAAAATTACACTAGACGCCAACGACTGTTTTAAACACCGTGGTTCCCGAACCACTGTTGGATGAGGGCAAACCAATACCGGTTGGAATTCTACCCCTTCCTGCATTGGCGTCATCCCCAAGTTTTCAGCTTTGGTCTGGACACATACCACACTTTGAGGATGCCTTTGGCTCTTGGTGCAATTCTGCATGATCCATGGGAAGTAGAATTAGCCATGATTTCATCTACAATCAACCAATCCGTCTGATAAAGTCATGATTGCTGTGCTGCTTCAGACTTGGCTTAAGACCCTGTGTTTGGTGAATATAACCATGTTGTTTGCTTCAAATCCCACCGTTGGCACTTGGGAGCCCCAAAGATCGTATGTTGGTACTGTTGATGTTCAAACTCCGTTGTAGCGCAGTACATGTAGTCAAATCCCATTTTTGTGTTCAATCATATTTCAATCACTTTTGCTTGTCACTTCAAAAATCCATATGTTGGTTTCTTCAATATCAATCTCCGTTGCTGAACTTTTTTTGCCGTTGCTGGGCGCTCCCAACTTCGAGTTCAGCTGTGGGGGTGAGTAAATCCCAAAGAGCCCGTCAATTGGAAAAGACCAGACACAGCTCCTGTTCTTCGGGAATCCCAAAATAAAAAGGCCCCACTCATCTAAGATGCGAAACTTGGCTATGCTCATTTATAGCCACCATTTTTTTTGATAGTTTCACCTATCAAAGCAATCATTTGCTCATTGATTATAATCAGCACTTCTTTGCGGAAAACATCAATTTACTGTCAAGATCCTTTTCAAATGTGCATCTGGTAAAGTTTATTTTCCGTAAATAAATACCTGTAAAGATCATTTAAGCAAAGAAAGCATTTGGCTTCCAGCGACAAAAATCCTCGAAGTTCGCAAATGAACATGAACTAACCATACTTAAATCCTCATTTCAAATCCATGTCCCTTCACATATAGTATCCCACATTTTCCCACATTTTCCCACATTTTCCCATAAGAAAAGCCATGGGAAAACCGCCTCATTTCGGACATGTCCGACCAGGTGATCCCTTGGTTTGCACCTCCACTGGCTTCGTGACCTTCAACACTGAGCTCACTGCGCGTTTGGCCTCACGGGAGAGAGTTTGTGGGCTATTTAACCACTTGGGAAATGCCGTTCAGTGTGGTGATATAGTGGTGTTATAGTTATATTGTACATATAGTATATATATATATAATTATGTATATATATATATATATATACATATCATACATATAATATATAATTATATATATGTGTGTATATATATATATACCTAACTATTAAGTGGGCCAATGGGATTTGGGTTTTCCCCAAGTTTTTGACCATAAACCAATGATTATGTTGGTAAAACATTGGTAGAATAAACCAACCCCAATTGATTTCATCCAATTTCACCATAGATAGGTGGTATAAACCATTCCCAAGTGGGTGGTTTATGATGGTTTTACCACCATTATGGTGGTTTATGGAGCTAAGATACCTGGGCTAATGGGATTGTCATACCCAAGTTTTTCACCAGAATATGATGGAGAAATGAGTGAAGTCAAATGGGCTCATTACTTGTGCCGGGATGATGTGGAATGCAGTGGCATTTCTTTCAATGCTGACTTTTCAGCGATATCATAACACTTGTTACGAGGGCATGCAAAGCTGTGGAACTCTGTGGGTTGGTTCTGAAGCGATGGGATTGAAACCATACTGTGTCCAGGAAAAGTTGGAACATGTTGGAACCATCTTTGAGGTCAGCTAGAGCTGGAAGCCTTCAATGGCATTCGTGAAGTCGCCTTAAACATTAACCAACGCATCATGCACTATCCAGAGCAGCATGAACGTGATCAAGCACATAATGCAAAACCACCATTCCTTGAAGCTCCTAGGGATCCTGTAGAAGTACATTTAGTCGCACATAGTTGCATATGGCAATCAAAACTGTAATTGCTTTATATTGCAAAGCTTTGGTTCCTGGCACGTACCATAGCATGTTTGGTGTGAAGACACTTCGGCAACTGGAACCTTTTTTCCCCACCTGCCAGGTGAGGGTTGTTAGATTTTATGTCAGTTGCCTCCTCCTCCTCCTCCGCCTCCTCCTGCCTCGTCCTCCTCTCCTCCTCCTCCTCGTCCTCCTCGTCGTCCTCGTCGTCCTCGTCGTCCTTGCTCAACTGCGACCCGCGATCCACAGTGTTCTCTGCCGGACCTCAACCACGACCATCCACGCCCAGTGTTCCCTGCCGGACCTCAACCACGACCATCCACGCCCAGTGTTCCCTGCCGGACCTCAACCACGACCATCCATGCCCAGTGTTCCCTGCCGGACCTCAACCACGACCATCCACGCCCAGTGTTCCCTGCCGGCCGGACCTGGGAACATGTAGGAAGAATGGGACAAAGAATGGCAGAAGAAAGTAGAAAGAATGTCAGAGAATCATGCAGAAGATATGCCAGAAGATATGCAGATTATGCAAGATAATATGCCAGAAGAATGCAGATAGAATGCCAGGAAGATTTGCAGATAGAATGCAGAAAATATGCCAGAAGATATGCCAGATAGATATGTCAGAAGATATGCCAGAAGATATGCCAGAGAATGCAGAAGATATGTAAGAATATAGCCAGAAGATATGCAGAGAGAATGCCAGCAGATATGTCAGATATATGCCAGAAGATATGCCAGATAGAAGGCAGAAGAGAAGATATGTCAGATAGAGTGCCAGAGAGAAGAATGCCAGATAGAATGCCAGAAGATTTGCCAGATAGAATGCCAGAAGATATGCCAGAAGATATGCCAGATCATATGCCAGATAGAATGTCAAATAGAATGTCAGAAGATATGTCAGATAGAATGCCAGAAGATTTGCCAGTAAGAAAATGTATAAATGTCATGGTGGGGATCACACGAAGTAAAGTAATTTCTCCAGATTTTTTGCCAAGGCCCTTTTCTTGAGCCTAAAAGACACAAAAATCAGACAATTATTGACCCCAGGGGGCTGAACGGGGCGTCGCAGACAGTAGATCCGGTTGATCCAAAAACCTGCTGCGTCTTGGGTTTCTGTGAGAATCTGCATTCAGTCAACTAGATCCAACTGTCTCAAGCATCTCAACCATTTCCTCACCAACAACTCACCCAATGCAAAATTTCTAACAGTAGGTGTTTCTACCTTTAGTAGGCCAGAGTGTTGATAAATTGCCTGAATTTCAGCTGGGGTCAGTTTTCCCATGACATCAGGGGCCTGGGTATTCCCTGCCATTTTGTGCCTCAATTACTCTGAAACTAGACTTCCGTCACTTCCGTAGTTCTTTTTCTCTCCTTTCACTGTCAAGTAACTAGCCAAGAAAGCCGGAAGCGGCACGCGAATGGTGGTGGATTTGATGTTGATAAAAGTTAAAAGTGAAATAAAAGTGATATAAAAGGCATTTCCAGGGCATTTCCATTTTCAGCAGGAGCAGTACACCCGGGACGTCACGGACTTCCAGATTTCGATGCCTCCAGACCCTGAGGATGTGCACCTCGGCCAGGTCCGGCGCCAAAGGTCAAAATTGCAAGCTGATAGTTGGATCGATTTTCTTCTAGCACACACAAAAACACACACAGACATATATAATATATATAGCGACGGACAAATACTTAGAACATCATTTGGAAAAAAAATCTGAAAATCGTCACAGCGGGGATGTTCTAAGTATTAAGTCGTTAGAACATACCCAAAACCTATACTTAGAACATTTCCAAGCTATACTTAGAACATCCCAGTGGGGAACCAATAATGAGGCATCTTCAAAACATTCAAAATTATACATAATTCATTTTAGCTCATTTTAGTATTGAAACCTATGCTTTTTGACTACCCGCTGTAGGAAACCCACAAATTATATACTAGAGACCTTCCCATTGCAGCGAAGACTGCTTGGGATATTGTTCCCGAAGAAAAGGTATAGAATGCTGCAGCAGTGAGGGGAGAAAGTGTTCTAAGTATGGTGTTCACCAAGGTATTTGTGTGTATATATGCAGATTTACCAAAGTAACAGGACATGTTCTAAGTATATGTGTGTTGAATGTTCTAAGTATGCAAAAAATCAAAGGAGATGTTCTAAGTATTTGTTTTTCTGATGTTCTAAGTGCGTACTTAGAACATTTCTGATGTTCTAAGTGTAGTTGTTTTGGTGTTCTAAGAAAAGGTTCCGAATTTTTGGAAAATGATGTTCTAAGTATATGTCCGTCACTATATATACATGTATATTGTATATATATATACTGTATATATACATATATATTAAGTACATATTACATATTATATATAGATGTATATGTATATATATATATATAATATATGTATGTATGCGTGTGTGTGTGTGGAAAAGTGATAAATTGTATGAAAACGGACTACGGTTTGCATTCTGTATATCGGTCCTTTTGTCTTTCAGATCCATGTGTGTGCAAAATCATGTACAATTTGTGGAGCGGAAAGGGATGGCTGGACGGATATCATTGCGTTCTTTGGTATTCTTTGGTCAGAGTCCACAATGGGAAACAGCGAGATGCAAAATACATGAAGCATTTGCCGCTGTGCGCTGAGGATCTATGACAACTTAGCGGATGCTTGGCACCAGTGGGTCAATGCCATGCAGTGGGTCGGGTGATCGTGCCCGGAGTTGGTCTAGGCTGAGGGCTGAAAACATGTTGAACATGTGTTGAACATGTAACATGTACCCTCTGGTAAACTACCGTAACTATGGAAAATCACCATTTTCAATGGGTAAATCCACTATAAATGGGCCATTGTTCAATAGCTATGTGAAATTACCAGAGGGTAACATGTCATTTTTTATTAAGAGTAGTGGAGCAGCAGATGTTTCAGTTCCAGATGAAACAGTTTTCAGCCGGGTGAGGCATCTGACTAATTTTTCAATCACCTATTTTGGTTGCATATGTTCATGATGTGGGTTTACTTACCACTTCCAGGTTTTTCACTTGGCAATCTGAAACCCATATGTTTATTTAACCCACGGTATAATCAAACCTGGCACTTGAACATCCACCATTTATAGATGATGTTCCCAACTATTAACCTCCATGGCTCGTTCGCGGATTTTCCAGCCACGTTTGATGACACGTTTGGTGTCACGTTGGCGAGGACCAAGAGATCAACTCGACTGGGTGGAACTGGGCAGGCGTAGCTGCCATTTGGGGCGTCCAGGGGCCCAGGAAAACAGTGGGGTTCGTCCGGTGACATTTCAAAACCGGAGGTTCCAAACGGTTCCTGGGTCACATTTGACACCCAGGAATACCTAGGAATACCTTACTGAAATGATAGCACATTCAAGTCAGGCAGATCTGTCTGCAGTTTGGTGATGGTGGTTTTTCTCAGGTCGGCAGGAGTACGCATGGGTTGCTGACTTGGCTTGTAAGGTCAACTTCCACTTGTGCTTCTCCTTATCATGTTTTGGATGGTTAGTGCATCCCTTTTTTTGCAGTGGTTTTGTCGCAGCACCAAAAGTGTAGCATGTTACTTTCCAACCTGAGGTTCCAATCGAATGGTTGAGTTCTTGCTCCCGCTTGGACATACAGATTAAAGACAATGTCGACATTATTAATTATGTTTCATAATATATTGTTGATGGCACATGCATCACTTTGTGACAGTTACCCCTGGCATTGTCCCAGCCGAAACACTTGGTTGTTGTTGGCTCCATGCCCAGTTCATGCCCAAAGTATCGTTTTTTGTTCTTCCCCTCTTACCCCCTTTCAGTCGATGAAATATTGATCATTGTCATTTTTTCTGATGTGTGTTCTACCTAGATTGTATCGGCGGAATTCCCAAGTGTTTGTGTGTTGGCGCCAAAGGACCCAAGGGTTGAAACGATATGGACTACTTGAGGTCTTCACCATTTGGATTCCCTTCGTGGTGTTGATCTCCAGCACGGCATCCAAGTGAACACAACTCATGGACAAAGTTTGATAAGCTAGATGGCTGGTCCAAGTCTGTTTGGTTCAGGTCTGTTGTGACCAGACTAATGGTTTCGAATTGTTCATTTTTTGATCCCTTCAAAAGCTTGGGAAAGCCGAACTCCCAACCGATGGACTGGATTCACTTTGATTTTGGGGTGGGTGTACAGCTGACTTGGCATTTTCCGATGTGTGTTGCTTTGATATGGGTAGCCCCAAAGCCTTGATATTGGGTTCACAACCGAAACCTGAGAATGTCCAACGGCTGATGTTTAAACTGTAGTACCTGTATGTACCTGTCAGAACTTGAAGGCTTGTGACTTGAACGCATTAATACTATACATTAAACTATCAATGTTGTTGCTCCAGGGGCTGCAAACTGCTAACTGGACCCGTTGGCCAGATCCTCCAGGGTTTCCCATCAAAAAAAACCATGGTTTATCATCATTATCCCGCTTAAGAATTTGGAATTTGGATTTGGGGGTCATACAGTCATATAGCATCATGTACCCTCTGGTAAACTAACATAGCTACTGAAAACGGCCATTTATCGTGGATTTAGCAATTAAGAATGGTGATTTTCCATAGTCACGGTAGTTTACCAGAGGGTAACATATTTTCAGACCCCATTTTTCTATGTTTCTACGGCATTTTTCTTCACTACCGCGGACCTTTTTTCAAACCAGGTTGGACCACCTTCGGCGCAGTGCAAGAGATGCTGCCCAGCCTCAAGGCGATGTGGAATATCTTGGGCTTCAGGAAGTACCCTCTGGTAATTTAACATAGCTATTGAATATGGCCCATTTATAGTGGATTTTCCCATAAAAAATGGTGAGTTTCCATAGTTATGTTAGTTTACCGGAGGGTATTTAACATAGCCATGGTATAGATGGCCCTAATCGAAATAGATGGTTTACCGTTCTTAATAGCATGGTGGATCTTTCTATGGCGAACTGTGAAAAATAACCAGAGGGTTTTTGTGGTTCAATGGTTGAATGGTTGAAAACTCCATTTGCTTCACGATGGTTTTCCAGATGCCTGGCTTAGTTGTCCTTCGGATGTTTTATGGGACCCTGGGAGAGTATGGGCCAAGATTTGCAGATCCAGGGCACCATGCATTGAATGGTGCCTATTTCGTGGTTTATTTTGTGCCTGTTTGGCAGTTTTGAGATATCACCATGTCTAATTCTCAAAGATGATCCCAGTTGGGGAAGAGGTAGAAATATGTAGAAATGGTTCTTGGAGACCCCAAGTTAGGGAGGTTTGGACTGGCAAGCCATGGTCACGGCGCAGGAGTTTGTGCAGCAACACCCCTGGCTCGTCTCTTGGCTACATCTTTGGCAGACCTGTGGTCTTAGGTGGCACATGAGGAACAAACGCATGTCATGTTAAATCATGTTACCCTCTGGTTATTTAACATAGCCATGGTATAGATGGCCTATAGAAATAGATGGTTTACCTATTAAAAATGGTGATTTTCCATGGCTATGTTAAATAACCAGATGGTAGATAGTTTGTTGGGGATATGACATCAAAATTGGGGACCTAGCCACTGATGACAAGAGGCATCCGGAAGCATTTCGGTTGATTCCCGATGCTTCGGCTAAGATGAAACGGCTAGAATTGGCTATCTCCAAATAAGTGCCACTCGGGCATGTTGTTGAATCCCCACCTTACCAGGGGGTAGGCAAAATGCTATTCCATTGGAGCCATGTCTGGGATACCCACCCCGTTCACACATAGTGTGGCAAACGCTGTTAAACACAACGCCACAAATTGTTTCCCTTCTCCTTTCATCCAGCTTTACCAGAAACATAGCTGTGCACCCATCAGCTGAGGACAAAATCTTGACAGGTGTCTTTGCCACCATTGCCCTCAAGGCGGCCTCGGTGAAATTGCAATGGATCAAGGTTTGACCAAAATTTTATCTGGTTGGTGGTTTGGAACATTTGGATTATTTTCCATATGTTGGGAATAATCATCCCAACTGACTTTCATATTTTTCAGAGGGGTAGGTATACCACCAACCAGTCATTTGATTTCCTGAGAACTGATGCAACTTTTTTCAGCTTGATTCGGAAGAAAGACTATGTTGAACATGGTTGATTCCGGGGCTCCCAAGGGCCACCGCTAGACGGAACCATGATGCAGGTGGTGCTGGCCTTCTTGCCCACAGCTTTGTATCTCATCATCCGCAACCTGATGAGCGTGAAATCCTCTTCCGAGGTGCGGAGAGACGTGCCCTGGGAGTCACTGGGCAGCCCCCAGGCCCCCATTAGGACACGTGGCTAGCAGCCTGTACATCAAATCTGTTAGCATGTCGGAAAAATTGGGTTGGAGCATGTTGGAACCAAATTATGGTCTTTCAGCTAGTTCACCCAGCCTAGAATAGGATAGGACGTTTCGCCATATTTGCTGCTTACTACAGAAGTTTCTTGGTTTATCATCCTTGTTGATGGCAGATGCGACACTTGCTCTGTAGCAAACCGTCCTTTTTCATTTGTGCATTGAAGACAACTAACGCGCTGTTTGGCTTGCGACACTGGCCTTTGGACCTTTGGACACACCCACCTGTGCTTCGACCACGCTAGGCGCAGATCTTGATGCAGCATCTTGGTGCGTTTGAGTCTGACATCTCTTCTTCCGTTCAGACAGTGATTTTTGTTCGAGCATGTTTTGGTAGGAGAAAATGTCATACATAGCTTGTACCCATCGGGAATTACAACTCACTGACATCGAATGGTGCCATTCAGTTCTTGGAGCTTGTTCCTTGCATATGTAGAGGTTTGCGCACCCATACACCAAAGGGAGAGAACCTTGTTCTATCACAAAAATCTTTCACAGGTACTTTCCCTATTCTTGAACATGTCAACACATGCATATGCATAGCCAGATATCGTATGCAGCCCATAGCCCGTATTATTGTTATCATATGCGATTATAATACATGTAATAAATATCAATATCAGTATAAATATAAATACATTATATACCATATATCACATGACATTGCCTTTTTAGATATTCTGAGTATATAGCATATGTCACATTTGCCTTTGGCCACGTCCAGTTGGGGTCCATCATTATATATCTGGCAGCAACGATGCCACTGAGGCGGTGGTATGGTCTGTTTTTGGTCACTGGGCGAAATCTTTGGTGACGATGACGATCATCGTGGTGGTTGTGCTGATGGTGATGGTGACTGTATGGTGGTTTTCATTGTGATTCTGATGATCATCATGGTGGTGATGATGATGATGGTGATGATGATGATGATGATGAATCGTTTTAAGCAGCTCCCAGATGGTGTATATATATATATATATACATTCCTACGATTTGGTTGAGGTCCCGCCCGGTCCAATGTCATTAGATTTCATTGCACGTATAGTTTGCGGGATCAGCATGAACTTCCCTAAGTTACCACCCATTTGTTTGTCGATAGAGGACGTGTGAGGGATGTTTCTAGCAACAAACCGTAGCAACATGAACATCGGTACTTCCCGTTTCTGTCCCATATGTCCCCCCCTTTGGTGTCGATCTGTGCGTTGCTCAGGTGATGTTTGTGCTGACGCTTGGTTTGGAAGAGGAGGGAGGTGGTGGAGCTGTTGAGGTGGCGAAGTTCGGGCATGACTTGGTTTGCTGTTCTATGATGTTTTATCTCCACTGCCTTTGTTTAGCTTAACTATTAAGAACATATCAGTGTATAAGGCTATATTATGAATTATGTTCATTTGCGTCGTATTTTTCGAACAGTGGGCTCATATCATGCTGCAATCAGTTTGTTTTCCAATTGACAATCCTGAGCAGTTGAAACCCCAGCAGACTCTTTTCTGAGATGTGGGCTCTAGATCCACACCACCTCGTAAATGCATGTAAATTCCAACCATGTTTCTCCAAAAAAATCGACATGGCAGTGGATGTCCGCACATGTCAGTCCCGCAAACCAACCAACCAAAACGTCCCGGACTTGCCACGAACACCGTTTGGTCCTCAGGTTGGTGACATCTCTCAGTCGTGGCGTCACATTGACATTGGTTGGGGTGCCCGGGGAAAGAGACGTCGGGTGCCGTCTTGGCCCTGCCATGAGGAAATTACTGGGAAACCGGGTTTGTGTGCAGACCCCAGTTGCTCAGCATAAAGAACGAGTTCCCGTACCTTTTAAGTATGCAAACGAGGTCAGTTTGTGTTGGTTCCGTGCAGCCTTTGGAAGGTTGGGTATGGTTATTCCGTACCATTTTTGTTATCGTGTTTCCTCATCATTCGCTAGTCACACTAGCATTTTATTTACACATAGCTGCACCTCTGTATCGATCGTTTTTGGTTGCGTACTGTAGCCTATGACTCTCTCCATTTCTGCGCGGCCCAGGTGAGGTACTGTACCATATAAAGCCATATTTTGTGGTCATATTCACTTGCATAGGCCTAAAAAATAGGCCTTTTTTCTATGGAATCGGTACCTCCAATCAATCGGATCCTGAAATTCCCATTGAGCTATGTGCACCTCTGTTTTTCGTTCCTTTTTGGTTGCTTATAGCCTATGACTTTCTCCTTGCTGAGGTGAGCATAGCTCAGAAGCCGGGCCGGATCTTCAGTTTGCTGGCGGACTTCTTGCCCTCGGCACCTCGGAGATGTCCAAAAATTTTGGTCACGGGGTTGTTCACCAACCAAAGCTTACCCGGCCTGGTCAACAAACCATAAACGTTTACCCTCTGGTAAATTAACATAGACCCTGGCAGATAGGGGTTGGAAGACTAGTTTCCATTAAAAATTTGCTATTTTCAGGGTCTATGTTTATTTACCAGAGGGTACATAACGAACTGGAACATCACCTAATGTTTTTTTTTAATGGGAAAATTCACTACTTCGACTGGATCATTTTCAATAGCAATGTTAAATCACCAAAAAAAGGGACAACAAAAACGGCATATTAAGGTATTTTTCTTTCACAGGGAGAGATACAAAATATGTTCTCCCTTTCCGGGTGTTAAAACCTCATGTTATATGCATTGCGGTGTTTGAATGGTAGTCCAACCCCAAGAGGTGATGTTGTATGTTTTTTTTGTGCTGAAATTGGCATTTGGGTTAACTAAAAACTACCCACATATACCTGTCTATATCTGTCTATGATATCTCATGCAATCTCAGATCTTGTGATGCTTGTATGGCTTTCAAAATCTCAAAAAACATATATGTCCTTCGTGGTTTTCCACGTTCCAGTCATCAAAGGAGGCCCGTGCCAGGCGTCCCATTTCTATTTCAACTACATGATCCTCGGCTGGACGGCGCCTTGGATGTCTTGGATGTCTTGGGATGGTAACATGGGGATGGTATTGCTGTTGTATAGTCATAGTTATTGCATATAAGAATCTAGTGTTTCTACAACAATGATGGTAACAAAAGTAATCCCCATAGCATAATTGCATATAATTCTCATTATAGTTGCTCAAATCAGCATGTTTATTGGATTGTGCTTGACAATCTTGGGCTAATACCATTTTCGCGCCAGGTGCCGTTGTTGGAACTGGCGCGCAATGCCAACTTCGCGAAGTGACTCGCTGGGATGCGCATGCCCGCCCGCATTTGCAAACATATCAGAATGTTACATACTCATACTATTTGATGCTTGCTATTATTTAAACAAACAATATTGCTAGAGTATCATTGTTTCGGTCCCTGTTTTGCAGGCCAGGGGAAGGTGATAGGAGTTTTTGGATGAATTCCAGAAGGAGCAACATATGTTTTTGCTGAGTCTCCAATATCTTCACTGTGTCCATTCCTTCGGGATAGATTTTTTTTGGGCTTGGAGGATCATCCCAGATGATTTTAAACAGGTAAGATAGGACACAACTGTATATACCCTGGTTCACAAGATCCCCCTTTGCTGGGGCTATTCCATCTTGATAGCTGAGGAACCTGACAATAATTCTGTCATATTCTGGCAGTGTATTTCACCTGTTTGATATCAACGCTATTTTTCAAAAAGGTTCGTGCCCTATTGTTATGGAAACGAGTCCCATGGTCAAAAGCCGTTGTTGAAATCATATTCCAATTCTGTGTTTCAATCGCCATGGAGTCCTTTTTGACGGCTTAAGAATATAACCCATTGTAAACTTGTAAGCCCTTTTTTCAGGGCATATTGCATATTTCACCTGATGATGACCAATAGTTAACTATCTCACCGTGGCCCATCCAAGTAGGATGAGCCTCAGTGATCCTTCCTGAAAAAGACCTCTGAGGTTCCACGCCTTCCGTTGGTTCTTCTCCATGTCCATGCAGGACCGCATGGAAACGCCCAAGCCTGGCTGACCTTTGAGGGTTTCAGATGCCAAACAATGGTGACAATGCAAGATATACCCTTTGGTGGTCTAAGCTGGCAATGGGAATTCCAATTCAAACTTGCGCAAATTATTATACATCATGATGTGGCTAATTTTCAGTTGCCATGTTTGACTACCGGAGGGAGATTCTAACATGTTTTAATCCCATTTAATGATATTTAATGTAATTTTACCCCCAATAGCTAGAACATGAGCCCTTGAAACTTCAGATGAAAATTGCACATTTGGGTCTCCAAACTGAACTTGCTGATTTAGTTGCATTTAAGATTTGCACGATTGCTAGCTGCGCAACTGTCCTTGCAGCACCAGTGGGATAAATCACGATTTGCAGGAGGCCAAGGAGTACAGCGAACCAGAAGATCCAGCAAGTTATGGTCTCTTTGGCCGCATCAATTAGCGGCTATTGCTTCAAGACATTTCAAAGAAAGCAGGGGCGGATGGTTTCAACAAGAAACTGAACGGATGAATGTTTCAGTCACATGGTTTAGTCATGTTTCGAACTTTTTTTTAATGGCCGTCCCAGATTGTAAATTTGTGTGACTTCTGCAGGCAAACACACAGAACAAAACTGATGTTAAAGATGTTAAAGCCATGGTAACTATGTAAGAAGAATTGCCTAAGAATTCATTACTGGTTCGTTTGGAACATGAATTTTATGTTCCATATATGGGGAATTTCATCATCCCAACTGACTTTCATATTTTTCAGAGGGGTAGGTATACCACCAACCAGATTAGGATTGGGTTTGGGTAACATAACGAACTGGAAAATCACCATGTTTCATGGCTAAATCAACTATTTCTATGGCCATGTTCAATAGCAACCTGTTAATTTACCAGAGTTTATATCCCATTAATATCCCATTAAAATCCCATTAAATCACTTTTCAATAGCTTTTTGTATGTTTACCGGGCCGGGTATGGCACTGGGTGGTTTTTTACCAAGAGAGCCAATGCCCGGAGGCGTTGGCGCGCGCATGGCCTACTCTTTGCTGACAGCAGCCATCACCTTTACGTCTCTCGTGCTGGTGAGTACCCTCTGGTGATTTATAGGGATTTATAGGGATTTATAGGGGATATAATGGATAATACCCTCTGGTTATGACTAACAGGATCCATGTATGCTATATATGGTGACATTTACCATCAATATACCCCAAATGTTAGCATATATACCAGCACCATGGATCCTATGGGTTTGGCGAAGCCAATAATATAACAGAACCTTCATTTCTGACTAACATAGCCATGGTAATAGATGGCCCTAATCGAAATAGATGGTTTACCGTTCTTAATAGCATGGTGGATCTTTCCATGGCGAACTGTTAGTCATAACCAGATGGTAATTTGGCGAAGCCAATAGTATAACCTTCCGCTATGGACGTATTGTGGAACCACCCATTTATAGTGCATTTGTTTTTTTTTGATGATTGGGTGTACCAGATTAGTAGCTAATCTGTTATACAAATGGGCATATCTCCCCAATTTGATGGAAAAGTTTGTTCCAATCTTCATGTCTCGCTGTCTCTAGAAGTGTTTTTGAAGAAGGATGCGCAGCTTGCTCGCACTTTGATACCTCTTTCCTAGCAGACGGAACGCCAAGTGCAATGTGGCAGAAATATGTAAATGTGGCATGCCCCACACATCAACATGAAACTTGAAATCCTGCATTTTACAATGTCCTCAAAAACATGTTTTTCCTATCAAAGATTGTCATTTTCAGCTTCCAACAATCACAATTTCGGAGATATGGAGGATGGCAAACCCTTGGCCCTCGTGATCCAGCTTGAAAAAACACCCCCTCCCAGCATAGCGAAACAATAAATCCTCGACCTCAATTGCCTGGATCGAGCCACTTCAGTTAGATCAACCCACGTTGGGCCTGAGCGCAGCTGAGGTTCTGTTCCTGTTCGCCTTTGATTTTCATTTTTGCCTTCATAACCTTGGCACTGTCGCAGGCCACCTACACCTATCTTGTGGCTTGGTGGCGCTTAGCATTCCAACCTCTTTGATGTACTTAAGTGGATACCCTTGAGTAACCAAACATGGCAAGGGGACATCCCCTGATATAAAATTCTACAAGTAGATACCTAGTTCACCATTTACCGGTTTCCCATGCAGATCAACTTAAATTAGTTTCACTTTTCATTACCGGAGGGTAACTTCTTTCTGATTCCGCTGATAATCAAACCTGGCCATGGGAAATCTGCATGTTTGATCATGTTTGATGGGAACCAGTTGGAAAAACCATGAAAAACCTGTCTATAGACAGGGCCTTGTCTCTTTTTCCTGGCCGCACCAATGGGATCCATTTCGAAGTTGATCTTCCTCGTCTCCTGACGACTCCAATCGGTGAGCGCAGCTTGGGGCACTTGAACAAAAGGTGACGTGACACCATATTTCAACATGATTTCACCAGATTTAATCATATTTTTCGAAAGTACCAAACATTTCAGAACTGATCATCTGAGTCCAAGTCTGGCAATTTCCCATCATGGGACTCCAAGATCTAAACGCTGTGATAGGTTGCTCTGCATCCGAGGTGGTCTATGCTGAAAAGAAGAAACCCGATACTTGGCCATGAAGCCTGTGTCATATTTCAGTGCCTCGTAACTAGGGGTACGAAATCCTGGGAAAACAACTGGACCTGGCCCCATTGTGGCATCTGGCATCTTAATCATTTTAGTGGCATCTTGGTTCAATGGCCAGAAAATGATGCAAAGCTGTTGGTGTAGAAATCTGCAGTGGCGGTTGTGCTGGCATTTGAAAGTTGGTTGGTGACTTTGGGATATCCCCAATCAATGCCCAGGACACCGGAGGACTTCTCTGGGTCCATGGCATCAACCAGCTCTTTATGGCCGGGAAGGGCGAAGATGTGACCATTGGGCTACGAAATGCATCGAAATGCAACAAACATGCAGTGTGGACGATCAATGGGTATTTAACTGGGAAACCTTTGGGGGTCTAACTTCACCCTTGGGTAGCTGGCAGCTGGGATCAGCACTTGTAGCGGCAAGTGGCATCTGCCGTTCTTGGCCGCTTGCGGCACATGTTTGGGGCCAAGTTTGGCTGCCACGATGAATTTTCAGAGAACCAAATCTTTGGAGCCGATGGTACAGTAAGACGGTAGGCACTGGAAATCATTGGAAGACCAAGGGTGCAAAAAACGATCAAACAGGCGAATCCAGTAGCTTACTCATTGTGACCCATGCCATAGCCATAGCTGATCATAGCTGTATATCACATGATATCACATGGGGTTGTTTGAAAATAGGCTAGCCATCAATAATCCATATATAATCCATATGTATTCCATATGTTTCCAAGGTTAAGGCTGTGAGCCTCCGTAAATCCCGGTAATACCCCGTTGATCATGGCTGCGTGCAGGTCATTACCATTTACATCCTGCTGATGACGGGAGTGCTGCAGATGTTGAGCCAAAATCGGCGATGGTTGGGGCCTCCCCTGGTAGTTCCGTGGCATGCGGTGGCTGAAGCACCGTGACGTTCAAAGATTTGGGATCGTTATTCATGTCTATTCTATATACCTACGATGTGAGGCCCCTTATTTAGCTAAATATAGCTAAGTTATGCTAAGTTATATAGTTTGTAGCTTGGGTAACTGGGGATCTGGGGCTTATGGCGGATATCAAATATCTTATAGTTGGATGGGGTTATCAACTTATCAACCAGCTTAGAACTGCGGGTTGGTCGTTTTGTACTTGTCAGTGATGTTGGACGGATGGTTTTGGATCGTAGTGCGTAATGGTTATAACATGTTATAACAGTACCCCTTTCACGCCTTTTCGTCCGAGAAGTATGATTTCCTAATCTTCCCACAATTTCCAACAATTTTCACACTTCAGAAGCTCTCAATACTGTTTGTTGTTTGATGTTTATAACAGCATATGCTAGCCGTTTTCATGGGAATTTACTGCTGAGATCTGAGGCGTTAGCATCCGTGGTGGCGCTCTATGCGGGAAAAGTTCGTGTGGCTTGTACGATTCAAATGCATGATGATTAAAAAAAGTTGTTGTTTGATTTGTGTCATTATGTGAATTAAATTATATGTGTTATCCTATGTTTTCGGGCCGTTCTAGTTCCAGACTTTATCCTTGAAATAAATCTTACCTCACCATTGTTTGCCAGCAGAAAAAGTCAGGTTTTTTGTGCAAAACAACTCCGAAATGACCGCGTTTTTCACCTCAGAATGCTTCAACTGAGGTATGGGTGTGTCTGAAAATGGGCCCCAAGAATGCCAAGAATTCGTATTTTAATGGAAAATAATGGGAACTATATGATAAGCGGCTCTTTGTTTTGTACGACACGCCCACAGGTAATCGAGTCTTTTTCCATCAAGTCAGCGAACTTATACCGTGACACCAGTTTGCATTTATCATGCTTTTAGGGTGTGCTTCTAAGAATCTAATTATATTATGCCATAATTATAATATGTTACAGTATATTTTATAATATACATATATAATATATATATATATAATACTATATTCCGTTATATTCCCATGATGTATATCGTGGTTCTGGTTGGTCAACTTTTTTTTACCACCTGGAAGCACCTTTTTTTCCATTCATTCAACCTCCATTAAGCAGACAGAAATACCCCTATTGTCCCTGGAAAAATCGCATATTTCATTGGGAAAGCCATGGGTTCCTGTGGATTTTCTATTACTTACAACAATCCAATAATCCCTATCTATCAATGTTCATCAATAGTGATCATTATTAATCACTATCACAATAGAATCGCTATAAATCCATATAACTCACTAAACTCACTTTTTAGTCACTATTAATCCCTAGGCAAATCACTATTAGTCACTGTTGACCCCTATGAATCCATTATATATGACTAACTATTAATTCCTACTAATCATCGTTAGTCACTATTAATTAATCATTATTAATCACTATTAGTCACGATTCATCCCTATTAAGCGCTTTTTAGTCACTTTGAATCCCATATGAATTATCAATCTCTATTCATCATTATTCATCAACATTAGTCACTATGATATAGCCAATATAATATAACTATACAATCACTACTAATCACTATTAATCACTACTAATCACTACTAATCACTACTAATCACTGCTAATCACTACTAATCATGATTGATCAATATTAGTCACTATATTCACCCATATGAATCACTGTGAATCCCTATGATTTTTGTTGAATCCTTGAGGTGGACTCCTTAGCCTTCGACGTCCTGCCGCTGGAGGAAGTGGTGCGCACCAGTCGCGAGAGTGGAGAGACGCTGGGAACGATGTTGGAAGGAACTGCCCGGGGATCATGGAGCGGAATCCACAGTATTTACCCATTTTTATAGGGATTTATAGGGGATTATAGGGATTTATAGGGATTTATAGGGGATATAATGGATAATACCTATTATAATCATGGTTAATAAGGGGAATTATCCCCAAATGGCTTTCATTCAGGTTAGTGAAATATGATAATTTACCAAGATATATATATATATACCCTGTGGTAATTCAACATAGCTATAGAAAATCACTGTTTAATGGGTAAATCCACTATTTCTGTGGCCACTTTCAATAGCAAACTGTTAGTTTACCACAGGGTACCATAAACCATGGTTTATTAATTAGGGGTATTCCCCCAATGGCCCAATAGTCATGATTTGATACTTATATAAATGGCACCTTCCCAATTAAATGGCCTAGACTAGGGGTTTATGAATCCAGGGTTGACATTATTTACCATACAAATTACCATGAGTAGCCGACAAAATGAGCGGAAGACTAAAGTAGTGGGAAGTGGACATGGGATGTTCAAATTTGTGTTAAACATTCACAACCGATAGGGGACCACCCACTTACCGATACCATCCGATACCCTATTTTTGCACATAGCATGGAAGTACAAACCTTCACAACCGATAGAGGACCACTTTGGCCATGTCCATTGCGGGTACTCGTAGTAAGTAATTTTGTCCGCAACTTATATGATGATAATAGTACTGTATATGCACTGTATATTTCAACAACTATCTTGATATACATTGAGCATTGGGATGTGTGTTTACGGAAAAATGATTGCATGCCGTAATTCAATCCGAGTAAGTTGCTGGTAAATGAACCATAATCAAAAGAAATCACACTGAGAATTGTACAGTGTTTCTATATGATATCCCCTTTCATAATGATGACATATATAGTGAATTTTATAGTGATATACAGTGGGATGTCAACTTGCATATATACGCGCATGTATGCAGGGGAGTTGGCAACAAGAACGGACTAGTGTTGTGCCATTTGGACGAACATCAAAGCCAATATTAGTCACGTGATGACAGGTGTTCTTGAAGCAGACAAGGGGTATGACCAACAAGCAACGGCGACATCGGATACGTAGAACTCGCCCAGCATATCTATGACCTCCGACAAACAATGGTAAAGAACTGATAGAAAGAACTGAATAGTCTAGTCACAACATCAATTCATAGCAACGTTAAACAACTATTTTGTGCATTGTAGATTTTTTGGTTGGTTTACCCAACAAACTCCTGAGTTGTTTTGAAATGTTTTGAAGGTTTTGGGCAACCAACATGTTTCAGGACAGGGATCCAACCAACTCGCCATTTGGCTTTCAGGAAGGCGAAACATCCGCATGGCAGATATTTGCTTCTCGGTGGATGACCATGGCGTACTAGGGATCCAAACGGTTATTGTTCGTCACCGTTAGGGATCCATGGTTACCCTCTGGTTATGACTAACATAGCCATGGTATAGATGGCCCATAGAAATAGATGGTTTACCTATGAAAAATGGGGATTTTCCATGGCTACGTTAAATAACCAGATCATACTGTTGGTCACTCTGGGTCCCTCCAGTTCGGAAAGTGGGCGCTGGACATTGCTGGAGCTTGCTCGCACACTCTTTGAGCCACTGACTGTACTAGGTCGCAAGCCTGATATGATCTGATATATTAGTGGGTAATTTTCACCATAAGTGGAATGGCAATATATTATCCACTGTAATTATATATATATACTGTCCAGCTGTTTTTAATAGGTTTTTGGCAGGGTATCTACGCGTAGGATGGTGTGCGTTTGGGAATCCGGGAAGCCTCCAACGTTTGTGGGGCGTCCATGTTGAGACTTAAGGACCCATTTGTACAGCCCTAGAGGAGCCAGGCTAAAATGTGTGCCCGACTAAAATGTGTTGTATACGTCATCAACATTCATCAACATGCCATATTGCTGCATCAATATAAAGAATCTATCTGGTGGTTTGGAGAATATGTGCCATCATTTTCTATTTTATTTGTGATGAGAATCCTCATTGACGTTGCGCACACCACCAATTTTGAAATCCTATGTTTTTGCTGCAAGAAACGACAGCCTATAGGCCTATAGGTCCTCCTTGTCCTCCCAAGCTAAGGCAACCTGAATGTGATCCCGACCTCCTTGCCCTCTCCTGAGCCCCAAAGTTGGGATCTGCGCGCGTTGCGATCTTGGGATGATCCAATTTGAAGCGATGGAACAGTTCCATCACGTTTAAAGCGAAATGACAAACATCCAATAGCCGAAAGGCAAGTGCCAAAATGTGCCAAATCAAGTCGGAATTTCTTTGTCCAATTCACTGTTGAGCTCCGTAGACGTCATGGGCGGGCCCACATGGTGAACTCACCCACTTCGAACGATCATTTACTGACGGTATGTTGTTGGATCATCCCACCTTCGGCCAAGGGAAAAAAAGATGGTGGCAGTTGGTCGCAGGTGGATGCCCTCCAGTACACTAGCATAGGGTGTTAACGCAAAGTCTTCTCTACAAATGGGAAGGTGTTATCTTGCGTATGCCAGAGGGATCTTTGATTAGATAATGGACGATAATAGACCAAATGAATCCAAATGAAAGTTTCGTGAAATTGTTGGCTAGTGTGATGGAAAAGGAACCCCTTTTGCCCATTGGGTTCAAACATGAAAACATCTTCCATCCCGGCCAGTTCCACTCCCGGACCTCGATTAGGACCACGAGCAGTGCCCCCCGCAGGCACCAAACCAACGACAAAGCACAGAGACACAGAAGCGACAGGCAGGACGTGCTTCTGATGACCGCTCATGAAGACATTCAATAAGGCCAAGTATCACGAAATCCCTTCACTCCAACAATAAACTAAATACCCACAAACCATGAGTTTTGTGTAGTTTTGTGGTGAATTTGTTCACGTTTGGGCTTCCACATAGCTGGGTTGTTTTTGTGAGGCCTGTTCGTCCCTTCGCCCTGCAGGGGTGTTTCAGCCAGTTGGTGAAGTCACCTGGGGGATGGGGCCATAGAACAGACACACTGGCCTCACGGGGTGGTTAGTCATTACTAACATGAAATACCCTATGGTTTAATATGGTTTATAGGGATGGATGATAATGGGATGATCATGGGATAATGATGGGATAATACTGGAATATTGATGGATATACCCTCTGGTAATGACTAACACTTCGCCATTGAGCATGGCCATAGAAATGCCATAGAAATCGTTGACAAAAACCCAGCCCTAAAATGGGGATTTTCCACAGCAAACAGGGATGGGATGAACAGCGCTCCGCAAGAGGCTCGGAGAGCCATGCTGCAACTGCTCACAGTGCGGTGGCCTGGGAAGGCGGTGGTGTCAACCCCACCTCACCCAAGATTTTAACGGCAAAATGAGGGATTTACCCTCTGGTAAACTAACATAGCTATTGAAAATTGCCATTTATAGTGAGTTTTCCCATTAAACATGGTGATTTTCCATAGTTATGTAAACGTTTACCAGAGGGTAGTGGGAATACAATGGGAGATATTGGGTATGATCATGTCTGATCATTATGATCATCCAATAATCAAAACATGGCTAGCTGGACAAAAAATCCACGATTTTTATGGGGTGTAAAAATGGGAAAATCATCTACAAATGGATGGGTTCAATTGCAATTTTTTGACAACAATGACCTTAAGGGAATGTAAGGGGAATCATCCCCAAATGCCATGTTGTTCAATGATGAGGTTGGTTTTTCTTCTGTTAAACAAACCATGTTTTGCGCTTCACTGCTATTATTGACGAACTGCCAAATAGGCTGGCCTGCTATTTGTCTCCAGGCTTCCAACAAGTAAGGCCCTGTTCAAGTGTGAACAATGATCTCCAGAAGCAGCACTTGCATGTACAACAGCAACATCTTAAACAATCCAAGAGCCCAAAAACCATTTTTCCAAGTACTGCAAACTAGGATTCAAAAAATCATAAATACTGGTTGTCATTTGCGAATTTGATCCAACATGCTGCAGAAAACCAGGGCAAACGGGAGGCTAGCCGTCACTAACCTGGATTCCATGCAAGGCAACCTTTTTTGGCATATTATGTCCACAGAGTCTATGTTGTCTAATGTTGTCTATACATAGCATAGAAGTAGACAAGTAACACAGGAAATTATGTGTTCCATACTATTTGGCACGCCACAGCGACATGGCATGTATCCAGCTTTCTTACCTACAGGGGTTAGTGCTGATTGCTGTCCCTCACGGCTTGCTGTGCGTAGCTTTTCTCAAGTCCAGGGTCGCAGGACTTCCAAAGTCAAAGTTAGGGCCTTCTGCGGCAGATCCAGAGCCACTTGGCCTATAAAAGGAACATCAGATGGACCCAGATTGGGGTTGAGCTTCCAGCTTCATGACTAGCCCACCTTTTCTTCCATTCGTTTCTCCTATCCTTCCTATCCGGGCTGAAATTAAAAAAACCTGGCTGAAACAACTCACCTCCTTTTTCAGGAAATGGACACTGCAGATGTGGCCGTCTCCAAGATGTTGGCATCGATCACGTCTCTTCCAGGCCAGGCGCACGAGCGCATGGCAAATTGATGGATTTAGTTGGCGCAAACGGAAGGCGAATGGAATTTCAATATTTCAATATTGATTTCAATCATGTAATTCGTTTGCTTAGCATTCTTACTATGCCAAAGGTCACCGCCACATAGGGTATGTTGTCGAGGGTCTGTTGAGCTGGAGGGACTGGGCAAACTCATGCAGTGTGGGAACTTCACTTTCTTGCAAGGCAGAACCAGGTATTGTCAGAAATGATGGGCATCATTCTGAAACAAACACATCTTATAGTTGTTGATAGCTATAGGCCCTCCGTTGCCACCAGCACAAATGTACGCTACCCCATTGTTTGCGCCGATTGGGGGTGGGTGAAACATATGGGGGTCGGGGTTGATCATCCATTCATTTGCCATATATGTTGGGGTGAAAACAGTGCTTTAAAGTATTGACGCACCGAACAAATAGCAATATTTTTGGTGAAACCAAGCAGATGCACAGTGGAACATCATACTGACCTATACATGTCACAGAAGAGTCAGGCATGGTGAGAGGCAAGAGGTAAGTCTCCAATTCCAAGAAATTCGGATGAAGAAATCTGAGCCCCTTGGCCGCCCAAAACTCTTTCCCTGCCGGGATGATCATGTGCCTTCCAAGGGTTGGAACCGAGTTCACAAATATTTTGCTGAAACCCTGAAAACACAGGTGAAAACCCACCACTGCATCAACATGCCATATAATTTTAATAGTACATCATGGTATATCGTCATTTCCAAGAGCCATCTTCCAGGACTTTCTGTTGAGGGAATTCCATGTGAGATTTCTTAGCACCTTGACTCTTGGAGGCCTCCTGTCACACGCGGCGAAGGGCGCAGTGACAGTGGGTGTGGCGAAGGGTGCCTCAGGGCAGGGCGTGGCGGTGGTGAATCTCATCATCAGACGCTGGGCACCGTTGAGTCGTTGAGGTGTTGATAGGGATGTTTAAGGCAACATGTATAATTTTCTGTATAATTAGGACGTAACTTGATGTGGCTAGGTTCAGGTGCCCTGTACGCTAAACTCCTAGTTCCCATAGTTTCATTCTGAATGGATTTTGTTCCTCGTTTGTCGGAGTCTTGATTGCTATATTGCTGATATCTTCATGTCGTTGCTTATTTCACCTGGATGAAACTCAAACTTAGCTTCTGAGTGCTGCCGCCACAATCCTCGAAAACTCATTATCGGTATGTACATTTTGGTAGCCCAATGTTTGATTTATATATTTGATTGATAAAATTGTTCCAAAAAGTTGGGTTGCTTAAAATCCACATATAAATTATATATTAATTATATAGTCATTTATTGGCTAAGAAGACATCTTGAGACCCACCAAAGAGCTGTTTATTTGTTGATTCCCATTGTATCTCTGTTTTGGGTTTCAATCCCATTCGCAAGACGTTGTGCCTTGCCTTTTTCATCCTTTTTCCAGACGCAGATTTGGCAAATCCGTCCGCGACACGAGGCCTGGCCATCCTGCTGATTTTGTTCCTGTTGCTCCCCTGGCGTCGACTCCGCTGGCCGCTCCCCATGCCTTGGGATATCTTTCGGCAGGTGTCGCTCAGCGGCCATGCACGGTGAAATGCTTGGGAAAGATGGTAGATCTACAAGATGGTGTCCCCGGTTGTTGTCTGCGTTTACAGGTTAATTATTGTAAACGTTTATAAATGTTTATTGTTGAACATAAACCGGATTTTGAACACTTGGCTTACCAGGCAGCTCAAAAGTGGCTTCCTTTTGCCATGGAGGGCAAAACGACAAAGTGGCCACTTACGGAGTCACTTAAGCGAATAAATTGGTCACAAGAAAGCATTGCCTTCATTTGCCGTTGGTTTTCCGCTTGAGATGATAACAAGGTTGGCTGTGTTAGCTGCCGGTTTTACGGAAGTCCATGATGCAAAGGGTTGTTTTGCCTGGCTACCCGTGAGCCCCTGTGTCCACATAAATGTTTTATGATGTTTTATGAGTTGTTGTGTGATGTTTCATTGAGAAAAGCAATGGCCCAAAGATTTGACTTATATGTTCTAAGCTACCCCGCGTTGTTTTGTTTTTTTCCTCCAGCAGATGGTACAACACCTGGGGTCAAAATTGACGTATATGAAGACCGGACTTGGGATTTTGGATGTTTGGCATGCAATCCTCATTTACTGTTTGCTTCGGCGCGTGGCGACAAACATGTTTAGCTTCAATTGACAACACGTATTTCATAGTTACATACCTGGCAATACTGCAATCTGTTATGCGCACACTCCTTTCTTTTCGATTCACCGACCCAACCAAGGTGGCAGACATTGATAGATGAAAAGGTATGTGCGATCCAACCACCCCAGTTGAAATTACCACTGAACCTTCCTTGGTTGCAGTCTATAGATCTATTTTGTTTGAGTTGTCAGCAGCACTTGCCTGCATTGTCAGCACAAGGAATTGAAGCAGATTTTCAACCTCTATCCGCTTTGGAAACCAATTCCAGTCAGTGGCCCTTTGTGAGGGTCTGCCAAAAACAGTAGAACTTTCGATGCTTTAGGTGTATATTTTCAAAACATAGTACAACATAATAGAACATATATGATTGATGGGAAATAGGGTCACCCCCCAAAATGCCAGATTTCTGAATCGTCATGTTGCGCCGGACCATCGAAGCACCGAAGCACCCTTGATCTCCAAGGTCTTTCGCCAATCTTCGTATGGTTTCCCCTACCATCCATCCGTTAGACAACGAGCTGCTCGGCCACAAGATTCCACGCCTAAGAGACATCGACCATGACATCCACGCCATGATGAGGCTTCCGCATCCAAAATCATCAAATCCCCATCTGGTTGGTGGTTTGGAACATTTTTATACATTTTTTATTTTCCCCAATAGCTGGGATGATGATCCAAACTGACTAATATTTTTCAGAGGCATTGAAACCACCAACCAGCCATTAGTTAGTTTGAAATACCACCAATTTACGCGGCCTCACCATCAACAAATATAACAAATTCAATGCTGAGCCAGGCTTTCTATCAGGTGTTCACATTTTACCTTTCCCCTTCTGTTGAAGCATTAGTTTGTTTTTCTGAAAGTAGGGCACCTCTGGAACCCATTGGTTTTTCATATAATTTTCCCAATCAAACATGTGCCATTTGGAGTATCATGTGGATAAAACAATAATAAACCATCCGCCAAATCACAATTCGTATAGGTGGTATAAACCATTCCCAGTTATGGGTGGTTTATGGCAGTGTTTTACCCACATTACATCTGCAGACACAGCCATATCACAAGGTTGACGGGCCATGACCTTAACCCGTGGCCACGGTTCACCTCGCCCAGCATCCAAGGCAATTGGAAGTCAGCTGCTATTTGTTTTAGCATCGCTTCGCCGTTTCGTGTGGTAAACCCAAACATAAACCATCCCCATCACCATAAATGGATGGTATAAACTATAAACCATCCCCAAATAGAAGGTTTATGATCGGGTTTACCACATTCAAGATTGTTTCCATTCTGCGTTTGGTGGTTGGGTTTGGCTTAAAAAAGGGGTGAACAAAAGTGATCCCCATCCTGACACACAATCACATCTGAACATTTGATATGGAACTGGTGCTATCAGGGACGTGTGGGGTATCATCTCCTTTCACTGGTCGCAATGATCTGTATTGTAGCCATCCTGAAACAGCATCGACATAAATGCTGGTGACCGTAAGATTGACTTATGAAATAAAGCATCAAACATGTTTCAACAGTCAGGCTTGCAACTAACTATAAATCGTCCCATTCGTCCCGACATGTCCCGACACCAATGGACTAAATATGGTTAAATATGACTAAATGATGAAACAAACGGTTCTTTCGTATTCGTTTGCTAAGGATTGTTGGTATCAACATGTATCAACCCATGGAGGGAACGCATGTCATCCCTTTGGGATCACGGTGATCACGGTCCCAGGTGACCCTTCTGGAACCCCAGAAATTTCGAGATGTGAAGAGTGCCTCGGGGTTCGCCCGGCTGGGTCGTTGGGTTTTCCAGCGTGGCGAATGTGTTCCTAGCAGCAGCTATTCTGAGAAAACATGGTCATAAACCTCGGAAATCATGGGAAATCACTGTACGATTAGCTTATGGACTCAAGATTGCGGTGAGGCAGGGGATGGTGATGTATGGCGTTTTGGTTTAAAGCACGCACCCATGGGGCTGGAGGTGAATACATTATTTGACAACAGAAAGAAACGCAAGATTGAGCCTTTGAATCCTGGAAGGGTGTAGAGATCAGGGGACAAGGTTTCAAAAGCATTCCAGGTTTCAACCAGCTTTCAATTCCACCCTCTCCTAGCCCAACAGGTTGCTATGGATTCCACGGCCCATATCTATAGATGATTTACCTATATTTACCTATCATATTCTGTAACTTTAGTATATTTTCGCGGTGGCTTTCCATGTGGCAAACTGTGGGGTTATTGCCAACATTTCTGAGGTGAAGATACCACTCTGCCACTGCAAGAACTTTTGGACGCTGAGCCTGCAAGGTGGTGACGTGACCCGTAGTGGATGAATTTGGTTTATACATCAACTCTGGTCCATATGGTGATTATACAACAAATATACAACAAATTAATCATTAGTTAATCCTCAACAGACTAAAAATGGTGAATGGTCAATGATACATCCTCTTAATTTGGTTCAGTTGACCATCATTATTCGTATGGATATGTATGGTGATTTTAACTTTACAACTAGTTCACGGGAGTTATAAGCAAATTTGTAACTCCGGGTGGGCGCCACCATCTTGGCCGAGATGAATTGAAGCCTTTGCACTAAACAAATGGTATATCATCCCCAGCAAGATAAGCATGTTCAAAACCTATGTTTTAGTTTTAATCATGTTTAATGTATATGTCTGGATGTCCATGTTGACCAATGTATAGGCGATTCTTTCCCGGCTCATTGAAGATAAAGTGGCCATGGTTGCCTCACCAAGGAATGGGTGGCGCAACACCCTTTCACCGGCTACAAAGGTGCACGGCACGGCTTTCCATCCATGATCCCCAAAAATGGGGAAGGAAGGACCTACCAAGAGTTTCCCAACCGCAGCATTTTGGCATGTTGGGTTTCATTGGTGGGCTACTCATAGTGCATATAGGGCTAGGTCATGCTAGGTCTACGAAGCATTGACGCATGTCCCTCACCCCCATGTCAGAAACAATATATAGGGTGGCAGATGCTCCCACGATCCCAGCCAGGAGATGAAGAAACATGAAGAAACATAAAAGAAACACCAAGAAACATAAAGAAATTAAGAGTTAACCATAGTTAACCATAGTTAACCATAGTTAACCATTGTTAACCATTGTTAACCATTGTTAACCATAGTTAACCATTGTTAACCATTGTTAACCATAGTTAACCATAGTTAACCATAGTTAACCATAGTTAACCATAGTTAACCATTGTTAACCATAGTTAACCATTGTTAACCATAGTTAACCATAGTTAACCATAGTTAACCATTGTTAACCATAGTTAACATTAGTTAACCGTAACGTTAACCACCAAACACCAAGAACGGCCGGTTGAATCTTAAGATTGCTATCCGCTCTTGGCTCGGTATCCGAGCCGTGTCTTGGCTCGCGGGTCTATGCGGGTCTCATCCCAGTTAAATTTGGGCCATATCTTGAAACCATATGGACCATAAGGGACCATAAGTCACAAGCTTGAACCTACACTTGGTGAATGTTATAAAATCAACATAGCCTCTGGTAATGACTAACAGTTTGCGACATAGAAAATGGCCATAGAAATAGTGGATTTACCCAGCTAGATAGCATGGTGATTTTCCATAGCTATGTAAACGTTTACCAGAGGGTATATCAATTAAATTACACAAGACAAGACCTGTCAGAGACCCGTCATGACCTGTCAGGTGGTATCGCTCGCCTGGTGGCGAAGATCCTGTGGCTGGACGCAGAGAATCCGGATCTCCAATCCGAGATCCAAGGCGGCATGCGGTGGGGCGGCCGGTGTCGCGTGGGATTTTTGGACACAGGAAATGATAAGGGTAATATGGTTCATATATATGGTAAATAAGTAAATATATAATGTATATATAATATAACATTTATATAATATATGATATATATATATATTGTATGGTTTTATGGGCCAATATAATGGATGATCAATATTGATGAATGGTAGCGGTAGAATCACGGCGGTAGAATCATCAAAGCCAGCATTACCTGCAGCTTCGAGCGCGAATGGTTCTTGTAGTCTTTCCACGTGAGGACCACGGAAAGGAGAATCAATCTTTGATGGCTCTGATCTTGAAGGTGAAGAATAGTGATTTCCTGGTTGGTGGTTTGGAACATTGTTTATTTGTGCATATATTGGGAATAATCATCCCAACTGACTTTCATATTTTTCAGAGGGGTTGAAACCACCAACTAGTTTCTGTTGATCTCGTAAAAATTGGCCATGAATCAATACCTATAAATACCAGCTATTTTGATGTAAACTACAGGGGTACAAGGTTTTGACCCATCCCCATTTCTTAAAGTGGGGGATCCCCAAGTCACAAGTCGTTTCAATTGTTTCAATATATGTATCAACACTAAAATTGTCTAATGACTGGATGATTTGGCTACCCCCATTTTAGGAAACCTCGATATGGGCAATATGAAAACCATAGATGAGATGATAAGGGAAATTTGTGATATTCCCATTTCTAGGTGATTTATAGATGATTATATAAAGGGAATCTAAAATAGATGAGATGATTTCAAATGGATGATAAACCATAAAATTATCTTTAAATGGGATAATTGTTAGCCCACAATAAGTAGGGTTCCCACCTAATTGCTGTTTTAATTAATCTGTAATATATGGTATGGGTTTATTAATGTCAGTATCCTGTACATGCAAGGACATGGACGAAAACAGTTTTTTTTTGAGTCGTTGGCTCAAAGGCAGCATGCACTTTGCGAGGAAGTAGGCTGAGAGGAACATAGTTCAGACTGTCGTTTGTTGCATCCCGATTATTTTGGGTACGCTCAATCCTCTTGGGGATACGGAGTTGCATAATAGGTCTGCTGGTGCCATTTTGCTGTCAACAAAACCATGTGCACAATGATTTTTAATATTAAAATGTAGTGAGCGCCAACAAATTCGCGGTTGGTGGCCCGACCACTAACCGTTTGACCCTCCAATTCCGCCACGATGCGCGGCAGGCTTCAATGATATTGCAACTCGGCTTGTGCTGGTGTCACCATGTGATCACAATGCTAAAGTGAACTTCCTCAGGAAACATTGCCATGCTCAATAGGGTTGCATTTTTCAAAACCATTTTCATTGGGTCCATGAGCGATTTCAATAATCCACTAATCAATACAAATGAGGGATTTAGAACCCAGGTATCTAAATTGGTGACCCTGTGGTGTTATAACCCATGTTCTCCAACCTCTCGTAATTGGATGAAAAGAACCTTTACAGGACTCCGCAATATTTGATGGTAAAAAACAGGTCAAAAAGCACCATGGTTTCCCGTAGCCCAAGATGAAACCAACAACAGCGTCCTGCACGCCCCAAGAAGGACCCGGGGATCATCGACAGGACTTGATTTATTTCTTGCAAGATGGCGATGAGCAGCAAAAGACGTCCATGAAAAAACTGGTGGACGATGGACTGACCATTGGAGGCAGGTGACCTGAGGGGGGAAATGTGCAGGAAAATCCTGGACATACCCTCTGGTTATTTAACATAGCCATGGGTTACTTAACATAGCCATGGTATAGATGGCCCATTTATAGATGATTTTCCCAGCTAGAAACCTCCATTTATGGTTGGGATTTTCCATGGCGAACTGTTAAATAACCAGATGGTATTCTTTTGGATTGATCGATTTGTGATGTCATCCATTTTTTTTTGCGGATATGTCAGGGTCTTCACTGCTTCCAGATGCATGTCCCTGTCCAGTTTTCGGTGGTCAATCACTCGTACGTTACATCGCGGGTACCCGCAGGATGTGGGGTTGTTCGGATGTGGAATCACCATGAATCACCAGCCGCGACCTCGCAGGTATTCCTGTGGAGGCACAGGATGTGGAATATTCCTATGAGACTTGATCAACTGTGGGCGGGTAGGAAGCTCCTGGAAGTTCAATGCGGTTAGTGTCTCACTGTCTCATGGTGATTATGAAAAAACCTTGGCAGCTCTGGAAAAAAGTTATTGGGCTCCTAGCGGCCAAGGGCTTCAGATTGAGATGTCCCGGCCTTCGTTCAGCCATTGTGAGAACAACTATGCAGTTTAATATTCTTAAGAAAAAAATTAAACAAATAGTGTGGGATTGTGTTGAATCCAACCCTTGTAGCAATTTCTCCAATTTCAACCGGCCAGCCCGAAAAGACTCAGCGGGGATCAACGACTGGATACCCTGGTGAAAACCGACGGAGGATACCATTCCTCACGTGTTGGCCACTCGAGATTTGACACAGAATCAGTGCATCATCGTCTCAGATGCTCGGCAGGGGTGGACCACCAGGGCCGAAGAAAGGATTAAATTGATCCTATGCATTCTGCATAGAGGGATTAGACTAGGTTGGATCAGATTCGATTGGATTGGACCAGATTAGATTATATTAGACTAGATATGGCTAGATTAAATATGAGAGAGAGACATGTATGACATATCCCGTCAATAAAGACAGTCACCCAATCAATGAGCATCCACAATTTTGAGGCTTATGGATGCTTTTGAGGTTCATGTGTCAACTATCAGGGTTGCAGGTCGCCGCGCTGCTGAGGACGCGAGTGGTCGCGTGTTTCTGATCACGGCGCAGGTGTGTCGTCAGCACATGTTGCAGAGCAAGACAGCTCCTGCTGTGGCGACACTCGGCACCCGAGGATGCCAAGGATAGATATGAATGGAATAGGAGAGTTATCGAAGATCTTCAACCTAGCCATTCTTGGGGTGTTGCCTTCTAACTGTCTGCAAGAATGGTTCCTGGTGCGGATGGACGTCAACTGAGTTTCGCCACCTTCGCCCTTGATGGGCTGCAACATGAGGGGAACATGTTTAGGAAACCATATTATTCAGATACTACTTTGCTTTACCGTCGACATACAAGATACAAGCAAGTTATGCATCCAATGGGCTGACCGAAAATCATACAATAAACATCAATTGACCATACCCTCTGGTAATTTAACATAGCTATTGAAAATGGCCCATTTATAGTGGATTTTCCCATTAAAAATGGTGATTTTCCATAGTTATGTTAAATTACCAGAGGGTAGTTGACACAGAATCCCATGGAACTCGATGGCGGCAATGGAGATCCGAAGATTCCCGCGGTGCCTTTTTTTTTTGAGGTCTGACAACAGCACCTTAGACGACTACGGCAACGTGGTGGCCAAGCCTCGCGCCGTGGGCCGCGCCATCATTCAATGGATGAAGGGACGGGCCAGCACCGTAGAGTTGAACGATGCCACGGTGAAGTTCTATCGCAAGCAGAAGCTGCCCAAGATGACCCTTTTCCAGGCATGGATTGAGTTGGGTTTGATGGCTTCTGCGGCTGGTTTCTATGGTTTCAATATCAATGTATCAATGGTGTTGTTCTTTTAATTAAATAACAACGCCACAGTTGCAAGGCGCACCCAGCATCACTTTGTAGTTTGAATTCTTGAATTTGGTCATGCTTTGTTCGGGGAGGCAGAACACCGCTGAATACGAGCGTTGAAATCCCACATCCAATTTCATGATCAACCCCGTAGTGAGATTCATGCAGTTTCTTCATTTACCGCGAGGTGTTCAACAAAGCCAAGGGCAATGAGATGTACATGCTGCTCGCTTGCAGTTGGGGGGTAAAAAACGCACGACGCCCAGCGGAAATGGTCGCCCCATGGCCCCTGAATCGAACAGTGGTTCCATGTTCCCCTGCATAGGCCTTACATATGCCTCGCATATGCATCCATATGGTGCCTCCGCTTTGATTTTCAAATTTTACAGGAGATCTTCAAAATCTAGGCATGAAGCAGCCATAAGAATTGGTGCAACACAGTTTTTTTTTGCCAAAATCTCCATTGATGTTGGCATTCCGAGCCTTAGGAAGGTCTATACAGAGCTACTTCGCCTGGGCTTTGTGGAGCATCAGCAGTTCCCTCACGCGCTCTGGGGCGATTGCTATTGCTACGTGAACTCGTTGATCGTCCGCTGGCGTGCAATTTGGGGATCCTTGGGAGGCTGTGAAACAGATCCCCAGTTATTATAGAGCTGAAGGTTTTGGTATACCCTCTGGTTATTTAACACAGCCATGGAAAATGGCCCATTTATAGATGGTTTACCTATTGAAAATGGTGATTTTCCATGGCTATGTTAAATAACCAGATGGTAGATGTTCCAAATGATTGTGAACGATTTCTAAATGGTATAGGTTTGGTATAGATGTACTAAATGATTGTGAGATATTGTGAGTTTGATCTGATTTTATTTGGCTGCGGCTGAGGTGATACAGTTGCCAAAACACATGGTGAACGGATGATTGCAGATCCGCAAGATGTCGACCACTCAATATGTGAAACTTTGATACACGGGGGTCCAATGGTTGAGTCCCATCCTCCCAGCTCTGATCAGGTTGTGGCTTCGGCATGGCACACACACGACATCTCATTCCAGCTATCTTCCTCAAAGAAATTAAATAGAACAATAAGAGAATTATCAAACTGTTTACAAAGCATTGAAATGATAATCTTCTCATTTTGAATATTAAGATCATCATCATTTCCAGTTTCAAACCATTTCAATCCGTTTACATCATTACATCCGTTTACTGTAAGTCATTTTCCCCAGAATTTGTTGAATGCAGCTAATTTGGGGTAGGAACACATGCTTTCAAACGTATCAGTTCCCAACCAAACCAAGTCACTTTTTGTTTGAGCCCATATTACTCCGATATGTTTTAAACTCCCTAAACCATGGTTTTCAGGCCTTAAGAATCCCCATTTGTTTGTTGGTTCCTGGCCGCCCCATCGCCCACCGGTCCCACCTCGGTCGTCCCAACGGTCGTGAGGCACGGCACGGCTACCGCCTGGAGCTGGAGAGCGATTTGGACTCCGCGGCGGTGGAGAAGTGGAAGGAAGCGAAGTGCCTGGGCCGATTCGATGGGTCGATGATGGTCGATTCCCAAAACCACTGGGATCATCGGATGTTCCCATACTTAGATCAGTAGTCAATGGCCATTTCTGTAAGGCCTATATAAGGGAATATCCCCACAAAATATGGCCTTATATGGTACAGTACCTCCATTTTAGGATCAAATTCTCATTGAAGTAGGCATATATTCCATGATTAATGATGATATATCTGGTGAGTACGGGAAATATAGGGAAATCATTCCCTTTTATGGCCGAACCATTCAGATTAATTAGTGAAATATGATTTGCCCAGATATATGATGATCCCATAGATCCATGATATTCCATGATGATGGAACATAAAAATGATGAAATGTCAACATTGGTCAACCTGTTATTCTTCAAACATGTTCAATATGTGTGGTAGTTTATACACTCCAAAATCCTAGCGCTATGGTCGCTCACGACCATGGAAAGTTTGGCCACTCCTCGAGGTATGCGGAGCAATTGGCCCGGACCCGGATCAGCATCTTCCGCGATTTCCGCTTCCACCGAGCCTCGGGGTGCAGTGCGAAGTGGTGAAAACCGGCAGATGTTGAGACGTTTTGAGAAGAGCAGCATGACATTTTGAGAGTTTTGCTACAAGATGCTACAAGTTACAAGTACTATATCTGAGTTTGCCATACAATTTGGGATGGAACCCCTTGAGAACTAGATGTAGCGCCCTAAATAACGAATATGGAAGATGATTTAGCAAATAATTGCAAGTATGCAATTAGTATCAATTAGTCATTTATCAATGGGTTTAGAGGAAGATATGAAAAAGGCAAGGTGAAGTGTTTGGATATGTTTGGATGTTTTGAGATGAGGGATGGAGATCGCGATTGAGGGGTTTTGCCCGTTCTATCCGATTGTGAGCCCTACATCATTGGAACCCACCAGACAGCCCCTAAACAGCCGTTGGCACCCACCAGACCGGGCAAACCTTATAGATGTGTCTTTAATGGGGTAAATCACAAGACATTTTTTGAGCAACTGGAGGAATCACTCCCTACCACTCAAACATCGCATTTTCCTCAGCAAATCGAGAAATCAACATCATATCCAGCTTAGATGTCACTATTTGTTTGGAAAACAGATATCTAAGCTTGAAGAAAGACAACTTTTTCACCCGCCTCTTGCGGACAGTGAGGAATGGTTTTGGATGAAACCTTTCTGATGCCCTACGAGATCGCGGACACTCCACTCACTGCTGGTCTGAAGGAGCGTGGCTGGTGGGTTGATTTGTCATGGTGGTTTTGTTGGGCTCAAAGAGGGCCTAGCAGGGGCTTAGCACTTTGCCAAATGCTATGTTTTTGACAATTTATGAGTTTCAGGATGTTTCAGATGATTTCAGATGATTTCAGGGCCATGCCCAGTCAAGATGGAAATGCTTCCGCAATCCCATGGGTCCGGGCATTGCTTTCAAAACAGCATAAGCAACCCACAGGGATGGCTTTACAATATGTCTCACTAGAAATGAATCTTTTCGCAGGGGATCAACAAGCCCCCGGTATGAGATGTTTTATCTTCTGGCACTGAACTACCGGATGTTTTTGATGGTCAGTGGCCAAGTCGCCCCGCAGGAGCACATGGCTGGCCAATTGGAGCATCCATCGCGAGAGCACCTGACGCGTTGCTGGGCGCACGCTGGTGGTGCAGATGGGACATGTTCAATATTGCTAAAGGACCAGGGGAATGAGGGAATGAACATCCGCTTTCCAACTGTTTTGCTGTTTGCGATGGTGCCACTGTTGTGACCCATATCCAGAAGATGCGCGGCCTATCGAATGCTCAACACTGCTAGGCAGACATGTGAAATTATTCAAGGTCTACACGAGGAAAGCAAATTGGAGTGCCTGGCCATGCCAGCATTGGCTCTGGATCGACATTCCCTGAATTGACATCCCAATTCATCCACCGGGAACATTCTTCGGCTTAAAGCCGGAAGCTGGGTTAAATGTTTCAGGAAGCAGATGAATATCCCAGCGCTGTGGCCACAGTTTCTTGGGAGATGGACTCTACTGGAACCAGCACATGGCCCATTCTTGTGTATCAATTCGCATCAATTCGCATCATGGTTATTTGTGCTTCTAACATGTTGGACCCCTATACAGTTTTTCCATATTTAATATATATATATACTATGTATAATTAATATATATATATATATATCTTTCTCTCTCTCTCTCTTTATCATGTTGTTTAAACTCAAGAATACTCTACGACTCTACGATATCACATCATGTCCCTATGTATTGTCATTATTTTTAAAGAAACCATTGTGCCCCCATTACAACTCTATCCTAAATATGGTTGACTTCATACCCTCACATTTCATAAATTGTTTGAACTTTCATTTTCCTTGCCATGTGTTCAATAATTATTCCTCATTTCTACCTAGAGTAAACTAAGAATATAGACGTGGAAAACCTATGGTTTCCCTTGTTGAACATGTCCTTTTTCCATGACCTACGCCATGAATCTACTTCCAGATGGTGGGTGTTTCAACCACAGATCCAACAGATCCAGGTCTCCGAAGGCTCCAGTCACGAACCTCGATGCAACTGGCAGGCGGCTCACTGATCTCCTCTACCACGCGATGCTCGGCGATGGGGTGATGGGCAGTCATGGAGATGGCACGAAGTCAGAACCGAAGTGGAGATCTCACCCATTGAAAATGGATGGTAGTAGAGGATTCCTGGATATTCATGGCACATGAATTGATATAAATTATGTAGGTCATGTAGCTTCAAACAAGTGCTTTCATTGGGCTGGATTGGCGGTTGAAACAGCTTGAAGTTGATTTTGGGAAGGTCCGTGTTCGGCTTTTTGAACACGGATTTTTGATATGGCAAAGATCTTGAGACCCTAAATGTTGGATGGTTTATGATGGTATCATGGATTGTGTGTGAAGTGGTGTGGGTTCCATTGTTATATGTTTTTGGTGAATAAATCATGGCTGTTTTTGGAAGTATAAACATATAACCTCATTGCTTGTGATCATTTCCTAAGAATTGTCTTTGTTATATATATATATATTGTTTCTGCATATGGATATATATATATAGTATATCTCATCCCTCTTGTTCAATCACTTTCGATTGAAGCCCAAAAGGGAAGGCACATGTTACACATGTTCAAGAAAAATCCATTATATAACCATCCGGGGGATCCTAACACAGCGACCGTTTGGCAGAGCCAAGGATTTGAGCAAACGTCACTTGGCGAGTGTGGCGGTGGCCGAACGAGCTTTGAGTAAGCCATGCGTGATCATGCGTGTGTGAATGGGCAGACTGGACATTGAGATAGTTTAATGGTACTATATGGTACTTTAATTTAATTTTCTTTTGTTAAATGTGATCTAATATGTCAATGGTGCTTCAATGAATGAACAGCGAAAAGCGTCGGAAAATGGTACAGCCGTGCAAATTGGCGCGCAGACTTTAGCTCATGCACATGTCTCTATGCATCTCTATGCCATGCTATGACCCGCATGATCCAGATCATGGCATTTGCCAATAGAATGCGCATGATTCGTTATTGCGCGTATATTTCTAGATCAAATGCATGTTGTTTCCCAGAGTTGCATGAAGGGAACAGTTACCGTAGAGGAAAAACTAGTTAGTTTGTGTTTTTTTTTATCCTGTTTGATATTTGTTATTGCCACAAGCCAATGGTTTCCGGCAAAGTGTACTTGGAATCCACCAACATTTCTTGCTCAAAACTATCCAGATGTCCCCTAGGTTTTCCTATCCATCCCAATTTCATGATTTTTATGGTAAAAAAAAGTGTGTTCCATGGTTTGAAAAGGAACCATCTTCACTCTCTTGCACCATGCCACATAGTTTTTCAGAGATGACCTGTCTAGCAACAGTTTTAGCTGCTGACATTAGATGAGGTAGCCACTCTCCGCCTTTCTTCCATGTTTTCCCTCTGTTTTCCCTCTGTTTTCCCCATGTTTTCCCCATGTTTTCCCTATGTTCCCCATGTTTTCCCTATGTTTTTCCATGGTTTTCCCCATGTTTTCCCCATGTTTTCCCAGGCAGCCGGGCACCACCTTCCGGCTGGGCGGCAGCGAGGCGGCGGACAGCGCCTCACGGCTGGTGCGCCAGGCGGCGCACGAGAAGGGCAAAGCGAAGGCCGCGGAGCGCCTGGGACGTGCGTTCGACCGGCGGTGCGAGGAGGATGTGGATGATGATGGATTTTTGGAGGCTACCCTCTGGTTATTTATAGGGATTTATAGGGGATATATATGGGATTTGTAGGGGGTATAATGGATAATACCCTCTGGATGTGGATGATGATGTTAGATGTTAGATGATGTTACCATTTGGTTATTTGACATAGCGGGAAAATGACCCATAAAAATAGATGATTGATGATGTGACGTTTAATGGAGGTTTAATGGGATTTAATGAGATTTAATGGGATGTAGTGAAATTTAATGATGTTACCCAACCTGGTTATGGTGGTTAATCATAGTGTTAATATACTGTTAATAATGGTGAATATATGGTTATTATATGGTTAATGATACCATCTATTAATGGGATGATCGGATGATACCCTTTGGTTATGACTAACAGTTCGCCATGGTATAGATGGCCCATTGAAATACATGATTTTCCCATTAATTAAAGCCTCCATTTATGAGGGATTTTCCATGGCGAACTGTTAAATAACCAGATGGTAGACGAATGGAGTAGTAAAGCATCTAACCAGGTCTAACCATGATTAGTATCTGGTTAACCATCTTACCATTTGACATGTGGATGATGATGATATATTAATACCTGGTTGGTGGTTTGGAACATGTTTTGTTTGCCATATATTGGGAATAGGATCCCAACTGACGAACTCATATTTTTCAGGGGGGTAGGTATACCACCAACCAGATACCAATAGGAGTTTAACGTAGTAGTAATACTAATCGATTATGGTTAGATGATGTCATTATACTAATGATGTTCATGGATGATGTTAAAGTTGATATACAGTTATATGATCTCCTAGATGTTAAGTTAGATGATGTTAGATGATGTTATTATACGAATAGATTATGTTGAATGATGGTTGGAGGGCAAGAGTTTGTTTTCGGTACTAATAGAAGCTATATAATATTTGTTTCAGACTATTAATAAGGAATTGGTTATCAGTTATGAATGATATAATGTTATTGTTAATGTCAGTAACTAGTAACAGTATAGTTATAGATTTTCTTGGGCAGAATTTTTCATTGGTCTTGGGAGTCTTGGGCATCATACATATTTTAAACATGGGGACATAATTGGTAAATGATGACTATTCCATATTTTAGCAATATTCTTAGCAAGTGATCAATTGCTGAGATGTGCCGCTGCGCTCCCTGGTTGTAGCAAACAAATGGCTTTCAGGTACCGATTTATGTTGGAGTACCACATATATGATATAGGATATATACCCCACATATATAGCTTTATGTATGGTACGGTGCGTCCATTTTCAAATCTTATCCTGAAATTTCCGACGGACAAACAGAGGCGTCCATGATGGCCAATGTGCCACAAACGACTGGTGAATCGTTTGTGGCTGCTGCCTTGAGATTTGGAGATATCCACATCTCATGATCATTGCCGGATTGAAAACATGTTTCTTGTTTGGGTGGAAAACAAAAAAATCATTGGATTAGTGTTTGGTGTAGAAATTCAACCACATATCATATTATCATGTATCTTTATGTATCTTTAGCATCGTTGAATACATACAATTTTGGGATGTGAATTTGATTTTAATGTGTAGGTGTTCTTATACCGTAATCCCACTCTCCTCAACTGAATCAGTGCGGCTGCTGAGGATCATCCAGCGGATCCTCAGCAGTGGTGGTGCGTACTTAGAGTCGCTGGGCTGAGAAACTAAGGCTGTGGGGGACCAGAGATTTTCATCTGTATCTGGTTGGTGCTTTGGAACATGGATTTTATTTTTCCATATGAGCAAGATTATAGAGTATCTGGTTAACCATCTAACCCTTTGACATGTGGATGATGATGATATACTAATACTTGGTTGGTGGTTTGGAACTTTTTGATTTTATTTTTCCCATATATTGGGAATAATTAATCATCCCAACTGACGAACTCATATTTTTCAGAGGGGTAGGTATACCACCAACCAGGTATATATTGTTTGTATTGATCATATTTTGATCGTTGGGGTCACCAATTTTGACCAATACGGCCATAAGAACTTGGAAACATTGGGCTCATTCATTGAGGGTAAATAATTAGATATGATAGATGAGCTAAAAAACATGATATATTAAACACAAGTGAAGGGTATTAACGAACATTCAGTCACGTTGAAACCCGTTTTTTTTTGTCCATGGTTTGGTGTAAAAATCATCGAATAGCCGTGATGAAGGTTGGTTTTCCAGGTGAATTTTATGTTTTTTTTACAATCAACGTGAAAACGTGGCTTCACGGATGAGGTAGACATTCAGACCTGGATTTGCGCTGATTTCTTCTCGTTCAGCAGACAAGGGCAGTCCACCAATTGTGAAGCGCAATTACTGGGTGTGTTGGGCACCCTCCAACTCCAAGTTGATGAGGTACACAACCTCGACTAAGGAAAAATCGTGTGAAGAACTGTCCTTTCTTGATCACAATTGTTTTGAGTCATGTCATTCGGGATTAATTGATTATCATGATCAATCTATTAATTATCATTGAAGCATTACTGGTTGGTGGTTTCAAACATGTTTTATTTTCCATAGTATATGGGATAATCCTTCCCATTGACTAATATTTTTCAAGATGGTTAAAACCACCAACCAGATTACGTAATTATCATTAATTAATGGGATCTCAGGTGGGGATAGGTTTCTGAAAGTCCACTGATGGCCGAGGCAAGATGATTTGCCAGATGATCAGCGCGACCCCTTGCTGAACCAAAACATGCAGCTTGGCTGGGCAAACTCGGATGGGGCCTCGCATGGAGGTACAGTTTACTTGTTAAAATATGTTGAAGCTAATCTCTGTCCATCCATAACTATCCACAATTACCTTGACAGATTGGTTTCTTTGTGCCATCATTCATCAGCAAGTTGATGAGAAGACACTGGTATTCCCTTACTGGCCCATTAGATGCTTTGTTGTTTGTCAAAGATCTGCACCGATGATTTTTCGCCTGCATCTCCGGCGATGATTTTTCCTGAGTGGCTCTGTTTCATTGTTGCTGGGATTTATACAGGAATATATACATTGTACATGTACCATCTTCCCATTTGCTTGCCGGTTGCGTCCCTTTACTTCCCAGGTTGTTGCTTGCATTCCGGAGGGTCCATAGAAGGCACTCTGGCAATCACCCCATTGCATTAATTGATCCCACTGTACCATTTAAATGAGCCAAGGACAAGCCCTGCTCCTAACTTTCCCTTTGTTACCATGCCGCGAGGTTCGGGAAACTGACCATGACCGAGACCTTTCTCCACTTGTTACGGGTGGTGAAGATTGTCGCTGGGCAACCCTTGTGATTTTCTGTGATGTTTGTGCCTCAAATTTCACCCAGATCGAGAAGTGGGAGCAGTGGGCTGAGGCATGGGTGCAATTCCTGCTATCGTTTCTGGTCAATCTCTTCGCAGCCGTTCTCTTCGTTCTGGTCATCAACCATATGGTGTGGGGTCTGGCAGTGCTTGGACATGGTGTGTATATTATGACCACACGAAAAAAGTCTACTGTAGAAGTTTTGGCGCTGTGAAGTAGTTCATTAAAAGACCACAGGCTGAGAAAGCTGAGGGCATTCCTTATGCAGGTCCCTTTGGTCTAACTAGAAGTCACTTTCAGATTGTCTTGGTTTTCATCCTCAAACTGGGATGATAACTTCCGAGTTCACCATGATTGCATCAAATGTTTGAACTCGCGTCCTTTTTCTCCATCTTCCATCCCACAAAGTCCGCGGTTGAGTGGGTCCATCAGCTTCCATGTCATAGCCGTTGTGGAGGCTTCAGCCTTCTGGTTGCTGGCGGCGTTTGCTTCCAATGCCCTTGGTGCGTGGCTGTTTATTCGTGCCTCCAACTGTGCCCTCCTGAGACTTGGTTTCAGATGGTTTTAGGATGTTGATGCGGTTTCTGGCAACTTATGGCTTCATGAGCTTGTTAAATGTATGATGCTAATATTCTGCCTGCATATTTTGTATCATTTGTATCTTGACTTGTGTTTGCACGTTGATGCCCATTTGGCTACTCTTTCCGAGAAGCCACTTAAAAGGTTCATGCCCCTCCAGCCCCTCCATCCCAACCTTGGCTGCACTAGGAATGTGCTCAGCTCCATGTTCTTGGCGTTGCTCAACCTGCGTGCTGATGCGTTTTCTACGAGGACGCTCGGCTGGATCTGCGTCAAGGGGATCTACGAGGGCGTGGACTGATGGCGTGTAGCCTGCGGGAAGCCTGAAATGTGGACTGGCTACGTCAGATTTCATGTGATTTCCATGTGGATGTTCTAATCAAAGTACCCCCAAGGGTAGTGGTAGAGCAGTTGCTTTCTGGTTGGATTGATGGAGTAGATTCCGCCAGGTCAACATTGTTTAAACCCAACTACTACCAATGTCTTCAATGGAGGCTATTCCATGTTTCCTTTCAAATATCACTACTTGATGGACACCCAGAATAAGACTAGCTTGCTGAAGCTATAGCACTATAATTAGTAGATAAAGGGTGACGGATAAATTTATAGAAATACCCTCCCATAAATTAACATAGACCCTGGCAGATAGGGTTGGAAGATTGGTTTCCACTTAAAATGGCATATTTTCGGGGTCTATGTCTATGTTGATTTACCAGAGGGTACCGATATCACCGTGGTTGGAGTTCCAAGAAACCTGAGATCCACCGAAAAGTGCCAGGCTCTTTTCGGAGGTTTGGAGTCGCCTGGTAGGCGACACCCGGGCTCTGCAAGGAGTGCTGGAATCGTGTCACTTGGCAGGTCGACGTGTGGTGGATTGAAAAGCTTGGTAGCTTAACTACCAGAAATGTGGATTCAACAAAAAAAACATTGGTTTAACAACAAAAGCTTGAAAGTTGCGATTCTGGAATTTTAACGTTGTGATGTATAAGCAATGAAAAGTGGATCTATGTGGGATATAATGGGTAGAGCAATGGCAGATTTGAATATGAATATATAAGTAATTTCTACTTGATTAATTTTATGCAACGCAAAATGGACATGCGCGCTAAACTTACCAAACATCTTATGGCGATATAGTGGGATAAAATATTCCTTTGTCCAAAAATGACCTACCCTTTGGTAAACTAACATAACTATGGAAAATCACCATGTTTAATGGGTAAATCCACTATAAATGGCAATTTTCAACAGCTATGTTAGTTTACCAGAGGGTAAATCAAAATCAAGATAAAACATAGGGATTTAAGCAATGAAACATGGATGCGATATGACCAGCCATGCTATATATAGCAACAAAAAAGGGCCCCTAAAATAACGCGGGGGATTCACCTCCAACATGACCATGGCGGTTCATAACGGAAAAAAATGCCGCCTGAGTTTTAATCCCTTAGCATCCCCACGACTGTGTCATTATCTCAGCATCTTATGGAGTGTACGTATTGTGTCAATTTTAGAGTTCTGGCAGATGAACGTGGGTGAAAATGGAAAAAACATGGGGCGGGTTTAACATGCGATGAAATCTGAGGCGGGTTCAGTTTCAGTCACGGATTTAACACTCCAAAAACTACAGAGTCAAGTCCCCATGTCTTGATGCTAGGACTCCCCACGTTGGTGAAGCATGTTTGTCAAGAGAAGGCCTCCGATGACATGGTTTGAGGCAGTGACTTCACCATCGAAGCTCTGACGGCCATCGGCGCACTCTTCGTGTTGTTGTTTTCCATGGAGCCGTCCTGCGACAATTCCATTTGGTCAACGATGTTGCCGCTCGGTTCTGAGTCACTCACCTGGCGTTCTGGGGTGAAGAGTTCTTCACCTTGCAGCCCCAAGGTGATAGCGGAAATCAGGTCGATGGCTGATATGTCAGCCATGTTCTCAACCCACCCATTGCAATGAATAGGTGGTAATCTATTGTAATGTTATGAGATGCTATAAAACGTTATAAGGTTATAACATCTGAACATCTCTGAACAAACCCACTTATATCTGGTTGGTGGTTTGGACCATGGTTTTTAGTTGTTTCCATATATTGGGAATTTAATCCCAACTGACGAACTCATATTTTTCAGAGGGGTATAGGTATACCACCAACCAGATATACCATCTGGTTATTTAACAGTTCGCCATGGAAAATCACCAATTTTAATAGGTAACTACGGTAAACCATCTATTTCTATGGGCCATCTATACCACGGCGATGTTAGTCATAACCAGAGGGTAGATGGCCAAATTTCACCACCTACCCTCCTTACCACCGTGCAGGGTGGTGGTGTCCACCGGCACCGGCATGGCCGCCATCTCCATGTTGGCGGGCTTCTCTTTGCGCAGCTCCTCACGCATGTCGCGGAGCATGATCGGCGCCACGGCGGTGTGAGGGTATGGTGGGTTTTTTTGGATCACAGAGAAAGGTTGGTGAATGATGATCTGGGTATGGATCAATACCTATTAATACGATTTTTAGGGGGATGAACATCCATTTACCAGCTATTTTGATGTTCACCAGGGGTACAAGGTTTTGACACACTGCCATTTGGTTGGTGGTTTCAAACATGTTTTTTTTTCCATGATATATGGGAGAATCCTTCCCATTGACTAATATTTTTCAAGATGGTTAAAACATGTTAAAAACCACCAACCAAATGATCATTTATAACAGTCATATGCCATGACCATCATGATCATCCATTACAAAAAATAGCTAAAAACAATATCAGACATCTCCAGAGTTTTCTACATCGTTTAATGTGGGTAAACCAATGTCAGAAACAACCCATTTTGGGAATGGTAAACATACCACCTATTTATATAATCCTATTTATGGTGATGTTTATGGCATTGTTTTACCCACCTATTTAATCCTATTTAATCCTATTTATGGCATTGGGGTTAAGGATAAGCAACGATGGGGATTGTTCAGAACTCGAAATTCTCATTGATCCCATGGCCCATGGCTGGACAGGGTGGCCACGGGTGCCTTTGACCCAGGTTACCTCTATTCCTACATGTTGCTTGGCCGGCTCCAAGACCTGGGTAACATGAGGTTCGATGGCATGGCATGAATGGCCCCAGTGACTGGAAAATCTGAGTAATCCAGAAAGGTATAGAAAATGGTAGAAACTTCCTTCATGATCCTAAAAGTATGCTAATCCCCCTTCATAATCCTTCATCTAAAAGTAGTTGTTCATGTTTTGAAGATTTTTGAAGAGGGAGATGATAAGATCTGTGTCCGCTGCCGCTGGGCAGTTGTTTTTTTAGTGACCAGCCTGAGAAGATCTGACCCCATTCCGATCTCGATCTTATTGAGATCAACCGCCGTACTTGGTATTTGGTTGGTGGTTTCAAACATTTCAAACATGGTTAATAATGGTTGACCATTAGGTCCTATAGGTCATAGGTTATTAGGTCATTAATTGAGCCATTCGGTAAATGATGATTTGGTTGGTGGTTTCAAACATGTTTTATTGTCCATAGTATATGGGATGTCATCCTTCCCATTGGCGAACTCATATGTTATATTTTCATATATTTTCAGAGGGGTAGCTCAACCATGCTCAACCACCAACCAGGTGTGTATTTAGGGGAGGTCCCCGAGCCACACCAATATTTGGGGGGACGATTTTTGATGGTGGATTGCCTTCCAGCTAATTCACAGCCATGAAACCCCACCAGAACTATAGATCCCTGGGTTTCCCCAGAGTTGTTGTCCATATCCACTTATGTTATAGTCTAGTTTAGTCATGTTTAATCTACTGGTAATTTATGGCGGTTGGTCAGAAACCATACTTTGATATCGTAGATCATGTTTTTCTTGGGATTTATTGTAGTTGTTCATATCGTGTTTGTGAAGTTACCGGTGGGTAGAACCACATGTGTTTCTGGAGCAGTTTTCAGCCTCCAGCTCCAAGGTTCTCCAGTCTCAGTCACTTCGCAGTTGGGGGCAGGGCGCTGCATGATCTCACTTAGTAATTGATTAGCAACTGGTGCTGTACCCCAGTTTTGAATAGGACACCAGTTATAAATAGGACAAGCTACTAATATCCACTCATCATGGCTGATTAAGTTGATTAACCATGAAGCACCAAACAATGAGGGTTCAACCACCAGCAAGGAAGGGTATAATGAGCCCACGGACTAGGATTGTTGAGTTGACGAAAGTACTTGGATGTTTTTTTCACCCAATTTCAGATCATTTTTCCTGCTGGGCTGAGAGGTGAGTTGAATCGATATACGTTCATCATGGGTCAAAACCACCCAAACGGTCCCCTCAAATATCCTAAAATAGCTGGTATAGCTGGATGGAGTTTTCCCCCGCAACCATATGGTAATTCCCCCAGTCATATGGTCATCGGTAAGTATCCTAAAATAGCTGGTTTTCATGGATGGTAATGGATTGTTTTTCTATGTTTTTCCCTTAGTTTTTGACCCCCCATCCGAGGCAATTTCTTCGAGACCAAATTCATCCCGGAGCAGTTCGCGGCCACCACCAGCGCCTATGAAGAGATCCAAAGTGCCAGTTTGGAGCAGCGGAAGTGGCGCGGCGAAAATTTCCGTGGTTGACATGGCCCATTTGGAAAATGGCTATGTTACACTGGGTAAAGGATCCGGGAACTTGGTATTTTCCATTGCGCCAGCTTGTGCATGTCGATTTTGAGACCCATTTTGTTCCTTGGCCAAAAAAATGAGCTACTGGTAAGAGGTGATATGAGTGGTTGTCATTTTTTTCAGGATTCCATGGTTCCGCCCCAAGCCCCAAACAATCACAAGTTACCCTTCCGCAAATTATAGCAAAGCGATATGGAAGATAACCATTGGCAAACCCACAGAAAAAAATCCAAATAAACTTCTCGGATTGTTTTTCCATCTTGTTTTTGTTGGTCATTTATTGCTTAAGTTTCTATATCTGGGTTATTGTTTGGATTTTTTTGTTCCCACATATTGGGAATAATAATCCCAGCTGACTAATATTTTTCAGAGTGGTTGAAACCACCAACCAGATATATTTTGGTGTTTAAATCTCTTTATCCTAATTGTCGGTTAGATAATTACCCATTATAGGTGTTAGATTATATACCCATTATACCCATTATAGATTATTATCTAACCCATACCAGGCTTTATATTGTTTGTGTTTTGATAATTTGTTCATGGTGAAATCACCAACCGAGTCATTGCCCCATGGTGCGCAATCCGTCAAAGCTCAGGAAGCTGACCTTAATTCATCAGGCGGGCCGGAAATTCTGGGGATCTACCTTCAAAAGTCACTAAAAATAAGTTACCATCAGGTTATTTAACAGTTCGCCATGGAAAATCCCTTATAAATGGAGGTTTCTAGCTGGGAAAATCATCTATAAATGGGCCATTGTCCATGGCTATGTTAAATAACCAGAGGGTAATGGAGATACCGATGCCTTCTAAGATACCTTCGAGATAATTCCCTTGAAATCCAGTTGCGGGAGATTCGACTTAATGCCAATTGAATTTCAAGGCTATTTTCCAGCTTGGCTATGCAAAAAGGTGGACTATGCACTTAATTGATCATGGAGGCGTCAACAGCAGGCCGGGGTGAAAAGGAACAGCGTCAATGTAGCTTCCCGCTCCGATGCATCATGGCCTTGATGAATTATGTTGTTCTTAATGTGGTTGTCTTTGGTCATCATCAATAATATATATTAATTATATATATATATATGCGCATATATCATATATTTACAGTATATATATATATACTGTAAATATAATATATATATATATATTTAACATCAGCTATGCAAATATATGATATACTATGATTATTTATTATGTTATTATGTTGCCGTTTCTTATCAGTACATGGTATATGGACATAGACCATCTCATCAGGGTCGCCAGGTGGTGTCCATCTTCCTCCGTGTCACGGCATCTCGTCCCCACGGCATCGTCCAAGGTATCCAAGGTCACGGTCACGGTGAGTGGTGGTTTATTGTGAAGCAGATGGTTGGGAGGTACCGAAAAAAATGTGGGAAACATCCATGTTGGATTTGTGCTTTCCATCTTTGATGATCATTCTCAATTTATAAATTGTATGGTTTTTGATAGTTTTTGAGCCATCGAGTAGATCTTTGGGTCGGTCAGATGCTACCTACCCATGACCGTGACTCCTCTGTATCCCGGCCATTCCCCGCCACGGTTTGACTCAAGGAATTTGCGGCCCTGACTCAAGCCTTGTATCGATTGGTTCACAGCTCAAGCACTGATGCCAGTTGTTGCTTGATCAGAACTGGTTAGGGGTGTCACATATTGATTGCCTTGCAAAATTACTTGAGGTGATTGGTTGAGAAAACTAGTATATGGTTTTTGGGGATATATTAAAAAAAACACAAGCAAAGAACTTTTATGGGCTCAGAGTGTTGCATGGGAGTACCGACGTTAACAGACCCTGGTTGAATGTTAAACATGCCAAACGAATCCCCTGTTATTCATAAACCTGGTTTCTACCTACCTATAGTTGGATGTGTTTATAAATGAGCAGATGGTGGATGCACCTATAGTTGGTGGATACATGCATTACTTGATAATAAGTGCACACTAATAATTAATACTTATAACATATCTATGGTGGATGCATCTGTATTTGGATGGCTGCGGGTACAGAAAAGGGGCCCAAACCACTGAGGCTTACACAGCTATTCCATTCAAGACACTTGGACTGGGTGCATTGGGCGGGTGCTATGGCGCCATACCTTTCAGAAGACAATTCCACCATTGATACTTTCCATGTATCTATGGTTTGCCTACGAAAACTTGTTAATTTTGCATTGCCAAATTTGATTGTCGGAGTTCTTAAACACACGGATGTCAGAGGGGAGATTTTAGATTTCATATGACCAGCTTAAGTGAATGGTGAATCATGATAATTCAATTCAGAAACCGGCAAGATTGGAGAATTCCGGAGGCTGTGGAATTGAATATCGAGCGTGCAGATACAAATTGAACGTGATTACAATGATTGTCTGGATGCTTAAATTGTGGGTTCAATTTGAAAAAAATGAAGGGTTCACTATAGATTACACCAAATGATACCATGCACTGACGAGATGGAGAAACAGAAGTGCTTGAGACGTTGAACTGGTTGTGTCAATGATCCTGATCTCTTCGAACGAACATGACAGGTGAATTTTCTCACCAATTCACGCAGCTGGGTCAAAATCAGCCAATCCAAGCTGTTTTTATTGATGTACCTTCCAGTAAATTAACAGTTGGACCCTGAAAATCACCGACCATTTTTAATGGAAACTCGTCTTCCAACCCCGACAACTGCCAGGGTCAGCCGGCAATTTTCGATTCTCCCAACAGATGGCCCGATAAGTCGCTCAGGCCATGTCGATACCCATCTTGCTGAGTGCTGTTAGTACCTTGGTGAGCTTGGCGGGTGAAATCCTGGTATTTCTAGAAAAAAAAACCTAGAAATCTATAGAAATCTATAGAAATCTTGGCGTTTGAATGTATGAATTGCATATATTGAATGCATGTGGCCCATCCACTTTCAACAGTTGTATTAAAGGTTTTACATGTTTTTTAGCTGTGTCTCGAGTTGAACGCCCCATTTCTTGCGCCCTTTTTGTATTCAGTCTGTCAGGGTGAAGCTTGGGGACCTGGCGGGTAAAACAATGTCATGTTTACCATCTCCCAGTCATCACTGTTTTTATAGGTGGTATGGTATAAACCATTCCCAAATGGGTGGTTCATGACATTGTTAACCTACATTACATCTTTCATGTTCCACAGCTCTACATCTTTCATTTTCCACAGCTCTATGTTGCTATATATTTTACTGCTCCTTTGCCAATTGTTGATGGCATTTTTGTATAATGTATACTTCCCACCGTTATTATAGAAGATATTCGGGAATTATCGCAGAATCGATCGGGATGTTGGAGGTACTTTTGCAGTCTCCGCAACCATGGTCCCGGGAGGCTTCAAACTAATATATTCTATTTAAAAAGCATTTAGACCAACAGCAAAAGCACAAACTTGGTGGATCATCCAACCGAATATCTTCTATTCAAAAATGGTTTGTCGCAATATCTTCTATTTGAAACGCCTTTGGCCGCACCCCCAAAATGCATCTTCTATTTGAAACAAATCCTGAATATCTTCTATAATAACGGTGAAAAGTATAGCACTGTGCAGATTTTCAGTTGGTCGGCTTGATCACCCAAGGAAGAGCCAGTGAGGCCTGTTTGCAACTCTTCTCCTCTGTAGGTGCGAACTATGGACATATGGAGGAAGCCACGGGAAACGATCGAAATTCATGGCGGCTTTTCCATGTTGATTACTGAAGGGTAAAAGGAATGTACCCTCTGGTTATTTAACAGTTCGCCATGGTATAGATGGCCCATAGAAATAGATGGTTTACCTATTACAAATGGTGATTTTCCATGGCTATGTTAAATAACCAGAGGGTAAATGATGTGAAATGCTCCGCCAAATCACACCTCCCACTTTTCCGCAGAGCTCAAGTTGAAATCCTGTGGAAAATCCTGCGAAGTCTTGGTGAATGGGTTGGTTCGGGGGTTGATTCAAGGCCATATATTAATAAACAATAACCATCATGATAACATATACTAGTATATGATGATATATGTATGTATATATATATATACAAATATACATTGTATATATATATATAAATATGGACGCAAACAAAAATATTCCCTCCTCTTATTTATATTTGCCGCTCTCTGGACATGCATTTGAGGTTTGCCATGTAAACTGCTGTTCACGTCTCATAAACCCGAATAGAATAACTTATCCACTGCAGCTGCTGGAAATGACACCCGAGAAAACTTCAGAAAGAGTCTATCCCGGCTGTGCCGAGTCATTTACAAAGCGTTGTATCCAGGTTGATCCAACCATTTCTCCAATTTTTCTATGCGTTCAGCCCATAGGACAATACCTGTCAGACCTGTCCCTAAGATGATCCAATCTGATACAGGTAACCATAGGTAAGCGACGTCCCTTCTTTTGCTTATCCATTCCCCCAAATTGTTGCTGTGACTGAAGGGTAGCTTAGCAACAGTATCCCAGAATTGATTTCAGCAACAGGAAAACCTCAGATGCGGGCAGTAAAAACTCATGATTTCCTCTAGGTGTTCCCCATAAATCAATCCATACATCACTATATCAGAGCCCAAAAAGCACATTTGAGGTAAAACCAACGGTTTCCTCTAGAAATTAGTCTTTAAATGTCTCTCAAGATAGCCCTTCAAAAATCATGAAACGTGTTCATTTCTCACAAAAAACACCATATATGTGCAAGTAAAGCCATGGTTTCCTCAATTTTCCCCTGAAACCCACCGATCTTGGCAGGTTCGCTGGAACGGCTCTTCCTGCTCTCCCGCGCCCTGCTCCGCTTCTCCACGCCGCGCTTTGATGGCATCAACCACTTCGCAGCTGAGAGGATCAGTGCCTTGGCGAATCTGGCGGGGTTCAAATGACGACCTCACGTCGCGACCGAAGCCTGGAATCATGGTTACCCTCTGGTTATGTCAACAGGTTTGAAAATGACCATAGAAATAGTGGATTTTCCCATAAACAATGGTGATTTTCCATAGCTATGTTAATTTACCAGAGGGTAAGAAGAGGAATCATCCCAAAATGGCCGAACTATTCAGGTTAGTGAAATATGATTATTTACCCAGACAATGGGTGGTTTAACTACTCGCAATCCGTCAGTACTCGAAATGGGTTGGTTTCACTCAAATTACATATATTAATCATGGAGACAGAATGTCAGTGGAAAATGCATGGGATAACATATAGGGAAATAGCTAATTTATCTTAATATTTAAGTTCATGAACAACTAAGGTTCAATGGGTGTTTAGTATTGGTTCTATTGCTTTATAGTATGTCAACAAACCTCATGGATGTAAGCAACACTAGGATCGATGGGCCATCGTTTGTTGATTTGGTGATCTTGGAATTTGAATGGGTACCCTTCGGTAGTCAAACGTGGCAACCTTGGAAATCCCTTATCAATAAGAAAATATATATTACAAATGATTTTTTTCATTGCCGTGTTTGATTACTGGAGGGTATTGAGTAGAGACTTGTAAAGCAACGATAAAGATTTAATGACACTTTGCCACTAAAAGTTGCAGGAACAAAAATGCCCCAGTTTGTTAGACGAGTTGGTTGAGAAAAGTAAGTATCCAGGTAATTGTTGGATATTTATTATGGTTGGGTTTTTGGTATGCAACAGATTTTATATATGATTTTACCAAGCAGCAAAGATCACACCGGGGCGTGGGTAGCAACTTGGCCCATCGAAGTCTAGGCCGTTTAAACAGAAAAGGGCCCAGGGGATCCCAGGGGTGTTCACTCCGGAATTTGGCGCATTGATTGTTGCAATATGTTCCAATTTGTAATCGCCCAGCTGAGGTAGCAAGTAGACTTTGAACATATCAGCATCGATGCTAACGTTTTTTCTTGGGTTGGTTGGGCAGATGAGAATGGATATCTTCAGATTTGGAGAATGAAACATCTACAGCATAGTCAACACATGATGCAGTCAGGATCTCAAGCACAGTCATCTACTTAGTGGGCACCAGGGACCCCTCGATTTTCCTGACGAATGGCGGATCCCCGTCAGATTTTCCAATGATGTTCCGCAGATGTCGACTTTTGGAACAGATTCAGACCTGTTTCAGGTATGGAAATTCCACATGACTTCAACGTGTCTCTCGGTTCTCCACAGTTTCTCAGTACGCAGCAAATGGTGGTGGGTTACGGTGAATGGCCGCATCCCATTCAATGATGGTCCTTTTACCAGAGAATGGTGGTGTGGAACAGGGGAAGCCCAAAAACAACGTCGTTTGCTGCAAAGACTCATGATTTCCCAGCATTTTGGATTGATCTAAAAATATGGTACCCCAAAATGTGATGGTTAATTGTCATTTTTCCTATTAGAATAGATATATTGGGTATACTCTATTTTCAGACAAACCCATGTTTTTTGGTCTGTACTTTCGGAAAAGTTGAGAAGCCTCTGGTAATTTTACATATATAGCTATTGAACATGACCATAGAAATAGTGGATTTACCCAGCTAGAAAATGGTGGATCTTTCCATAGTTATGTAAACGTTGACCAGAGGGTAGCAATTGCAGCAACTCCTTCCAGTGGAATCTGACCCATCGAGGTTCGGCCCTTTCGCGCGCATCCCGGCGCTTCCAGAGGTGAAGGTAGGCAAACTCAACGTGCCGCGCCCAGCGGGGTGGATTTCCATAGCCAAATTCTTGGGTTTGAAAGTTTCATAGAATTGGATGATGGGAAAATTTACAGGAAAGACCTATATTTGATGGTAAAAACAATGGTTTCCTGTAGATTTTCCCTTAAACCAATCCATTGAAAGTTGGGTATCTCAGTTGGATGCAGGGATTCTTTTTCTCAGAACTTGGCCAAGGGAGGCTTGGCATTTGTGTATACCATTTTGGATATCTATAATCAAAGCACTGACCCATGTTGCTTAAAGTGACCCATTTAATCACAAGTTGGTTTCCAACCCCCCTTTCAGCATAGATCAACATCATGATTCATCTACCATCATCTACCTATAGTTCCAACAGTTCTGTTGGTGCTGTTTCCAGTCATGTTGGTTTACTGTACCCCCGTTAATCATAATCCACGCCAGGTATAATAAAGCCATTATTAACCAATATGAAGCCACCATTATTAACTATAATTAATATGGGTAAAACAATATCATAAACCATCCCCAAAATCACCATTTTATAATATTTTATAGGTGGTATAAACCATTCCCAGTCATGGATGGTTTATGGCATTGCTTTACCCACATTCGACTTCTTGACCTCCAACTCAAGCCGAGGTGCTGGCCATGGCTCGTGGTCAAGGTGCCAGTACCTTGGCCAAGATCCTGCTGCGCATCGTGGACGCCCCCGCGCGTGCCGCGGCGCAACCGACATCTGAAGCTTTTGCGGAAGGTTTTTGAATGTTTTTAATCCGAAATATATAAGGATGAAGAACAAATGTGTAAATCTATAGGCTTGTAGGGATATATATAGGCGTTGAAAATCGTTGACTGCAGCGAAGCTGGAATGAACATGAGAAAACCTAACTATAGTTCTACTGGGTCGGAGAAACAGAACCGTGTTTGCACTCATTTCTTTGATGATTGGTGAGGATCAATCAGACGGGTGTTGCACCATGGGATTCGTGACCACGTTTGAGCCAAGCCAACATAGCACTTTTTCCGACGGAAATAGCACATCTTTGGAAGGGTTAGGCAGGGTTGGTGCGGTTGAGGTTGATTCGCGTGGGACAGGTGCTTTTTTGTTGTTGTATGTTGTTGTTTTCTTTTGCGTAATGTAATGCATTTGTTTTGTACGTCATTAGGTTGTTCTCAGATATTGGACCTTTGTTGATCCACACATCTGAGAGTGATTCCAGGACATCATTTGGGGGGTTTATTGTACCTCCTCAAGATATAAGCAGATCCAGATAGTCACCAACATATTCCAACGGATATTGATTGGATCCAGATTACCCATCTCGGGGTATTTATGTGTAATATGTACAGTATACCACTACGAAGAGTGTCATTTTCCTGGAAGCCCAGTTGAGGAATCAAGATCGACGGCGAGCATGTGGAGCAATACGAGCAGGTTGGGGCCATCACCAGGGATGTCAACGGATTAGTTTGGATGTATCCCCCAGTATGCAGTAAGTAGAAGGTGGTACCCACCAGTTTTGATTTTGCTGCTTTATAAACCTCATTAAGCATAGACTCAGGCAGAACTCTTGGATAGGGCAATTGAGAGAGATGGATCTATCTACCATACATCCCAGTTATATTAGTTGTAAATCAACATGGCAATGGCTTAAACTGGGGCCTTAGCTTGTAGGGAAACCATTTCTTACAGACCCAATGACAGAACCGAGATGCTTTAGGCATCCTTGGGCCCCGGCCGCAGGAAACCCTGAACTTCGCGATTCACGTCGTGGACCATCCGCCCCTGGCCTCCAGTGTGGCAAGGACCGCGGGGCAAGGGCAGAGCCTCACGGAATACGTGGCGCGGCCATGTCGGGTGGGGAAATGGGAGGGGGAGTGGGCCATCAAACATGGCATCTATCGTTAAAAACCTCACAGGGACCACCAGAAGTGAAGCTTGGCATGGGAAAACGAGAAGAAAAATCACATCAATTTGCCTACAGTGAGCTTCCAATGCAGAACTTTCTAACAGTTCATATAGTTCTTGTCCGCCTGCTTCCATCCCTATGTGGAGATGGTGTTCCCGACTTTTCTCAAAGACCAAGGAATTACTGTAGATGTTGGGCTGTTTAGGGAACCAACAAGCCAACCCTTCCTTCACACCAGTCCACAATGGATGGTCATGATGGACTCTTGCACGTCACAGCTCAGGTTCAATTGGGTTTGGAAGACAACGGAATGGGATTACCTTTGGATCCTTGACTGCGTTAAGAATCAAGACTTGAGATGACTTGAGAAGAATCAAGTAGCGACCAAAGGGAGCTGAGTCCATAGAAATGCATCTGTGCAACTTGGCACCCGCAATCACCCGCTCATCCCAAGGGCTTCACGCAGCCCCCATCGATGATCTGAGGATGTTTGTTTACATCGGGCTGGCATTTGGAGCCAAGTTGCCAATATTCCGCATGGTCGCTTGGGCAGATGAGATGCACAGCAAAGCTTGAGCAGATGATATTGTGGGAAGGGGTTTTAGGAACTGTGAACTTAGTGGCGCCGGTGGCTGAGGGGCAGTGTCCCAGGATGTCCCAGGTGTATAATTTTGATGCGCTTTCTTGTGAAGTTCTGATTTGGGACCTTGGGTTTCGGCCACCTGGTTTACCAGTTTGTTCATACTGCGATAAATTCGACCGCTGAGTTCAGCCCCTCAACACAGCGGCTCCCCAGGCATCGAATGTACAGAATGGAGCTCCTACATGACCAAACCCGAAGCCTATCGTGTGCAATTGGCACGTGCTCTCTTCCGTGCATCCCTGGGGACCTTGCGCATGCGCCTGGGGACGAATCCACTGGAATGCTGTTCCATGTGAAACAGGGGACCAGGGGACTCTTTGATCTTTGAGTGTCTACTATTTCCAGCTGGTTCTGTTGTTTTCTGTTAATTTTATGCTATATCTCATTCCAGCGATTCTAGTGATTCTAGTGGCCTTGAGCTGGGGCTTTTGATCACCACTGGCTTCGAGGTTAGTCGTGATGGATCCGTCTCTTGGCGACACCCGTTTTTTTTTGGCCTAGGATGGTGATCAACTGATGACCAATACTGGAACCATGGAATTTTCCTGGTGAATCTATGGTTAATCTATGGTCAATAATGGTTAATAACTGGAATAACAATATATCTGGCTGGTGGTTTGGAACATGTTTTATGACTTCCCCAATAGTTGGGGAATCTTTGCTCGGGTTTGTTGAAGTCTATGGGTACAGTTCATGATCCATTTCGATCCGGAAATCTGAAAGCTGCTGCCACCTCACCCAGAAGTTTCAGGAAAACGGTCATGAGATGTCATGAGCATGAACGACATATCATTGGGGGGTTCTGAAGTCAAAAATGAAGATGTTGAGAGATCTGCATTTATCTGGTTGTTTCTGAGTATGTTGTGCGCACATGAGGAATTCCAGCTAGACATGTTCTTTGCCATTGATGCACTGTGTGGTTCATGCCCCCCAGGTGAAAGTTAGTTTATCATTTTCATTGACTAGAGATTTAGTGTATCACAAACCCAACTTAACTATGGGACATGATCACTTTTTGGGGGATAAAACATGTTCTGTGCTTCTCGCGGCTGCTTCTCGTGAAGCCAAAAAGGCTGCGGCACTGCAATCGGTCTGAACTGCCCGAAACCAGGCGGGGGAATGTGGGAAGATCTGAAGGAAACTATGAGTGCACCAGTACCCTCTGGTAAACTAACATAACTATAGAAAATCACCATTTTAATGGGTAAATCATCTATAAATGGCAATGTTCAATAGTCATGTTGAATTACCAGAGGGTAAATCTATTCGAATCATATTCAATGTCTGGTTATGTCACATAGTCCGATAGAAAATGGCCCATTTATAGCTCATTCATGATGATTTACGTTTACAGTAAAGATGATGATTTTCCATAGCTACGTTAAATAACCAGAGGGTAGCTGTAAATGTATGGGGTTTCTTTTGAGTTTTATCTCATCATTCAAATTTGAGAGCCAGCCAAGGATCATAGGCAGAGAGCCATGTCACGCGCATGATGATGGGTCATTTTATTGGGGATATTTTTTCAATTCGTTGGAACTGGTTGTATATTTGTCTGAGTTCTGATTGCTAGTTGGAATAGCTATCCCCAATTGAAATGGCTAAGTTTGCAAGGGGGGTCGAACCATCAACAAGAGTGCAATTTGAAGACCTGAAACCTGAAAACATGCTATAAAGATACCATTCAGTCCGTATTGCCAGCTACTGTAATATTATATGATATGCCTGCATTTGGTGGTTTGAACGCTCATTTGGCTGGACCTGTTTCCAGTGGGTTCTGTGTGTTGGATAAATGCAACTGCGGTTTTTTGCCCCCTGGTAATTCATGTCCTTATTCATGTCCATGTCTAGATGTATTTCCCATAGAACATAATAGTGTTTAATTCCAGCCATATATCAGTACCACATGTCACATGTCAAACCCGCATTTTCTTTCATTTTCTGGATGAAACCAAACTACCAGAGGGAATGATGGATGTTAACTTTTTGCATGACATCAACTTGTGTGCTGTCTAAATCACCATGTTATTAACTTTTTGGTGATTTCTCCATTTTCGGATGTGAGATCATCATTTTCAACGGTTCAATCACCATGTATGATGGCTAAATCACCACTTCTCTTTGTTCAACGGCGCCGTTGATGGTCAGGCGCTTGTGGCAAGATGCCTTGCGACCTCTGCTGAAGGATGTGCTGGTTCTGGTGGTGGATCAGACTTCTGAGCCCAATGCCTGGAGTGTCAGCTGATAGATCGATAGATAGATATGATATGTAATAATGCTATATGTGATATGTAATAATATTGGATATATAGTATACATACTATATATAATAAGTGTAGGTTATCAGTTGTTCTAATACAAGTTTACTACATATATATATATATATATATATATTATGTAGTTATATGTATGTATGTGCGCATACAAAGATGCACGCACACATTAAACACACATATATATATATATATGTACACATTTGCAGATACATATCTTGTATCTATATGCATGTCTAGAGTACCATAATGTAGTATACCGATCAGTGTCATGGACCTCTATTGTGAGATTTTTGAAGAATTATTGAGTATCTTCCGAAAGGGAGGGGGGCCTCTATTGTGAAGTTTTTGCTCAGATCCATTTTTTCGGGAGGAGCTTTATCCACCTTTATACACCTTTCTCTGGGTAAAGCTGGTCCATTTACTTTAGAATGCCATATGCATGTTAAAGCCTTGAAAATGCAAGGTTTCTCAGATAATTAGATGCCTTATTCTAATGTAATTGTTTGGGTGGTACCCTATTGGGCACAAAAACTGTTGGGGCGATTTGTTTTTGGAAAATCAATTGAAAGTAGATTCAAATGAATATCAAGTAAATTGGTTTCAATTGAAATCCTTTCTTATCAATAGATTTCTTTGAGGGTTAAAAGGAACATGAATTGAAAGTAGATTCAAATGAATTGAAAGTAAATTGATTTCAATTGAAATCAGTTCTTATCAATAGATGTTTTTGAGGTTAAAAAGGAAAATCAACAGAAAGATAGAAAGTAGATTCCAACGAATTGAAAATACATTGATGTCAATTGAAATCCTTTCTTATCAATAGATTTCTTTGAGGTTTCAAAGGAAGACAATTGAACGTCGATTGAAAGCCTTTTTTATCAATATATTTTTTTGAAGATTTAAAAGGAAAATCATTTGAAAGTAGATTGATCTCAATTGAAATCCTTACTTAAGTTGATCATCCTGAATTCCCCAGACCTGGTTGCCGAGTTATTGGGTAGACCAAAATTGTTGAGGGGGGCGGGGCCTACACTAATCAGTAGCCAACATTACTATATATCTATATGCTTTGACCTGCAAACTGACTTTCTTTCAGCTAGACACTCTTTTCCCCAAACTTTAAAAGAGGAAGGGATGCTTTGCACCCTTGACGTGCCAATTGCAGTGCTTGATGGTGTCAGGTGGCAGATTCATCCAACATGCCACTTCTTTGCAAAGCATGTCGCCTCCACAGTGGAAAACAAATTTAAAACAATGATATATGATATATTGTTGGTCCCTTGATATTTCTTGGGGTTACTCGTTTTTTGGGGCAAGCAGTTAGTTAAGACCTAATTACCTTTTGTCTTATCTCAAACTAAGGTATTGCACATGTTTGTGCCGGAATTCTGCCCATTGGGTGGCTGAATTGTCCCCTGAACTTCGCTCCGGCAAGATCCAGCAAGATCCCGTGGGGTCATCCCGCAAAGCTGTTGTGTCACAGTTATTTGTGGTCGAACCATGTTGAATCTTTGTGCTACTTGACACCCAAGCCGTTGACTTGAGATTGCTGGTTGAAATCGTTAATTACAGCTGAGCAGACAAGCGAGCTTAAATGCCGATGCAAAAAACATATTCTGATTCAGCTTCTGCAACCGTCCCAGCAGCGGAAGACGGGCAGCCATGAACGCAATGTTCAACCTTGGTAGGTTGATGATTATGGTTGATGGGTTGTCGCTTTGCTAATGCAATGCCCAGAATACCCAGCAGACCCATCTGAAAATGAGTTTTCTATAGTTTTCTTAGGTCTGAGATTTGCCAAGGGAAGGATTACTTTTCCTAGCCCGGAACGACCTGCTCAATGCTATTTCTCACCATTTTGGAGGAGGATGAGGAAGTGGACGCATAAAACTGTCCACCAAAATTCGGATGCTCCACATTGTCCATATGGTTTTGGCCAACGACAACGACGGGTATCCCAAAATGGCACTTTGAATGGGCAAAATGACGAGAAAACTCTCCACAGATGGGATGATAATTGGCATTGTTTTAGGGCGACACCCCCAAGTCCTCAGACTATACCCAACATGGAACCACAATTTATTGCGGCAGCAACATGACATAAAGCAATCTTCCAACCTCCAAAGCCAAGTTTTTCATGTCAAACCTCCATCTGGTTGGTGCTTATTGAGAATAATCATCCCAACTGACTCATGTTTTTCAGAGGGGTAGATGGGGTAGGTATACCACCAACCAGCGCATTCTTGTGCAAAGAAATGCAGCTTTTGGCCGATGATGCTGGGAGGGTGGCAGGGTGGCACGCTGCAGAACTCGAGGGCCATTGCCGTCGAAAAGATGGGCGCGACGTGTGGAATTGAAAGTGAGATCTATATGGATCCATGGGACACTGTATGACGGATACCCCCTGGTAAATTAGCAGTTTGCTATTGAACATGGCCAAAGAAATAGATACAAATAGTTGATTTACACATTAAAAATGGTGATGTTCCATAGTTATGTTAGTTTACCAGATGGTGTAAATATAAAGTATAAGTGTATGAAAACTATCAAGTATATATAATAAAAAGTATTTTTTATATAATGAATAACTTCGATAAGATATGATAAGATATGTTGAAACTAATTGACATCATGAATATATTGGATATATGGGATATGATGAATATATTAGATGGAATATGTTGCCACGTTGTTCATGTTTGTCGAATAAACCCACATTGTTATGTTTGTCAAAACGTTGTTTTTGAGTGCTTTTCGATGGTCGCTTTCATGATTTTTGTTCCTAACAAAAACACATAGTGTTGTATTTTCCTGTTTTTTTGGGTTTAACTTTATTAATAATAATAATATTAAAAAAAAAAACATATTTGTCTCGGACTTTTTTTCACATGTTGGGTCCCCCAAAAAGTCCGCCACTAAGGAGTTGACCCAGCGGATTTTGGGTGGCGTGGATTTGGGCCAGGCTCAGAGATGGAGGGGGTCATGCGAAATCGATGGAAGTTTGCCATGGAGAACTGCCA